GTTATAATTGTTATATGGTAAAGTTTTTCCACAGATATCTATATTAATATAATACAATTGCTTTTAAGGAATTTTGTAACTCCAGGCGCGTCGCTGGGACACCAGCAGGTTAGGCCATTGCCTAAGGGAAGAAACATATTCAATGAAACTGAGGCGGCATTTTTTATGATAGAATATTAGTTAAATTAAGTTTCACGAGTAATAAATTTAACAAAATCCAATAAGCCATTGGTTGACAATCAATAATCAATACATCAATAAATTCGAAAGATGAAAATACGTTTCAAAACAATACTAGTAATGTAAGAGTAATGAGTGTTAGAATAGGTAGTTAATTAAAATTATGTTTGCAGTAATAACATTTTTAAACATTTAAGTTGTTTAAATGATAGTTTTCTTGAAAACCATAAATTAAATTTAATATTTATAATTTGTATACAATATCTAAAAATATTTTTACACTATATTGCTAAATCTATAGAAGAATCTGTTGGCTAATGCCGGGTACTCGCTTAATTAATATTATTTAATAACCAATAGGTAATTATAATTTGTGCTCCTGAACCTACACATTCTCTAAAATGTCTAAAAACCATTATTTTTAAAAACTTAAAATGTAATCATTTTATAATAAATGAAAAAAGTATATTAACATTTTCATATTTACAAAATATGTCTATGTTAATTAATTGCGAACTCGTGTAATACTTTTAATTAAAAATAAAACTTTATGCGATGTGAGAACGTCACTTAACTCAAACAAAAAAAAATATTGTCTTTCGTCGTGTCACATAAATGTTGAATATATTTTTTTCAATAAAATGGAAAAAGTTAAATTTTCCACGTATTTCATAAGCATAAATTATTGTTTTGCCATCCGAGTAAATGGCGAATGTGTGATAAGTACGCGCCGCCGTGATTCACTAATCATAATGTAAAGTGTTGTAAGTACATTATCTAGTATAGTATAGATATCTGTGGGTTTTCCACAGGCATGTTTTGGTGAATAACCAAATGTAACCTGGTTACTGTATTTTATAAATAAATCGTTTTGGCGATTTTGATTCATAGCACTTTGGCGGGTTACACCGAGACACGCGATTTATGATAAGGTAAAAAGTAACGTTTATTTACAACATAAAAAACATAATACAAGTGTTCTCCAGCTGACGGCTTTTGACGGAAGTAAGGGCGAGCACGCAACAATTAAAACATCATTAATTAAGAAAAACAATTATATATAATGATTGTTCGGAGTCGGAAACAACGCTTCGCGTACGGCGTCGGGGCGGAGAGAGCGAGCGGAGCGGTCGAGCAGTCGAGTCGAGCAGTCGAGTCGAGCGGAGCTGTGTGCAAAAACCGTTAAACGCTGACGGCGAGGGGCGTGGCCGACGTCCGCCACGAGCGACGCGCAGCGGGAAGAAAGAAATTTGGCGCGAAACCCGCCACAGCACGATAAAAGATATTTCTTTAATTGTGGATTCATAAGCATATTTATTAATATACCTATATTTTGGTTATAACTTTTGGTTGTAGGCAATAGGAATAGATCTTATTTTTTGTTTAATAGTTTATAAGTCCATGGTTATAGGTTACTGAAATATCATTTCTAAATGTTTTGTGTGGTACTGTGGCAGCCGATAAGAATTTTGGAAAAAAAAGGACTAATATTGTAATATAAACATCGAGATAGATAAACAATACTGATATTGTACTGATACTGTATTGTTTATCTATCTCGTTGAATATAAATAATATATATTAGGTATATGGAATACCAAAACATAATTATAAAAAACAAACTGACATACTTCGCGAAATGGGTGGATCAATGTTGTAGTGTTGTTGCTGAGAAGTTGGAATGTAGAGTGGAATTTCTATGCACAAGTATATGTATATGCAACGTTTTATCATTGGTAACGAAAAACGATTCTGAGCGGAATTCAGTTAGGTATACCTATATGTTTTTAAAAGCCGTAATATTTACTTTTTTAAAATTTTCCTGTTTTTTACCAGTTGTTCCAAATTATTAAGAAAACCCCTGGGAATATTAAAAAATGACTTCCTTGAAACACCATATGAAAATTTTCTTTCAAAAAATGTGATGCACTTGAAAATCAGAGAAAAAATTTGGTCATAGAAAATAACAAAATGAACATCATTGTAAAACCAATACATTCCTTGTTCCTTTCAGAGTCAAAAATTTAAAAACACCTGTTTTTTTTTCTTTGATTAACTCGATTAATAGCATTGAGTTAATTAGTTATAACTATGATGAACCCCTTCCCCCATATTAAATTCCTGCCTGTGGCACTGCTACCTATATAGATAGGCAGGTAACTAAACAGCCATATTACTGTTGAGTAACCAACCTTCCTTGTGTCTATATATACTTATATGTCTATTATCTAGCTACTTATATTTAAATAATTTAAATGATATTAAAATTTATTTGCTAATTAAAAATTAGAAAATATCATCAGTCATATCTTTGGATAGATACAGTTAAACAAAAATAAAGATATTACATTTGGTAAGATACAATATTTTTACTAGACTAATTTAAATATTTGTTTAAGTAATGATATAGGCTAGGTGCTAAATAGTAGGTAGGTAGTCTTCAAAATTAGCTATTAAGTATTGCTATACAGTAATTATATTTGAATAAATAGGTACCTATCTTTTTTCTAAATCAAAAATAGGTACAAATTTTTTTGTTTTATCTAATAAATTGTAAATAATTAGGAGTTTAAAACTTGTTTCGAAATTTTAATATCTAAGTATACAGATGTACATATTTTTTTATTTTTTGATAAGCTGCGATTATTGAAAGGTTAAAAGGTAAAAAAATAAAAATAATAAACTTATTATAATATCTACTTACTATAAATAACAAAAATAAACTTTTTTTATTATTTTAAATACCTACCAATTAGGGACCAGCTACTAAAATTAATTATTTTTCAATTATGATAAAATACATTTTCAATAAAATTGTTTTGAATATACCTAGGTAGGTACTTAATTAAAACTGCTTTGATTATTTCATATGACCTTTTTGATTTCTTTTTGTTATAGTTTTAGATATGGTTTTCATTTTAAATATTTCTTCATTATTTTTAGAGAAATAAACAAAATAAAGAGTGAAATTATATGAAAATATACTTACCTAAAATAATATTGTTAAATGAAAAATTTAATTGAAAAAGGTGATACTTAACTTTTTTGTCTTCTTCTAAATTTTCAAGGAGACAAAAATGTACATATCACTCTCTAATTTTTAACTTAAAATTTAGTTACCTACCTGTGGTACTATTATACTAACATATTAATACCTAGGTACCTAGGTATCTAATTATAGTTTAATCATAATTGTGTATTAGGTATTTAATTTGTAAACATTATCTATACATCATGAAACAAAATAAATAAAATAAATGGTTATCTATTTGTAATAACGCTGTATTTAAATATGTGTATTGTTTTTAATAACAAAAATCAATTATAATAGGTACCTGCCTACATATGTCCCATTGTAAATGTGACAGAATATAGGTATATTCAATATTTTTAAATTTATATTAATTTAATTTCAGCTAGATAGTCTATAATCTATTTAAATTAATTAAATTTAAGGACATTAAACTAAATTTAAAAGTAACACAATTAGGTACAAATTTTGTTTGATGTTAACAGCCAGGGCTTATATTTTATTTAGGATAGTTTCAACAAAATTAATATCATAAATTATCATAAATCTGAAATTCAACTGAAAGCAGTCTTAATAATCAATCCACTTACCTTAGACTAGATGATTTTAAACAAAATTGAAATAAATATATAAACAATAGTAAGTAATTAGTTAGTTTGCTTTCTCATATACCTATTAAAATGACAAAATATATTTCTTATAGTATATGTAATATATTTCTTAATTTATTATATTAGGTTAAATTAATATTAAAAATTATAAAATCTTTAAAAAATGAGTATGGTAAAGATACAACAGTGACAATTAAAATGTACCATATAAAACAATAATAGTACATATAGATACCAAACATCATATTGAAACTGTAAATGAGTTTTGTAACAGAGCCAGTTATTATTATTCTAGATTTATAGAGAGATTCAAATGTTTACACAATATAGGTAAAAGATAATTGTTAATTATTTTTTTGATACAATTATTATAAAATAAGTTATTAAATCTTAAACATACATGTTTTACCCATACCTATGTTTTTAAAATAAAATTGTGTTATGTTTCAAACAAATTAAAAACGTTTCGTCATTTAAATGCTCAATTTTATATTGTAAATATTTGTGATATTAACACAAGAGACAAAACCACTTTTACTTTTTTTTGAAATTGAATTTGAATATTTTGTGTTGTACATTTTCTTTCTACACAATTTTTAGTTAAAATTATAAATCCCTAGAGATTGAGTATGTAGTATACTCTCCTTATAAGTTAAGAAGTAAATACTACCTACTTATTTATTTGTATAATCAATATAAATAAAAATCAGTTAATGATTTTTAGTTAATAATATGATTTATCTGGTAAAATTCTTTAAAAAATCCTAACTAAATATTATTATCATAATATTCTATTTTAATAATTATTAATTTAATTTAAATCTGCAGTTTTCTAAAAACATAAAAAAATAGTAGAATATATTAAATGAAATTATCAATTCGGGTCAAAGTTTATTTGATACGAGATATATTTTAATACACGTGTTAAAATTATTTGTATGTTGTATACATTCAATACTGATAGACATTTTTATTAATTAGACACTAATTATAATTATGAATATAGCATAATACCATGTAATCTACAATGTTTTATTATTACAATTAAGCAATAATACTTAATACTTAGAAAAATCAACAGAATTCTTGACATTGTATAGTATTCAAAAGTAAATTATTAGGTTAAGGACGTTTTAACATTGTAATAATTAAGTATATTTCATCTTTGTTATTAATTTGTTTTGTGACATAAAATATTTAATTTTCTCAGAAAATTACAGTAATACATATAATAATTATTTATGTGTATGTATATGAAGATTAATATATCTTAATTTATTTTAGAAATGTGAATGTTGTAAAATCTAAAATAACTTAAGAAAAATAATTTATTATTTTACATGAATCGATTAAATATAATCAATGTTACAGGTACTTAGATAAATGGAAAAGATTTGAAATATTTACCAGTAAAAATTAACTTTACTTTTGTACAATATTAATAATAATTAATAAATACAATAGTTACAATAAAAAATATATAGTTTATTGGTGTAGATATTAATATTCTTAATTAATCAAAATATGTATACTTTTAATTGTATAAATATATTATATGAAAATAAAAACCAATTGATGAATTGAGAATGATAAATAAATGGCTTCATCTGAATTGCGTGACACAAAAATAGTGACGTTAATTAACAACTGAGTTGTGTGCGTGGTTTTTTTGTTACAGTAAATTTTTAAATATTATTGAGAAATGGGCATGCACTAAAAGAATGTGCAAATCTTATTTATTTAAAAATTCAATCACTGGATCTAGTACAAAGCATACATTTTTAAATTTTTAAATTGTAAATCGTAAAATCAAAATAAAGGGTATTTCTAGGAGATAAGTATTACACAAAATTTAAAATTTAAAAAAAAAAATTTGCATGCAACTAGACTGAGTCTCTAAAAACCCGAGCACGCAACTCGACCTATATTATAATTTCCTCACGCAATTCGTAAAACACCGAAATAAATAATACATAGTTATAAATGTTGTTCGTTAATATCTCATCCAATCTAATCTATGTTTTATGCTATCTGATTAATTATAAAATAAACCATAGTTAATATAGTAATTTACAATGTTAAAATAATAACCCAATAGATTTACTTAAATGTTGTTTAACCATCATTGTTCTTAGTTATAAATTTGATTAAATGAATATCTGTTTGAATTCATTAAAAAATAACTAGCATGTTAATCATCATGTCGAAAATAATTTTAGAATATTAATGACCAATACAATTTTATTAGTTCAACTAATTGATCATCATTATAATTTTATTGATGTTTATCAAAACATAATTAATTAAATATTTAGAGAAACACTAGCAGACTATTCACAAATTAAATGTTTTTATAATCATTAATTAATTTGGTAATAAACTAAATCTATTCCCATCACAGCATTGCCAGATGAGTCTAATATAGCATTAAAAAAAAGTTTACAATGGAAGTTTAATATTAGTATAATTATTAATTATAATACATGTTGAACGAATTATTGTCTATTCAACAAATATATATATATATTTTATATAGGGTATTTGTTGACTTTACCAACTTTGGTGTAGAATACTGATATACAAGTATTTAAAATTAGGCATGTATTAAAGTTATTTAAGGGAATGAATTAATTTGTTCTCTCTGTTCAGTTAATAGTTCTAGTTTACTGAGCGATACATGAAGATATTATGTGTCTACTGAAGAAATGACCGAAGAAATCTATTGACCGGTTACTGGTAGAAGTACAACTGTCATTTGAATGTATGCATAGCATTTGTTGTTTGTTCGTATTTGTAACATTTGTTTAAAATGTTTAGTGCATCCTGAACGAGTGAATGGGAATAAATATGAACTAATATATTCTTACAGACTGTGTTGACATATTATCATGTATTCATTCAGTGGTTCAATCTTTCTTAGTTCGTTTCATATTTTGGTTCATCCAGTGAGTGACCATTCAGAAACCAATCATGCACTGAACTAGTTCATTCATGAACAATACATATCTATTTAAAATGTGAAAACAATTAACATATTAAAAAAAATTTTAATTTAAACTTAAGTATTTTTTCAGATTTTTAAATACCATCCAACTATACTTCATTCCATATAAGAATGCATTGCTTGGCACATCCAAATGAATCACGAAGCGACGTCATGCTCCCTTGGCTGAGTCCATTAGCTCTATAATTGGTCGCAGTTGGTCAGCTGCGCAAATTTATGCCTGTTAATATTTAGTAATTACTATCCCATAATATTACGAAAATCACTAAATAAAAAATATATTTATTTTTTATACATTGCATTAATTTCTAACATATAATTTATAAATATAAATATATATTTGTTGAATATTAAATAAATTTAAACAGTAATGCCTATTTAAAAAACATTTAGTATAATTGAATTTCCAATATTATTACAATCCATTCATTTAAACACTATAATCTAAAAAATCTAAGTAGATAGAATTTAAAACTAGCATGATAAAATATATGGGGGCCAAATAAAAACCAATATAATTTAACAGAGTGGTAACTGTAACTAACTTAAATAATTTATAAATGGCAACAATATTATTCTATTTAAAACTAACTAGGTAATAACAAATTGTATGTATTTTTAAATACAGTCTTATTTTTTAGAAGAAAGTTCAGATTCAACAGTTTCATCTTGGATTCCAGTTGTTTCCTTCAGCATATTATAAAGTTGTATAAGTTGATCATCTGTAAAAGCATCTAATATACCTTCGTGTGTATCTAAGTTTTTACCAAAACCAATATTTGACTTGGCATCCTTTAGAAGTTGCTCAGATAATGTTAGTGTATATTTCTAAAGAAAAATATAATATAATTAACTAAATTATCTTAATGTAGGTAGTAGAAATATTTTTACTTACACTCCATTCTTGCATAAATATTTGAGCTTCTTTAGGATTACAATTTTTATGTCTACGAAATTCATCTCTAACATATGTTTGACCTAGTTCCTGTAGTTCTTTGGGTAGTCCACGGTGTAGTCTTAAAATGGATTTGTACAATAAACGAACTCTTTGCACATGATTTAGTCCAGACATCACATATCATGCCTAAAATTAAATGAGTGTTAATTTTAAACCATATTTAAAATTGAAATAGTTGATTTAATGCAAATAATCCTCAAAAATCAAGTTAAATTTCATTTAACTAATGAGTAACTACTGCTCACATTCAAGATTATACCTAATATCTTAATACCTAAGATACCTAAGTATCTTACCTAGGTACTAAATTTAATATAATTTCAATAATAATCAACTAATAATATGCCTATCTAGTTTTTGAAATATATTTATATTTTTAAGTATAACTACTAATTTAAATACCTATACTTAAGAGATGAAAATAATATTTCTAACTATTATAGGTAAATTGATTTTCACTTAGTATGTTTGTGTAACCACGACCTACCAAACCAATTTAAAAGCAGTCAAATTAAAAATCATAAAATTAGGTTATTTTATGACTACAGATTATGTAGATGTACAGATATTTATGTGTACAATTAAAAAAATATATTTTGAAACTACTGATTGCAATAATTTTTCTGTTAATTTTAATGTTTAATATTTAAGGGTTATTTTTACTATAGGTAATTGTTTTATAATTTGAATACAGTTTTTGTAACTTGATTTACTATAATGGTTATTAGTTACTTATATCTGTAAAAAATTAAAATATATGTTATTTATTAAAAATTTTAATAGGACTTCATAAATTAAAAGTAAAATAAAATTACAAAAAATGCACGATCACTCAAGTACCTATTATGAGCTACTACTATTGGTAGGAAGAATAGATTGTCTGAGAATTTGATATCAAAAAATCACTGTCTGTAAATATAGTTAATTAAGTAAAATAATATTGTTATTTTAAGCTTATTAGAGCCAATACCAATGGAAGTCTGAACACACAGGTTGCCCGTTAGCAAGATCGATATGGCAAATGTGACTGTGACATCGTCTTAACGACTACAGGTAAAGAATAATTTTAATACTCACATTTCAAAAAATTGTAATATTGTAAAGAGTTTTTAATTTCAGAATCATCGGCTCAATATTTTTTTGTCGGGATTTGTTATTATTTTTTTTATCAAATACCTATCAAAGTTGCTGCGTCGTATCTAGAAAGAATTATTGTGATAAGCGTCGGGGCAGCAGTGCGTCAGCGTAAACACAATCGAAAAAATAACGATTCCATGGGCGTCGACCACACCCTATGTTGGCGACACTGGTAGCGGCGTGGGTAATGGGCTGCTACGATTGGCTCGCCGGCCTCGCAGCTACGGTATACGGCGTACGGCAAAACCGATTCCGTGCTGCTCCAGCAGAACGCCGTTGTTTCCGATGCCACACGCACTTTGATTGTGAATATTCGACAGAATTTTAGTTTGTCGTTATACATATTTTTTTTTCAAAAACTTACATATATATATTTATGTATAAATACACGTCAATTTGCGTACAGAGTTTTATTTTTATCCGCCCGTAGTCAGATATTTTTTTACTGTCCATAAACAACCCGAACGGATCACATTATCTCGTTCGGTGATCGGCCAAATCCGATTGAAAGTGATTTTTTTCGGTTGATTAATTTCTTGTCGGTTGTGATTTTTCGCGGTCTTGCAGTCTTATCAGACGACGGGACGACGCCGCCACTATACAAGCACACGCACGCCGGAAACCATTGTCAAGTGAGTTTTTATTATTTTTGTATTATTTTTTTCTCCCTTCCTCTCCCTATTATATTATTATAATGTGCCGCACAGCGGTGGCGGGTCTCCGCCGGTATTATTATGTATTTTTTTTTTCCACCCCACCGGACCGCGGACGGACGGTCGCCATTGTCGTCGCCGGCGATCGCCCCGACGACGCTTTCACACCTGCCTCGCGTTCCGGAAAGAATGAATGTATGTTAAAAAAAAAAAAAAAAAAACCTTTCCAGATATTATTTCGCCGTTCGCACGCCGGCCGGCTGTGCTGTGCCCACCGTTGAAGTCTCGGCGCGGCGCGCGCGTCCCCTAACCCCGGCGACGTCGTTTGTAATATTGTTCCGTAATTGTATTTCGGAGCCCCGTATAGGTTAGCCGCAGCCGCCGCCGCCGCCATGATCTCGAGACGCGATTTCAAGCATTTCCACGCCCTTATTTGCTACGATTATTTGTTATTTTTTATCCCCGGTTTTCGACCGCCGCCGATTCGGACACGAACATTTCTATCCGAACAATAATGTTCCCGCGAGAGAATTCCGATCCCCGTCGCCCGTGCTTGTTGTTCGACGCCCGGGTACTACCGCCGAAACGCCACGACATTATTCGTGCCTTATTACTGCCCGTCACGGCCAAAAGGCATTTGCCCGTCGTCATTCCCGCCGGGTGCACACCGCGTCCTACCGATAGGGTGTTGTTCTTGTCTGTTTCGCCTTGGTGGTCGTACCTCGCGATTTTCTTTCGCCTCTACGACAACCCGGCCGGCTGGACAATCGCGGTCGCAGCGGCGCAACACATCCGTTTTCGCTTCACCGGCAGCTTACGGGTTTTCCAAGTCTCGTGAACCCGCCCCGCCTGTTTGCGCGTTTGACAAACAATACGGCGACGGTCGGGAGAGGGGCGGTTTTCTGAAACGGCAGTAATCGCGTTTTAGCGTAATATTATCATCCTAGGGTTAACCCGCGCGGTGTTACACGTTATTGTAATTTCCCTCCCCTCCCGTTGTAGACGCTATTCGCTACGCGGGGCAATCCTATCGACGGGCGGGAGACTTTCTTGGATCGGTACTTGGGTGTTTTTTTTTTTTTTTTTTTTTTCTCTTTCGCTGTTTGCGCGCGCAACAACGTTTATTGCCGTTTCCTTTTTTCGGCCGCCGTCCTCTACTCCAGACGCAGCAGCACTGTTGAATATTATTATTACGCGTAAGTAACTGATAATGCCGCCGCCCACGAGTAATTCTCGAAAATTGTGTTGAATTGGACGAGAATAATAACGTCGAGTGTAAAAAAAAACTGCGCGTTTTTTTTTTTTTTATTATTCCTCGTTTTGTTCTCCGAAATAACATCGCGTATCTGTTTGTCGATTTCTGTTGTCTGCTCGCAAAGTGGGTACCTCTATACAATATTATTATTGTTGTTATTATTATTATTATAATACGGTCACTGTTCAGTGACCTCAGACGGTTTCCGGGCTCGCTAATATTTTCGTTGACCAACTTCCGTCGGAACAGAATTATCGCGAACCACAAAAAAAAAAAAAAACAACAAATAATAATTATTATTTAATTACTTCGGTTCTTGTTGCGCCGCAAATGCTCGCGGTACGCATTATGTATTGTTATTGCTATTAACGACGCGACTTTTTTTGGGTTTTGTTCCTTCGCACACCCCCCCCCCTCTCCCGTAGATTGACCGTATATTTTTTACCATTTTAATATTGTGTACACTGTTTACTATATCGCGTCCCGTTCGGCGAATAATGTTTTCGAAAATGTCCTCCGTCCTTTACCGCGACAATACCAATAACAACAATATATAATAACATTGATATCGTCGCGGCCAGCAAGCCGGGGCCGCGTTGAAATAATTCACTCCGTATTTAACGAATACCGAAATCGTGTCTATCGCGCTATTGTCGTTATCGTTCGGTATGTACGCACACGCCTGTCGGACCGATTATAATAATGCACCAAGGTCAAGCCGGCCGGTGTCGGTATAGATAATCTTCCACGCGAACCCCGTGACATGTGTGCGCGCGTGTGGACGAACGATAACAACGATAACGATAATAATGTTACAGTGGCGGCGGACACTTCTCGCGTATTATCCGAAAACACGACATTGCGGTCCGCGGGTTTTTTCGGCGCGCTCTGCGCATTCTTCCCCTTTCCCCACTCCCCCCCCCTCCTCCTCCCACACCCGTCTATCTTCGCGTTTTCTTTTCTACGTGTCACACCCGATAATAACGGACGTTGTTCACCTAGTCGACGGAATTCTTGTGCGGGTAAATTTTTTTTGTTCTCCCTCCGAGACCGTAAACGTGTATTTTACGCGTCTTGGTAATAATGAGAGATGCAATTTTACGTTTCGCTTGGAAGACAACATTTTCGCGGTATCCGATTTCGATCGCGTTCGCACATACGCCTAGGCAGTAATACTTTTGTCGACCTAATGATCCGCAGCGAATCGCTCGGCCCCGAGTACACAAAACAAATTAACCCGGTGTCTAATCGTCGTCGTGTCGTTTTCACACACACACACGGTAAATAGAACATCGTCTTCTTTTTTTTTCGCTCGAAATTTCGTTGTTTTATTTATTATTATTACGCGGTCGAGTTTTTTTGTTTTCCTTTTCCAACGACCGTGTTGCGCTCGCCCGCGTGCTTTCGGAACGGCCAAAATACGTATCCGAGCGTCGTGTACCTATCGCGGCTAATTGCCTCCTAATTGTTCGGCTAGACGGTAATCGCCCGACCGCGTGTGCATACACATACGCGTGTGATGTGTTCGTCGTTGTTTCGGTAAAAAAAAAAATAAAAAAAATATGTCTAATGTATTATATACACAACATAGACTGTTTAAAATTCCGAACGATCCGGTGCGTTTTTCATCTTTGAAAAACATAAAAAAAAAAAAAATAGGTACAATTGTTTTGTTTTTCACTATTGTTGTTCGGCCATGTTATTTATTCACTGTTTTACTATTAAAAAAAAAAAAAATGATTACGCCGTAGTTTTTGGTGACGGTGGTACCTAATGCGCATTATCGTTAGCGCGTAAACCCCTCCCCGTACAAAAATCGAAATATCGCCCGCCCGTGTCCCGTTCCGTTTTCGAGATTGTAAGTGTATTCCAGTTCCTTGTGTTTTTGCCGTCGCGGTCGGCGGTCGCGTAAGTATTATCAGTGCGTTATTATTGGTATACCGTGTTTTGATTGTCCTCGCCGTCCCCCGCCCCTCATCCACGCCCCTAACGACGCGCGCGTGTCGTTGTTCGCGATGCGCGCCTCCGTCGCACGTGAATCTCGAAGCGGACGGAAATTCCGCGGAGTTTTCGCTCCGGTAGTATTACGCATCGGCTCGTATTATTGTATACGGTACGGCAAGCGGCAGCTGAGTCGGTCGTCTCCCCGGGGCCGTTCCGTTCCGCGAGGTGCTGTCCGACGACGACGGCGGCGGCTGCCGACAATACGCGCTCGGCGAACACGTTTTCGAACCCCTGCCCGTTATAATAAATCGTGTGTAGAGTGCCTACAATCCGGTCCACCACTCGGTAATATAATAATAATAATAATAATAATCGGGATGCGAACTCGGCCGAGACCGTGAAGACACAACAACGCGTGCAGCAGCGCGCGCACGGTTCACCGGTTTTACGTCGTCGTAGACGTCGCCATCGATGATACTCGTATTCCCCCGACCATCTGCTGCTGCTGTTGCCGCTCCTCTCCTTGTGCTCTTGTTACTTCTCCGACGGCATCACTATATTATCCTACATAATATCATACTCCGCTGGACGCGTTATTATCGTGTATAATAATATTTTATGCGTACTGCGTGCCGCGTTCGCGCCCTGGAAAACCGCAACGAGCCTGTGCGGGGGAGAAATATTATTTATCAATACGTAACCACGACGAGGGGCGGGGGAAGCGTAGAATTTCGGATATTTTCGGCCGGGTTCACATAACGCAGACGCGTACGGAACCCGTGACCCAGATAAAACGCGTAAAATACGCGTCGCCGTTTTGGCGAGACCGCCGAAATACGTACCCCGCAGTAAAGAGTACAAAACGGTCGTCACTGCGGGAGGGGTGTGATCGGCGGCGCGACAGGACGAGGGTGCGCCGCCGCCGCCGCCAGTACCTCGTGTGCGGGAGACGAGTTTTTGGGGTGCGTCTGTCTGTCTGTCTGTCTGCGTATGTAGTAATAATATAACGCGCGCGCGCTCTGCGCATGTACCTCGAAAATGCGTTGTTGTACACGGGTGTACGTATATACGCGCGTTTTAGGGACGAGAGTGACCCGCCCGCGAACGCTGTCGCCGGGCGACTCTGTAATAATGTACGCGGTATAGATGACCGCACGTCGCCACCGCCGCCGTTCAAAATGCCGTAAAAACCGAATTTAGTGTAATTATACACACGTGTGTGTGTGTGTCTGCGTGCGTGCGGGTAGACGAAAAAAAAATCGTATATACGCATATAACACATACGCGTACGTATATACGTGCGGGCGATATTAATGTAATTGTCCCTCCGTCGTCGACATTTCATTGTACACACGCAGCATTAAGTATTGTCTGGCCGCTTGTGTACCCTTATCAAACATCCCTTTTGTATTATTTACTCCGTTTTCGACTATTTTCCCGTACACGCGGGGACACTCCGGGTTCTCTATTGACACGATATTTCGTTTCAATTTTTTATTGTACTATTATTATTACACAAATTTTTATATTCTCTATTGATATTGTACGGTGCCCGCCGCACGTGTGCCGCTCTTTTGTGCCCATCATAAACGTTTATCGCATTATAGGTGGGCCCGATCGTTATATTAATTCGTATGATTAAATTATTATTTGTTTTGAATTCAACGCAATTGTTAAATACGGGAGATTCTTATATAATATCATTTTCTTTCTTTTATCGAAAATTAATTAAATAAGTAATTCGTTGTTTTGGTGTTCGTAGCGGTTCAAAGGTCTTCACGTGAACGTTTTTTTTCCTTAGTTATCTATAAAGCCAATAGAACTATCGGTAAACATTGTTGTTATTAAAAAAAAAAAATAATAACGTTATGCCTAATACGTTTCAGTTAATTTTTTTTTTATTAATGCCGATGCATCAACGTTTAAGTCTCTTCGATAACCAGTGTTTTTCTATGATAAATTACGTCTACTGTATACTGTCTTGTTATATAGGTACCTATCGAAACGTTTTCGTTAGATAAAAATATATGTTGGGCATTTTTTTTTATTATTATTATCTATTATTTAGACACATTGTGATGAAATTATTGAATAAATATGTAGGTTTATTTTCGGGTATATATATACCAGCATCATCATAAAATAATATATAGGTTTTTATCTCTGTAACAACAAAAAAAAAAAAAAAAAAAATGTTTATTCTTACTAAAATATTCCCGTACCGTCCGATAAATAATATACGTAATACTATTTAGGACGTGCGATCGGAGGTACGGTTTACTTTTGCTCCTTGACCTTAGATATTATTTGAATATTAAACCGTCATTATGTTTAAATATTATTATGCGTGTATTAATATAATAATACGTATACACTGAAACCGAATCGGTGTGGATGAGTCATATTTATTATCCGTACACCGGGTTCAATAGAATATCTTTTATTTCGTTTGACCCGCGTGGGCAGTCAAACCTGTTCCCCCGCGTTTGTGTGTTGTCTGCATAGACGGTTGGGTACCTACTCTATACACTAAGATTTGTGCGTACCTATGTAATATTGAAATACGTTGTCGTCGGACGAACGAATAAAAAAAAAATATAATAATAAACGGCTTTTAAGCGGATTATTTATTTCTTTTTTTTTTTTCTACCCGTTTCACGACTCGTCGAGTAGCCCGGTTATAAACATATTTTCTTCCCGCCTATATTCCCTTCCCCTCCACCTCCCACGCCACGGAACGAGAGATCGGTACGTACGATCAATCTAATTTTAAAGCATCCCCCTCGGCCGGGCGCGTATAAAAAGGCCGGATTTCGTGTTTTACGACACCGCCGTTCGTTATTATTATTAGTAAGTATAAATAGCGCCCGTAAAACAGTTTATTTCGTGCGTGCGACGAACAACCCCTCGGGTGTAGTGTTTCTATAAATACCGAGTACTTATATTTTTCCCCGCTCCGACTGCCGTGTGTGCCCGTACATAGTTATTTCGTTTACTTTCCGCCCCACCCTCTACCCTCTCTTTCCCCTCTCTCCGTACCGCGGTTGCGTATCCTTTTTCGGCTCCGATCGACGGAGCCCTACTATTATTATGCCTATTTCACGTGTGCGCGCGACGCGGTTAACGTTCGAATCTTCAAGAACGTCGTGTGTTCGCGTTATTTTTCGCGCGTTTTCACTCCGCGTTCTCATTAACGCGAGTTCCCGCGGTGCCCGTTAATGCGTATTGCTGATTCGCGTGTTCACGTTGATTCGGTTTTATTCGCGTTTCGTCAATCGAGGAGAACTATATAACGGCGGACCCGATACGCCGGCGCCCCGGGAACGCGTCCCGTTTTAGATTCCGAGCGCGGCCGCGAAACGTGATGATTGATTGATTTTACTTTCTGGCGTGTTTTTTTTTTTTCCATCCCTCAACGACCACGACAACCGGATATCACGCTCCGAATTTCAAGCGTAGCCGAAAGCAAATTTTGTCAAGTGTTTGACGCGAGGTCATGTTTTCCCGTCTTTGTTTCCCGTGGCGATAAAACGTTTTTCAATTTGTTTGATTTGGATTCGACCGTAATTCTTATTAAAAATAAGGCCTGAGTTTTCACCGAATTTCTAAAATATTCTGAAGAGTTTTGAGCTATTTATAGGCATATAAAATGTTCGCGGATGAAATTGTTTCGGGCCGATCAGAAATCTTCGGAAATTTAACACCGCGACTTTTATATGAAAACACGTCTGAATTCCAACGTTTGCCCAGATAATAAAGGAAAATCGCTTCGCTTCCAATCCTCTTAAGTACGGGGAACGTCTTAAACTATTATGCCGTGTACAGTTTTTGATGAAAAGATTTCGTAGCTTTAGTAGCCGATTCTTCTGGCTCGTGTCGCACGAGGTTTTTCGCCATTCTCCCGAAACCGCTTCGTTGAAAATATAATAATGAGAATATTCCTCGTCACTGTCGCCCGTCGGCCGTTTCCCCTCTCCTCTACCGTGCCCCGTCTACGGTGGTGTTTCGTAAATGTATCGACGGCGCCGGTCCGGTTAAAATATTTTCGGACGTTATTATTGTCGACGGCTGCGCGTCGATTGTCGTCGTCACGTGACTTAACGCCATCGTTGTGTGTGTGTGTGTGTGTGTCGTGGTTGCGATCAAACGGACTCTATTGTACTTAGATAAGGAAAAAAAAACCATATTATATACAGTCGCACATGACGTGTTGTACGTCATCTTGCGCGGCGTCGACGGCTATAATATTACATACCGAGTGCTCCGGTTATTATTTATTATTGCCCCCCCTCTACTCTCTCTAAATTTTAATATATGTGTATATAGGAATAGAAATAACGTTTTTTTTTCTTTTATACTGATTTACGGGTCGCGTCCGATAGCGGCGCCGTTCGGTGTTTTTCTCCGCATTTATAAAATAATCGACCCGCGAACCGGTGGCGGTGTGAGAGAGAAAGTGACATATTATAATACGGACAAAAGGGGTGGGGGGGGGGAAATCAATGACCGGTTCTCTTGTGCGTATTATTATTTGTGTAACGCGCGTGTGACATGTTTTTTTTTTTTTTTCCCCGGACTAAATTACGGTCAATTAAAAATAATATTATTGTTATTGTTAATATGTAGTGGTCGGCGGCGGCCAGTAACTAACAATAATCAATCGTCATCGTCGTGACGCGGTTTTTTCAGACGCGTAAAACATTTATACGTACGGCCCCTCCCCGTGTACACGCGCTCTCTCACTCTCTCTCTCTCTCTTTCTCTCCTCTCGCTCCGCAGCGGTTGTTGTGTAACTCGACGACAATAATATTGAACAATAATACCCGAATACGTATTTTTATTTCGTCGCGTCCATTACGATTAATAATAATATTCTGCCCGCGTTTTTGTCATGCGCCCACATGATAGGAAAAAAAATAATATGTGTAAGTACAAGTACTCCGCGTCGGCGAGAAGAATCGCCCGCATTCGGCACGGCGGTGGTAATATTATAATGTGTGTGCGGCTGGCGCGCTGTACCGACGCTCTCTATGTATTTTTTTTTTATCCGGACGATATCGGCGTGCCGGTCAAATTTGGCAAAATCTTCAAAGTACCTCCCTCCCCCCTCCCCGACTTGTACATTCACCGAAAGGTAACCGGGCGTTACCGAGAACTTCCGAGGGAGACCCATCGCGATGTCGGCCCCATGCTTCCTGCAAAATGTTTTCGTCGTATTGCGCACACGTTTACTCATATACAGTTACCGTGTACTATAATATGGTTTAAACCCCCCTCATCTCCCTCTCAAATTTAGTCCCACTCATCATATTATGCCCAACATAGTCATAATCAGTGTCTGAGATTGCCCGCGTACAATTTTCAATGAAATATGTATGTCAAAGAATTTATTATGAGAATTCCGATTTTTTTTTTTTTTTTTTTTTCAAAGTTATCGATGGCACCTGCACTGTCTAAATAAAGCGCCCCCGGACTCCAAAGGCTCAAAACTATAGGGGGTGAGGGGGAAACTAATAATTTCACCTTGAACGAAAATAGGGGTGGGGTTCTCCGTTCCCTGTTCTATCGTGAGACCTACTTTATCGTCCATGCGGATATCGGATACATACGCACAGTATTGATGTTACGGACTGGCCGGTACCTCTTTTTACCGATATCCGATATTTGAAATCGAAAACCACGCGAGTTAATATTGAAATTAAACGGTATGTCTCGGTTGAAAACGCGATTTTTTTTGTTTTCTAAATACTTTTTTCATAATGTATTCCGGGTACGCTAAAGGTATTTTCCACGTCCGAAAATATCGGTTTTAAACCGATGCCACCGATATCGAGTATCGGCTTGTGCATCGGCCCATTCCGAATTTTTTTGTCGATAGTTATTATTATGTTACATTCCGTTTTAGATTCTGATCGGATAACGTGGTATCGGTTTTGCTATGGCTCGTGTGCTCTTTTTTCCGTCGGTCTGTAAATGACTTCGACCGCGGAACTCTCACTCCGATCAACGACTTATTCAGTGGCGGTTTTTAGAGCAGCATATTATTTTATCTAGTCGGTGCATCGGTCAGGTCTTTTTTTTTTTGATATTCTGCGTTGTAATCCGAAGGAGGGGGGAAGGTTACGCCGTAAAAACATTAATTATATTACGGTTACTGTTGGGTATTTTCGATTTTTTCAACCCGACGAATGTTCACCGAATATTTCGAATACGAGTTCTTTTTAGATGCGGTCAGATTTTCAATACAATTTGGCGATATTTGAGCTATAAATAGCCATGATAAACTATGGAGGTTTTATTTTTAACGTTTTATTCTGATATAATTGTTTGGGCTCCTCTACAATGTTCGAAAATTGCATACAAAATTTATTATCGTACTTTTTTCTTAATGTACACATTTTCGAAGAAGTTCCACATATTATTATCATCGATTTACGTGATTTTATTTGGCCTGACATAAATGCTCGACATTTTTGCACAGTATTCATAACTAATTGTCCTTAGTGGTGAACAAATTTAGCGTAAAACTGTAAGAAGTTTTTTTTTTTAAACGTGATTTAAATTGAAATGTTTACGGTTATTGCCTTTCATATTCCTAGGACGTAATTGCAGACACAAATGGAATAATATATTTTCCATACTAATAATATAATTCAATTACGGGACATTATCTTTTTATAGCGACTACACCCTCCCACTCCTCCCCCCCACCGTTGATATTTCGATACTATATCACGCGGTCAGCGATATTATATAATATTAATTATATTTTGTTTTTATCTATCCGGGAAATACCGGAGGAAACCCGAAATAGTCCGGGAATTTTTGAACTCCCAATCGCCGTTTTCGTAAAATATAATATATATATATATATTCATAGTTGTCCGACAATTACGACCGATAAGTTCATTGTACGTTTTTCGATGGCATTTGCGTTTTAACGCGGTGTTTATTATATTATGATCGTATTCACTCCTCCGGTAAACCGCGCCCGGAGAAAACGGAATTTCGCGGCGACCTTGAATTATGTGTTCCTGTGCGTCGCGTCATTGCCGCGGTTTCGACGACGACGACGGTCTATTGACGCGGTGCTCCGTATGCGCGCGGAATGCGGCGTGCTGCGTGCGGGGGAGCAATATGGCGATCGCGGGGCAGATTGTCGTCGGTGCGCGCGTACGACCGCGACAACGCGTCGTCGCCGTGGGGTATCCGGCCCGGCCACGTTGCCACGATTACGGCCGCGCGAATTTTCGCTCTCCTCTGCAGTGCGTGCGCGCGCGCGCTAATCGAAAAGGGGCTAAACGCGCGTGCGATAACATTTCGTACTATTGTGAATATCCCGACGACGCGGTCCCCCCCCTCACCGGTACGACCGTGTCCGCGCTCCACTACGCCTAGCACGGTCGCCTTTCACCCTCGCCCTCCTCCCGCCGCTCACGACACGAACCGTAATATTTTATAGTTTTGAGGACACGTGCAATAATATCTCGTCGTGTCCGTCTTACGAACGCGCGCCACTATTGCGTGTAGCGAGATAACTGCGCGTTGGGAACATTCCGGTTTCTTGGGGGGGGGGGGGGCCGGGGATCGAAAATCCGAAATATTATGGATCTATGCGCTTTTCTGCGCGTTTTTCAATATTATTTTGTTATGAAAAAAAATCGAGTCGTTACGTGTTGTTTTAAGCCATTCCGGATAATGATTCGCACGTGTTCGTTTCAGGCCGTTAGTTTTAGTATCGGAGTGAACCGGCCGAACTTAAAACGAGGAAAGTCCGTGTTTTCGTTCGCGTTGGAAAGTGTATACGTTTTCTCCTCTGACGCCCGCTGGGTTTCGAGTTTCTTTATGATATTTGGCGTACGGTACCGAAGAACCATTCCCATTTCAGAATTATTTCGGAATTATCTCAATTCGACGCCCGTCAGAGTTTTTTTTTTTTATAATTTACAAATTATACGGGCCATTGCATCCATTTTTTTTTTTTTTTTTTTTTTCGTAATAATATACAGTTCGGTTCAGTCATTTTTTTCTTATAGAATTATTATTACCCGAGTATCTGTATTCTAGAGTTAAATATTTTTCGAACAGCCACCACCCTAAACCTAACCGACCACTCCCTTCCGTCGTCTCTCGCGCACGCCTTTATTCCTCTCTCTCTCTCTCCCCCCTCCCGTAGTGAATCAGTATTTGATAAAAGAAAAAGACATTCTAATAAAGTGTATTATAATATTAAAACCTACGCGCAGAATTTATTATTGTATAATAATATTATTATTGTTGTGCCCGATAACAAACGTATTACTTTCGTTATCTTTTTTTTGTTTCGTCGCAACGAAAATGAGAAACGACAGCTATTTTATTCGGAAGAACGAAGTTTTTTTTTTTTGTTTTTAACATTTCTATACTATTTCGCCACTGCGGTTTTTTAATAACGAAAAAAAAAACACTTCTTTATTTTCTCGTGCGCGGTAATTTTCGCATCGCGTCTAATCACAACTATAATATAATACATGCGTACCTATTTGTGGGCTGTTTTAAAAATACACTACAACCGTACCTAGGCTCGTCTTGCATATTTTCCTTTAATATTATTGATACTGTTCAATAAAAAAAGAAAAAAATTGTTTAAAATATATAACCGTTCGAATCGCGTAGGACGAAATAATTATTATAGCGGGTATATTATTTGCTACAGGTTGAGATACCGATTGATAGGTACGCGTGCTGTTTCGGGTTTATATATATCGTTCTGTTGAAAAAAAAAAACGTACACGCGCACCTGGTGTTTTGTGTCAGAATTCGAGTACAACATAATAATAATACACGCATTCGAGTTTTTGTTATACTTTGTGGAGCCATTTCGATTATAACCGACTGTTTCTTTGTTTCGTCAGCGCCCGTAATACGTATTATGTTATAGGCACAGTCCGAATTCGCGGTGGGGGCATAACAATGGGTTATGCGGAGATACCGATTTTTTTTTATATATATATATATATATATTTTTATTCTTTCTTTATTTATTATTACTATTATTATTTATTTTTATTATTATTTTTTTTTTTTTTTTTACCTACGAAATTACGTGTAGGCCGCGTATACGTAAAATAGTAGTAGCCCGTGACCGGCGACTAAACGCCCAGGAAATCAAGTTCGAATAATAATTTTCGTCACGTTTTTGTTTTCAATGCCCAGGCCACGGGTAAACGAAAAAAAAAAAAACGTTCGTAGTTTTACGCGTTCAGATTTAGAGTTAGTGTATTGCCTAAACCGTGTGGTGGGTACACGCGCACAATTCGTTGAATTCGAATTCGGCGGTCGCAAAATATTGTCGGGTAGTCGTTATTTTATTAGTCGACATTAGCGGGGCACGTCTCGGGCGCGAAAAGCGGTTTTTCTTGACGGCGACGGATCCGCGATAAATGAATTTCCGTTGGCTATTAAATGACACTATAATATTATTATGACACGAAACCATAGCTGTTTGTTTGAGATTTAACAAAAAATAACCGTCCGTTCAGAATTATAATTCAATATAATAACCTAACAATAACGTTCGAATGTATTCAGGAATTCCTATACACGATCATTGTACGTACTATATATACATGTGTGTGTGGTATGTATTGCACGGAAAAGTGAAAGTGCCGATATCGATCGACTGGAATTTAAAAAATATGTTAAATACCTGCGTGCAAACGCGTTATAAAGAAGTCGGTTGTTTATTGTAATTTGTATAAAGAATTCTGAAATCGTTGGCGGGCGATGAAAATTTACACGTTCGTAAAATCCATTTTTATAAGCGCCTTAGAAAAAACCGTCGATTCGTCGGCCTATCCGAATTAAAGAAATAACAATAATAATAATAAACGTCTCAATTCTTTAATTATGGCGATGGTATTGTTTGTTCGTTAATCGTATCACGCGCTTCCTTATTATTGACGTTGTGTTTTTCGTGCGTTGTCTTATTTGCCAACACAATTCGTTTTGTGTAACGATTAAAACTATAAACCGTGGTTCAAACCCTGTCAGTAGGAGTATACCTCAAACAACATTTTCTCAACATTTCAAATACCGCGGTTGCGGTTTACGACAAATTACAACCCGCAATAATAGTAAAAATTGTAGCGATAGATTGATTTTGTTTTGGTTATTGTTGTACGAGTGAACCTTACGTTTGGAAATAATAAAAAACGAATCTTCTAGGTATCGAAATGGCGAATTTAAACCGTTTAACAGAGCTTGTGTGCGTGTTTCGTGAGAAGCCTGGCGGCGTGTGTTTGATTAATCAAGAGACGACGTATACCTGTATACATTATAGTACAGTGTGAACGTATAGTGTCTAGTATATTTATTTTTTTTTTTTACATTTTCTTTTGTGTTACGTTCATCTCGGGATGCAAATAATAATAATATAACTACTCCGCGTACCTACCTGTATTATACTAATGTACATTTAGGGACCTCCCCCCCGGAGACTCCTCTCTGTTTTCGCTTTAAACACCTAGATGACTTTTTGTTACGTTCGATCGCTGCGCATTAACCGCATCAACGTTTCATTGTTCCGAGCGTTTCGAGTTTGTAATAATTTTTTCGCCATGCCGTCCGAGTATATTAAACCGACGACCGTACAATATAAATGACCGTAAAAATAAAAAACCACCATTTTAAATATCTATAGTCCGTATATATTTTTAATACTTGTCCGTCGACAAACAAAGTAAACATTTTTTTTTTTCTAAATAAATACGGTACTTACCAGCTAGCGCGGTATAGCTCGTTCATATGTTTACTTCGGATCGATTTTGGCGTTTCGAATAAAGAAGTATTTTCGTTTTAAATTCTCGTCTCATCTATATATATATATACATACACATACACACCCGTCCATATAGATCCACCTGCCGAATAAAAGAATCTAAAATTGGACAGAATAGTGATGTGTTTAGGAAAATAATTATGTATACCTCTATTATTATATACTCGTATAGTTGTTTCATAGTTTGCAACTGAAGTTAACAATATTAATTAAATCAGTGTGGTGGGGGGAGGGAAACCGTAAATTATGTGTCCCTACATCGGTTTATAATCTAAACAATGGCTGATTATTGATATTGTGTAGGAAATGGTGTGTACATTATAATACTAATATTTACATTTGTTCCCGTGCGAAATAAATCAGATTTGACTGTTGTTGTTGAATATTTGAATGTTATTAATACTAAATGCGCAGATTGTATTATATTTGTATTATTTATCGACACAAAAATGCAGGCTTATCGGTGGTTGTTAGTGTAGTTTTTTCAATGTAATTTTATGCTGTGGAATTTTGTTGTACCTATCTTCTTTCAATTATTTTTGCATATTCTCTTTTTTTTTTTTCGTTTACGACTGGATGGATTTTTTTTCAAGGCGCAGTCCACTTAATCGAATAAGTAAAATATCCGGACTAACCTAACTTAATCTAACCTAACCTAATTTATATTATTATAATTGAGCGCGGGTATAAAACCATCTTGTTTTGAGCGTTTTAAATGCGTTCTATTATACGTTTACTAGATAAAGTCTAAGATTACAAATTGGGTGTGTATTATTTAATCGTGTAAAATAGAATACCTATATATTATTATTACCCATAGGATTATCATGTATATATATATATATATATATATTTTTTTTTAATTTGTACTAATTTTCTCGTTTTATAATCGTATATATGTGTATACGCGTTTAACCGAAAGCAAGTTCCACCCATATTATTATATTATATAAATATTTTCTATCCCCTTATTCTCGATTCTACGCCGCACTGAATACATTTCGAAATTTTCTTCGTTTGAAATCGGATTACATCACAACAATACGACCGTGTTAATATCTGCAGTAGAATTCTACTCACGATTAACAATAATATAATATTCTTATCAACGTGGCGGACGTGTGTATATAATATGATACGGAGAGATCACGTTTTCAGTTACCCTACCTAGTTACTGTGTTTCCAGCGTAGTTTATTGTGCAACGCGATCTAAACGCACTGTCGTACCTATACACAGCCGTGTTTATATTAGGCCGGTTGACTGTATTTAAGAACATAATATGCGAACCTGTGTGGCACTCCGCGTGTTCGTAATAATCGTAATAATAATAATAATACGACGAGAGTTTCGAGGTAATTTAACGACTATAAAACGACAATGTTTTATATTTTTATAATACGCGTACAGCTGATTGTACGATCTTTGTAATATTAGTCAATAGGTTTAATAAACCTAATATTATTTTAGATTTTATAATTGTTTAATTATTAGCAACCGTCTTGTTGACTGACGTATATGGAAACTCGTTTATTAATTAGATATTTTAATAAAGACCTTATGCTGTACATTTTTTTTTTCTTTTTATCACCAATTAAAATTGTTATCTTCACGTGGTCACTCGCGTAGTCATACGGAATACCTACATAATTTTATTGTACTCTCTTTTTGGCGGTGACCCTCCAATCCCTCTTATAGATAGTTGAAGATGCTATATTTGTATGTAATACTCGCGGGGGGGGGAGGGGAGGCTTGAATCGTATAATCATCATAATATTAAGCGCCATGACCTTTATTGCATAACTCGTTCCGTGTGTACTACAACTGTATACGATAAGACGAAAGAATGCCTCGACTTTTCCTGATTAAGATAATAAATATATACATACATTTATATACAAATAAAATATGTAATTTATATTGTTACGAAATTCGGCGTGCTCTATTATAATTTACGAGAGCCAGTTGTCGTACACTGAATTGTATTAGATATATTAAACCGTGTTATTTCGTTTAGATGATGATAATAATAATAATAATAATAATCAATATTTTGTACTAAACATAATTAATCCTTTTATTTTCTTATTGATATTATTGTGATTGGCGTGTATCTATTTATATTTGAACACAACATATTTGTATGTTATGATATTCTTACGGTGTATGTTCCGATATTTTTCTTATCAAACACATTATATCTATATATATACATTTTTTTTTGTTTTTTTGTTAACGATACAATGTCCACACAAATCGCCAAGTACTATTCGGATACGCTCTCTTTTTCGAAAAAAAAAAATCGAATTATATATTCATATAATTAAATGTACAATTACGTAGTTTTTTTTTGATGGAAACCATTATTATTATTTAGATTGGTATTAATTTTTAATAAAATTATACGTATTCCGATGATATTATTATTATTATTGTTTTTTTTTTTCTGTATTCCGAGTCTTTTACTTTCGCCGGTAACGAGTGTGGACGTTCGTGAAAGAATAACCCTACGAAAGGAAATCTCCGATTCGTTCCCCATTCCCCCGAGAAGGTTATATATATTTTTTTTACAACGGAAAAATAATAATAACGATAATAATAATAATAATAAAAAACTATTCTATTGTTGATCGATTACGGCGGCGGCGGCGGATTCAAACTCAGCAATGGAGAGGGGCTAAGATTGTTGTCATTGGCCGATATAGATTAATTCCATCACCTTGTGTGTCATACAGGTTGGTGAAAACTCGTTCCATACTCTTGACAACTGGCCCCTTAACAGCGTTAGTATTGTGTTTGAGCACTAAAAATATATGTATTTTTGTAACAGCGACGCAATTCTTCGTGCGACCCGGTGACCTTGAACCGTAAACAATTTCTAGTAATAAATAACATCCACAAGAGAATATTTTAAGATTAAATATTACGAGAGAGTATATTATACGAAACGTCGTACAGGAACAACCGGTCCATACACACAGCCTCTGGCTATGACTGGCGAACGACCCGGCCCGACCGTGCTCGGAGTTTTCATGAACATCCTCTGTTTGTATTTGGATCCTATTTTCGGATACTTCGAGTAAACACGACTCCGCCGGATGTTTTATCACGGAAATAGATTTCCTGAGCTTGTGTTTATACATCATGTTACAATACGACTACTACTTATATGTAAACATTACATATTTCATTATATTATTATATTTGTAAGCGTCTTTGAATTCCGTTGTTGTTTGGGGTTTCAAGTGGTTCGCTTTCAGTTTTTAATGCTAGTTTTGTAGGATTGGCTTATTTAAATGTATCGATCTGGAATTGGAATACTATATTATATAATGGAAAGAAATATTATGTACGCCCGCTTCTGAACGAGTTTTTTTTTTTAAAAAAAAAATCTTATAGTTTCTCGTTTACGTTTCGTTTTGTTCCTAGTATATTTTTTATTCATCAGTTCAGTATATCATATTATATTTACCTTTATTATGATGGATTCGATTTCGTCGTGACAAGCTAATACAGAAATTATATTACATCAAACATGCATGCATGCATGCATGCATACATACATACATACATGCATACATACATACATACATATATCAACAACATCATGGATAATAAGTTTTTGTTTATAAAAAAAAACTTCGCTTAGTGTGGGTCAGTTCACAATAGAAATTTTAATTTCGTTTTAAGCGGGATGTTAAGAATTATTTTAGTTTATTCACGAATGTATATTTCTGTAAACCCGGTAGTAAGATAAGGTTTATTTCTGGCATATTATTATTTGTTATATTGAGTAGTAAAATGAGTCTTCGTTGTGCGAACGGAATGGTAACGAGGCCACCAGGTAGTTTTTGTTGTACACAAAGAGCAGCCGATACTGCAGCGTGTCATCGGTATTTAATGCGCATCGTGTGCAGGATTTATGTCGTCGCGGATAGAATAAATAATAGTTAAAAGTTATACGAACAGACATCGAAAGCGAAGACGTAATAATACAATTTTCTGTCTTCACAAATAATAAAAAAAATGAAAAACAAAAATCTGTTTTTAATCGCGTTACGTCAATTTCACACGTTATTTTTCGGATCATTTGGTATGTAGTGTGGTGTAATGTTAAATTTTTTTTTCTCACGTGCACGCCATAGAAACTGTTTCAGAACTAAATTAGTAGAAAAAAAATGTATTTTATTTTATTTGTGTGAATAATTATTTGGAAAAAAAAAATAAAATGTTGGAGGGTATCTGGCAACCAGATGTTGTTATTTAAACCTTGTAACAAATAATAGCAAGAGTCATTACATAAACTTGTTAGGCCGAATCGATTCTTATTCGAGTAAAACTCCTCTAATACTCGTAATATAATAATAATCTTACGGTATTCCCAGTAAAATCCTAATTAATTTAGATTCCTATATTTTCGAGTATAATTTGGCGAAAAAATTAAAAAAACATTGTAATTGCATTTCTAATTTATATAATATTGTGTGTTTGAAGGAAATTGAAACCCTTAGATTTATATTTTTTTTTATTGGATATTTTTGAAATAATTCTTAATGAAACGAAGCATGTATATTTTGTTTTACTATGATATTTTTGTTCTTGTGTATGTAAATAACTTCCAAAAAAATCTTGCTCCGATCCAAAACTTTTATTGGGTCTTTCTTATAGAATTTTTTTAAATTTTTTTTTTTGATCCTTTTTTCATGTTCTTTGTAATTTTCTTAATAAATGGGAAAAATGACAATTCTGTTTATAATTTCTATTGATTTACAACTAATAATAATTCTGTTCAGAATCGTTTTTCGAGTAAAGTGAATCATACTCTGTTAATAATAAGTAGGTATTTCTAATTTAGAACGGCTAGGTATGTGTGTATATATATAGTGACGTTGGTGGTAATTACGTAGGTATAACAGTATTCGATTTCTATGGTGGACTTCCTTACACGTTTAATCGACTCGTGTATCTTCCGAGCAATGTAATTCGACAAGACTATAATATTGATGTAAACCTAAACCATAACCGCAGGAAATGCGATATTTTTATTTTATAATATAATATACTCGTTTGGGTTCGGTTGTTTTATGATGTTTTTATCTGGAAATAATTATTACTACTGCATGTTTTTTTTTTTTTTTTTTGTCAACCGAGTCCAGTATAAAATTATTATTTATCTCGCGCCCATTGATTAAATTTTGGATGTTTATTTTTGATAGGCAGCTAGTAAAATGATACTTTTATATTTGTTCAACAACTATATAATATTTAATATAATATGAATGCATTAATTTTTGTTGTGGTATTTATGTTCAACTCGTTTGTATATATTGTCCGTGTAATACACATCATACACATAAAATATAATATCTAAACAGAACGACGTGCATGTATAATATTTCATTGGTTCGAACTAGTATTTTGATAAAAATTGTTATTATACATTTTTCGTTATCGAAATAAATTGGATTAATTTAACGTCTTATCTGGAGTATGCGAATAGTTGTACAAAGAGGGCTTGTTTTATAAATACGTATGTATAGAAGTTTATTATTATTGACGCAGTTTACCGAACAAAATATTTGATTACAACAACTGTGCATAATTAAAAGTACTTAGTTGAATGTTTAACGCCTTTCCTTTTAACGAATATTCATCGAGGAATTTATTTTATAAACGTTTTATAGAACTATTGCTGCAGCGCTACAACAGTATTAAAGCCCAATTAATTATAATATTATTATCTCATACATTTTTAAATATTCTAATGTAAAAATCATAAACCACTAACATTGTAATAATATATATTTAATTGTTAATTGAATAACTCAATACTACGTAGGTATCGAATAAAGAAAACGCAATTTTTCACCGACTTTTAATTGGACGATAGCTTTAGTTGCTAATTAAGTAGATGGCTATTCGATTTGACAATGTTTTTATTTATTTTTTTGATTAAACATTTTGGAGCTGTTAATACGCTCAGTAATCAGAATTGAGCAGCTTAGAAATTTAGTAATGAAACTGAGAAAAATCCCATGAGAACAGATTAAAGCAGCCTGTTCTATGCGAATCAGTCTAAAACTTAGGTTCTTGTCATTAAAAAGTGTGTACTCATTTAAGGTATGATGAGTAGGGTTAAAAAAAATTAAAGGAAGTGTTGAAATAAGTTTGTAATGGTTTTATGATGATTAACACAAAATAGAAATCAAATTCATTTGAATCCTCCAATAAAATCGCTGGCTCGTGAATGAATCATTCTGTATATATTTTAATTATTTATTCATACTTTTGTGTATATATATGTAGTTAGGTAAATAATATTATAGTCACAAAAAACAAGTTTATGTTCAATGTTCACGCATTCAAATATTCTATTTTTGCATTATCAGTAGATTATTGGAAAATTGTTATGGGTTTAAAGCAATAAAACTCGGTGAAAACGGTGTCAACGATCGTATAAATTAATTTTTGTTACTTTATAATATAAATTTTATTGTAAGTGTATTGATACTATTCCGCAGTTTTATTTTAACGGTTTATCACATTTTATGTACTTGCATAATTATTGTAAAAAGTAAACTGAAATAATTCCTTATTTCCTAATGAAGTGGGCAAATCATTACGTTATAATAGAAACGTTTATTTTAATCTGTAACGATATTTTTTGAATTTTATAATATTTTTACAAAAACTAAAAACTAAATTTTTCACTGTTATTTTGCTCATTTTTATGTGAGCTGTGGAAGAGGCTGTAATTTTTTTTTTTTTTTTTTAAAAAAAAAATAAAAATGTGTATAGTTTTTGTTTATTTTTTATCAGGTATATTTTTATTTGAACAGTTTTATTTATCCAAATACTCATTAAAAAAATATTGAACCTTTTTTCGTTTTAATTTACGATTAACATTAAAATTACCATCGAAAAATAATACGACTTACGAACACACTTAATTTATGATATCGTGATTTAGAGTTGAGCATGGGGTATTTTTAATACTGCACGTCTGTTACAACCAAGATAACAATGTGTTTGCTATAAAATGTAATATTATTTATGTTTTGAAAGTTTTATCATTATTATTTTACTACTATAACTCTTATACCATTATAAAGACATACGAAACATGAATCATTGGAAAATGTCTGACACGGGATACTATTCTTATAATGTTTTCGCATACCTACCTACTTACTTATTAGTTATTAATATTCTCAAATACTTGCAGTTATGGAAATTTGTATAAAGTATCAGATTTAAAGTCTTATTGGTTAGATATAATACTCGGTTTGTTAACGATAAATATATAATATGTATAGTTACCGGCTAGTTTGTAGAAAAGTGATTTCCTTGTGTTACTCATCACTGAATGAAGTGCGTTTAAATCGCTGACTTGAAACTGACTAATTTATCGTAAAATAATACAGCGAACTTCTGTGAGTCATACGCATCATCAAAATCAGTGTTAGAGCATGTCGACATTGAATTTCGACCAAGGTCGTCATTTTTATTTTATAGCAAAATTAATTCGCTGCATTGCTATCACATGTTGTCTAATCTTTATTATTATTATATAAGGTACATATAGGTAATTTATTTTTGCCGAATCCAATTGATAAGGTTTTATTCGCTTATTTTGTTATGAGTTACTGTATTTTTTTTATATATATGTACCTGAATGTATTTTTTCAGTTTTATACTTATATTAGAATCGTTTATCTAAAAAAGTAATCTGCAATATTATTATTTCTTCTTTTGATATTTCACGCAATTATTTGAGGCCCGCAGAATCTGTATCCCGTCCTAAAATATATCTTCCCAAAGCTTGTAATATTTTTTCTAACGTGTTAGTACGTTACCAAACCGTCAAAATGAATTATCTTAGTCTATTTAAAAATATAAATATTACCTATATTTTTAAAATGACCGATTCGTTTCTATATTTTTTTTCAGTTATATCATTTTCTATATAAAACCCTTTTATTATAAGTGTAACCGTAATTCTGTTATAGGTACGTAGTATTGCATAGTTCCTCTAATTTTTTCGATTTCATGTGAGTACGGGATTCATACATAATCTATATTATATTATTTTCTATGTTGTGCGTATGTGTAGAAAATAAAATATAAAACTAGAGATGATGCAACTGATGAGTGTACTGTAATGTAGTTGGGAAATTGGGAAGGGAAGTTACAATTTTCGTCGAAATTTGGACATGAAATACCGTTAATACCGTAAACTTTATCATTTTGGAACTCGTGTCGAATGCTATTTACGCGAATGTCGATCAATGTTATCTACGTCTCTGACGATAAAACCAATGTGGGTCCGACGTTGACAGTGCGCTCTTATGTCGTTGGTAGATAGTTATGTATACTATATATATTACTGGCCAAACCCGATTTTATGATAAACTAGTAGTTTATCCTTTACATCAGATGTGTTAAGCCTTTAAAAAACCGATGTATAATATAGTCTACCGTGTCGTTTTCAGACTAACCCCCTCCCTTCTGAACGGGATGAAGTAGATTGCGGTTGTGATAGATACGTTTTCGGTGTAGGCAACATACGACGCGAGCTCCCCCATTTTTCCCAATTTTTAAGAAAATTATTTGGAAAATAAAAAAACTTGTCTCGACGTAGAAAAGTTGTACAAATGCACCACACATTCAGACAAAAAACACACACACATTATAGAAAACCAATATATCCATCGCTATGCGCAGAATCGAATATATTATAGTTTTATGATAATTTTAAAACCATGCAAAATATCTTTACGATAAAATAAGGAGTTTTATGTAGTAATCAATAGAAAACGAATAAATGACTCATTCGGCGACAACCCTCTGTCCGGTAGTGTATAATAATACGGCGGAACTGTTGAAAACGAACGGCGGCGTCGGCGTCGACGATGAGTCACGAGTTTCTCTTCGGTCCCTGGTAGACACAAGGGGGAAAAAGTATCTTGTGTATAGCGTGCGTGTACTGTACGCCGTTATAAGTTGTGTGTATTGATGAAATCAACGGGGCAAATGTTGGTTTTTACCTACAAAGGAACACAAAATTACTTGCCGATTATTATAAGCGAGATCGTTGCTCGTAGAATACAAATTGTCTGAATAACTGAGTCCAAAAATATATTTTTATTCTAACACATATTATATTGAAATTAATGAAACTGTCTTAATTTACTATAATATTTTTTTTTTTTTTTTTGTTTGGCTAAAAAGGCATAGTCGTTTAGAACAACGACATTTGAGTTGGGCTATATAGAAATTTAAAAACTATGCCATTATGCCATCTAGCAATTTTTGAAATTTAATTTACTTGTATTGAAAACCATATATGACTTCAGCCGTAGACCGATGATACAATTATTTAGTTCGATCGAAAATAATGCCTAGGTAATTTTACTATAATGCGGTAGTCCAATATAAGTTCTATAAAATATATAGGTACCTACTTCAGATGTATATTTTTTTTAAATGTACACCGCAAGGTTTTATTAATTTAAAACAAATAATACTCCAAGTGCTTTTGAAATTCGTTTTAATAGTTTATGCTTCAATTAAAATAATTAAATGACGCTTCATAAATATATATACATATATAGGTATACATTTTAAAAAAAGCACTTAGTATATTATTATAATATAATTATGTTTTAAATTACTATATCCGAGTGGTATATAAAACGATGGTGTAACTTTAAAATAGCTTTACTACTGAAAAAATGTTACAATAATTGTGCATTTCGAATAATTAGAAAGTCCCATAAAATAATATTTCTTTTTTCTTTAAAATACGGTCATGTTTATTTGTATTATTTTATAATGTCGCAGCGTATACTGTAACAACACGTGTCTCAACATTTTATCAAACGAAATCACTATCGATATTAATAAAAAAAAAAGTGTTTCCGAGCATTATTAATTTGTTTGAACTTGCGGTTACATTGTAAATCACAAACAATAATAACACCACTTATATCAAAACCGTGTATCAACATATGTATATAACGTATTTCAGACATTAACATTTATGGCACATGACCATTTAAATAATATTTTTAAACTACCAAAACTGAGATACAGTTACATTATAAGCGATGATTTTCAGCCTAAAATAATTATATTGTATCAAATATAATTAATGAATTTATTTGACCGTTAACAATATTCATGTCTGTAACCGGCCTTTCTAACAGAAATATTCCTCCGTTTATCAAATTTAGGAGTGATTTCAAGTAGAACATTTTGTCTAGTTGGTGCACATCGAGGATGTAATTTTTTTATTTTACTTGTACATAATTTTCTTAATAATTGAGAGAAGATATCGAGAAAACGGGAATGCAATTTCCCACCAAAAATATTCAAAAATTGATTCAAGATCATCATAAATTTTACTTAATGGTATAAAAAGTTAAATGTAACGTACTTTTTTTTTTTTCTTTGTGGAGGTAAAATTTCCTTCGAAAATCGTAAAATTCGCAGCATTTTTCAAAATATGTTTAACCGAACTTGTTCAGAATTGTTTTTCGTTAGCATTGATGATTTATCGTTGCGTAAAAATATAATTTAAATTACTCTATGTAATTTCTAATTTTCCACCTACAACCATAGCACACCCATTAGCAGTATCAGTTCTTTTTATACTAGAATATGTTATCTAATACATTTTTTTCCTATTGTAACTCACATTAAAAAAATTATATTGATATGGGCCGCTTGAAGTCTAAGGTACAACGGGATTGGAATTTTTCTGTTTTAAAACAATGATAAATGTTTTATAAATAGTAAAGTATAATCGGCCATTATCAATATTGATAAATTAAAATATATAATTATTCATCAAAATATGTATTAAAAACATTTCCAGTAGATTATTTTAAAATTACTGTTTTACATTTTGATAGTCATAAATTATTATTAATATAATAATGGTTGTATAATGTCGAGCTCCTTAAAAATGTGTAATTAATGAATAATAATATTAAAATACCAAGATACCATAGGTACAATATAGGATTTTAACTCGTGTTACTTTAAAATTGTATTAGTCAAATTTGCATTTTTTTTAAATATTTTCTCAAAATAATTAATTAAATTAAACATTGTACTACCTGTGGCGTGTTGTACATTTTTCTACCCCGAAAGTGGAGACTACTCTATGTAAGTGTAATTTATTAATATTGAAAGAGTTAAATTGTTAAACGAAACTTATCTAAATTGTAAACAAAAATGTAGTCTAAACTATATTATTATATTAATGAATCATAAGTATTTGTTATGCGATTTTCTTTTATTATCAGACTTGATAAACTTATCATGAAGGTCTTCATCATTAATCAGTAATCGCAGAAAAAAATACAGCTAGACAAAACGGATACTTCATTTATTCAATAATTTTTTAATTAAACATATTTTGATAGTAATTTATTAAACTTGTTAAAATAAAATAATCTATACCTATTACCCAGATAAAATGTAGAATGGCCATTTTTAAAGAATATTAATTCATTTATGCCAGAATGTGGCATACATATTTATTTATTATTGTATGTTTGTCTCACATAATACTTATATATTTAGTTGCCATGGAAAATAAGTAAGGCGGACTGATTTTATATATAAAATTTATTTACAATAATATTAGTTAGATATTATAATGTAGTATAATAACGATTTCATGATTTTTAACGCACCATACAAGTTTGTAATAACAATTAATACAGACAATATAATGCTTTGTTGAAATATATTATGTAGTCAAATGATTATGTGATGTATATTCATCGATTTCTACGATTCTCCGATGCACGTTGACTTTTTATTGTACCTACTCATTAGGTTTGTCATTTTTCAAAAGCCATGTTACTTGATACAAAATTTATTTTTCCAAATATGTATTTCGTCGTCATTATCGGTACGCTGTCGTATTATAAACGTCATTTTCCGTTTTAAAATTGGAAGAAAATGTCCACTTATAGTAATGTTGTGTAATATTTGATTTGGGCAGGCATAATACAATGTCAAAAGTGTCTTTCGAGTAACACAATTACGGACAACTACACCTTAAACATAAATCATAGCACTACTAACTCGGTTCAAGGACAAGGGTAATAATAATGATCACAGGATGTATGCAAGGCATTCTTATTCAATTGAATATAACGTCTGGTTGCCTAGCCAATCGTTTATCCACTGTAACATTATAGTCTCTTTCTATTTCGTTTTTATTATTATCGGCGTGTTGTATTCAAATACGACGCACGTATATAATATTGATGTACGCGTTTATTTTAAATCACGTACCTTTTATATGCATATATGTACTCGTTCCATTATTTTCCTAGTAATACGAACCGCTAGATTTTTTTTTTTTTATTCCTAACACTGTGTATTACCGGAAACCACTATCAATGAGTTCTCAAAATATTTGTATAATATATTGACAGTCGCTGTCAAAACTACTGCTATTTTTTTTTTTTTTATTTACATTCAACGATTAGCTATTATAATACATTTATGCACGGACTTGTGGCGCGTTTCACATATTATAGGTGCAATATTTAATTTTATTATATCTCAATGTGTATTGGTAAACATTCATTAAACATATATTATTTAAATGTGAATTCTTCGTTTTCAAAGAACAAATTCCCCTCCGATATAATTTAAGCATTTTAAGCGTAATGTGTACTTTGTAGATAAGGACGAATGTATTTTATTATTATACGTGATATTTAAATTGGTGGGGCAAAAATGACTGGTAATTAATTATTTTTTTTTTTTATTTTATTTTGTTTCAGACTGATCAAACGTTTGACGTAGAATTTGTGTGACAATTCAAACGTCGTTAATATAACCTAAAAACTGAACATTTTATCATAGTTTTTACTTTATAATTGTTAAGTTTTAAACATACATAAAATAATTTATATCCGAATTTTGGTGACTATACGAATAACTACTAACTAAAATGGGAGCCAGACAAAGCAAAAGATCGGTAGACATATCTGCCGGAGCGACGAAAGCAGAAAAAGCACCAGCTGGCGAACCTTTGGAAAATGGTACAATTACCTCATCTGCCGATGAAAAACAAGTGATCGAGGTAAATGGCGGAGTAGAAGAAACACCCAAACAGAATGGCTCAACACCACATGTAGATGAAAAGGTATTATAATTATTATCATTTTTAAAAAGAATTTTAAATTTGATAACAATTTTTCCTAGATTTATCTTCACAAACAATAATCCCTTAATGACTTATTATTGGACGGTATTAATGTACGGTGTAAGTGCGTATCATTAATGTTGCAATTCGTAATATTACCATTTTAAGTGATATTATCTAATTAAATTTTTATTCGGTGCCTAATATTTATACAAATTTAAATTTTATTTACACAAACATAGTTATGTCAAATTTTTCCCAGAAATAGAAACTATATTGCACTGCATTTAGGTTTTCATTAATGGAATTTAATTCATCTATATAATATAATTTTAAATGTATAGATTCTTAATACTAAATCACAGTTTAGTATATATTAATAATATACAAACTTTTGTAGAATAGTATTTAGCGTCAATATTGCAATAACCTACAAAATGACTGGTTTTCGTTTTAAAATATTTTTGTTTTCATATTGTCTCAGTTTGTATTGTTCTTTCTTTCTGGTTGAATGTAGACAAAATCAGTTTTGTTTGTCATGCAAATCAGTAGTGTAAACCCTATGGTAATTTCTATAATATTATTCTAATCTAGATCCATAACAACGCATGGCATTAGGTAATATGAAAATGACTAATTTTCTAAATATAATAATTTTAATTTTATTTGTGTCTTTTATGTAGGTTCCAACTGAAATAATTTAAACATTATATTTTCTTATATTAAAATCAATTTAACGAAAAATGTAGGTTGTAAATTTTTTTGGTAGTTAGGTTAAGTAAACCTGTTGAAGTAAATTTATGAAACTTTTACATGTCTTACAATATCTATTTTTTTTTTTCCTACGAAAACTAATTATTTATTTACCTATTGTAAGTTGAAAAAAAATGTTTTTCAGTTTTTTTTTAAATTAAAATTTGTATTTCTTTTAATCCCCTTTAAGAGGTGATTACTAATTTTAAACATAGTAATCACAAGAGAAGAGGGGTAAATTAATATTTTGGTTTTTTACCCGATGTTTCGATATTAAATATAATCGAAATCATCACTAGGGGCCAAAACACCATTTTAAGTCTTTAAACTAATGCATACTGAAGTTTCAACGCAATTTTATTTACATCATAATGTGATAATAATAATAATAGGTACCTAGTAGTAAACAATATAAGTAAATGTTTGTTATAGGAAATATAAATTTAATTTCAGAAAAACTAGATTAAGTAGGTACTTTTAATTAGTAGTTGTCACTTGAAAATCAATATCCTAATAGGTGTGTCCTTTTTAGAGGTGATTGCTAATGTGTTATGTAGCTTTCATAAGAGAAGAAGGATATAGTAATATTTTGGTTTTTTTACCCGATAATTCGATTATTATATTGTCGTAATTATCACTAGGGGCCAAAACAATTTAAAATATGCATAATAATGCTTAGAGATATAATATAAAACATGTAGGTACTTATCTTTTAAAAAATCATAATTTTTACATCCTTTTTAGAGGTGATTGCTAATGTGTTTTATGTAGCTTTCATAAGAGAAGAAGGATAAAGTAATATTTTGTCTTTTTAATCCGATATTTCGATTATTATACTGTCGTAATTATCACTGGGAGCAAATACATGATAAAAAAAAAAAAAATGTGTAAGTTGATCGAAAAGAATAATATATAGGTACATAATAATTTAAACTAAGCTTGTGATAGAGATAGAGAATTATAGATTTTTAAATCTTATAGATTATCTTTATGCCTAGTAAAACAATATTAATATTTTTCTCGTTCTTTCTACGTATTTTTTTGGTTTTGCTCGATTGTTAAAAAAAAAAAACTTCAAAGAAAATCAAAAAATATATCTTGTTCTTCTATTGGAGTAATATTTATGGTAGAAAACAGAAAGCGTAAAAATTTAAAAATTAAGGAATCCCGGCACCATAAATTTATCGTGTTTTCATTTTTTGGTTTTTCTTAGTTATTACAACAAAAAGTACTAAGAAAATCCAAATCCGAATAACCTATTAACGTACTAGATTAAAAATGCAACACAATTGTTATTTTTCTATTAGAAAATATAAGCCGTACAAATTTAAAATAATGAAATTGTTGTACAGTAATTTGATAATGAATCTTATTTTTTGTCATTTTTGTTTTTTCCTAATTATTATGTAAAATACTTTAGATATCAAATAATGACTTACTCTATCGGTGGATATATGTTAAAAGTAACAAAATTGATGTCTTATCGTTTTTTGATTGGAACAATATTTTTATTAGAAAACATAAGTTGCAAAAATTAAAAATTAAATTAAATGAAATCGATATGCTGTAAATATTTTTTAAATTCCTTGTGTAATAAAAAATGACCTTTATTACATCAACTAGACAAAATTTCTTTCAGAAGATGTGTTAAACTCCATGCATCAGATAAAGATTTCTTTTTGAAAAATTGTTTACAGGCAGAAAAAAAAAACGCCCTCTTAGTTACACCAATAGGATCCCTCAATACCCTCTGAATCTTAAATAACGAGCCAAGCACACTACCTTGTTACACTCCACATATTATTTTCCTTTATTGACCTAATAGTAAATTTATTTTAACTGTTAATTGCCTATCTGTAAGATAATTACTTATCCATTTCAGACTAGATGAAGTTATGGCTCATTATGGTTACTGTATAAGATGCCTTACCCTGGTCTAAGACAACTGATAAACAATTTTTTATCATTGTCAAGAGCATTATATTTTTTAGTCGATTTTGAAATGTTATATATATATTACAATAGTTGTTACTATTTTATTAATTATACAATTTTGTTAAAAGTGCAGAAAAAACTAGTTTATGGTCACCTTGCCACCGCACTTGGAAAAGTCTTAAGATTTTTTAATTTTTTCTGGAATTTAAAAAAAAAAATTCTTAGCTTTTTGTGCCATTTATGGTTTCAAGAATCATGGCATATCAAAAATTAAATTAGGTAGATTATCAAAAAAAAATAAACTGAATTTTATGAAACTTTCAATATTAATTTTCAGAAATGTCAAATGTTTATAGTCTATACTATTATCAGATTAATAACACAGACTAAATAATTCCGTATGTTCTTTTTTTGAAGTAGTCAATGTACCTAGCAATTAAATCCATTTTTTTATTGTTTTTAATACATTAAGTTAAAGGATTTTATTTTGTGTTAAGGTATTTACATATTTTATGTTACTAGTGAACCAGTACCAAGTTTTATTATTATAGATATATAATATAAAAATATTATTTTTTTTTTATTATTGAAGTATTAAGTATAAACATTACATAACTTATCCATTAATAATTACATTATCTAAATAAAAATTATTTGTTAAAATGAAAATGTTCTTGTTCATTTTTTTTAAATTTGAACTTTAATTTTAATAATGGGTATGGAAAATTAAAAAAAAAAATTAAAATAGTCTAAAAGTCAGGGAATTTGTCAATTTGAAAATTGTGGCAACCATGTAGTTGTATTTTAATTATTTTGTAATACAAATCATACAATTCTCAATAAAATTATGTTTCAGGAAAATGCTGAAACAGCACCTTCTGTTGATGATGTCAAGGAACCTGCAAATTCAGAAGAAGAAGAAAAAACTGAAGCTACAGCTTCTGAAGTTAATGGAAATTTAGACACTACTGTTGAAGAATCAGCTAAAAGTCCTACCGATGAATCGGCTTCAACAGAAGTACAAGCATCTGGAGAAAAAAAACGCAAGAAGAAGAAATCTTGGTCATTCAGAAGCATCAGTTTTTCCAAGAAGGACAAATCTAAACCAACAGTTAAGGAAACGTCCGTTACTGATGTAAAAACTGAAACTGTAGAAGAGGTAAGATAGCAAAAATTAATAATATAATTTATAATCTTTATAAAATTCAATTTAATCCTACTGATTATAGTTTCACGAAATAGTGTTGGGAATAAATGGATTTTAAATATTATGTATATTTAGTAGATATATATTAATAAAAAAAAAATACCACCATTTTTGTTATGAATTTTAATGTATATTTTCTTTAAGCTAATATAATAAAAATATCATTCTAATTTTTAATATTACTAACAATGAACTATGAGTTATATTCTAGTATATAGAGTATTATAAAAACTAGTTAATTACGAATAAATCAATAATAAAGTTTTAACATTTAATATAAATTTTTACTTTAAAGTTTACATTATAAAACTTAAAATAAAGAGATTATTTCTTTTTCACAAAAGTTAATTATATATGAATAACTATTTCAGTTTTCCATAATTCACTGTTGAAACTCTATACTTCCGTCTAGTAATGTATTAACTATATGGTATATATATTGTAAAGCCTTTATTCTCAACTTTATTTTGGTAATTATTATATTATAAAAACCTTACAAATATATATTTCAATATGGCAAACATCAATGACTTCAAATATGTTTTTTTTTTTAAAAAAAAATTACTAAACCAATAGTTAAGATACCTAATTGATTTCTTTTTTTGCAAGTTAAAGTAACTAAGAATTTGTCCTTATATTTATAATGTTTCTGATTTATAAATTGTATTCAATAATAGTACATTCATTCATTCCCCAAAAAAAAATAACAGTACTTAATAATTTTGTTTAATTCTTTTATCTTCTTACGTCTGGCTGCAACACAAAAACATGGTACTTATATTATTCTAAAATTGTTTTAATCTACCTATTAACTTGGGTATAATACAAGATTTTTAATAGTTTTTAAATATCACAACACAATATTAACTAAATGTTAAATGATTTTGGAGTAAGTTTTATTAAACTCTTAGATTTTAGAATGGCAAGAATAAAATATTTCATTTGTTTTCAACCTATTTCTGATTTTGTTCTAGTATTTTGAATGCCCTGGATCCATGTTCGATTCGGTTTTTTTTTTTTTTTTTTACCAGACAGTAGCCTGGTCACAAAAGCAAACTGTGAAACCTTGAACCTATCACGGTGCTGTAGGACATTGACTTGTTTGAATACTCTATGTATGATAGCTCTATATATCAGTTTCTCTAATGTTGTTGTTACGTTCTTCAAACAGAGAACGCACTAGATCGCGCGCATGTCGATGTTAGTCACGAATTTTACCATATTTAATTTTTTATTATTATTATTATTATTATTATTGCCGCATCTAACAGAGAGAATAAAGAAGAGGGAAAGGGTGTATACAGTGGGTATAATATAACATTATATGTGCCACGCGCGATCGGGATTAATCATATTTTAGTTTCTTAAAAACAGACAACAATAGCCGCTCGAAAATTGTCAGCGTAAACAATAAATATAAAAACGCACCTTTTTGATGATATAGGAACTTATTATTATATTATAGAGCGTACGTGAATATAGTTTAAGATTTTTCTTCCAATACAATATGCGCGACACGACTTTTGTCTACAGAAAACTGATCGAGGAATTATTATTTTAGGTATTGTCGCCTGTTTTTCTTGTAAAGTATTTTTAATCGGTAAACCACACCTTGTTGTTATAAAGCTGGTATTCAAACAATTTCCATTATTATATTCTATCTTGACTCTTGGGTTCTTCTAATTAAACAATTTACGTTGCGAATTTACTTTATAAAAGTCAAATTTTTTAAATAAAATAGTATTTTAATTAATGATATAATATAGTTTTATAGCCATACTTGAAGGTTAAATATAAATAAAAATGGTTTTCTGGGGTAGGCGTTAATGAAAATAATGACTTCCTCTTATTCAACTCCTGCAGTAGCAGTTTGTTTGACAGATTTCCCACAAGAATTATACTAAACTAACAAATGAACACTTAATATAAAAATAAGTCCGTAACTTGTATGTTAAATATTTCATTGTACTCATTTATTTTCTACTAAATGTTGAAAAAGTAAAGTTTAGTTAATATTATTATAATAAAGTTTAATGGTTGTTTTTAAATACGTATTAATTAAATATTAGTTATTTATTAATTTATGTGTTGATTTATTGTAAGTACGATAGGGTAATAAAAATGTTTACTCTGATAAATATTAGGAAAATATTGAAAAAGTTAAAATTAAAATTGATTTCTGAATTTATTCTTTTTATATTTTTTTAAAACTTTTTTTTAAATATTAATGCTATTAAATCATATTTCAAATGCTATTCTAATACTCCACCGTACACAAGAGTTTCTAAATTGAAATTCTAACATCAAAATAATCTCTGTCTAGTCTAAACAAGATAAAAAATAATATTAATACGAGTATACGAGTCTACTATTATGTTTTATGAATTATTATTATTATTTTCAAAGTTGAGGGGTGAAAAAAACAACTCTCCCTGTAACTATCTAGAAATGATGGTTAGTAGAAAATTTAGTCAAAGGCATGTTGCCAAAACTTTTATAGAAAAATATATATTGTATATATTATAGAAGGTACATCCATACAATTCGGGAAGGTCCACAAAAACTCGAGACGCGCACGATCGATCGCTTGAGACCCGTCGCGACGCCCCGGTTACCGTGGCAACACAGGCTGTGGCGTTTACGTAGGTACTATTATAATATCGGATAGCTGCTGCTGCTGTTGCTGCTGCTGCTGCTGGCTATCCTGAAATTAAATATATCCTCCGCCCATTGCAGTTATTCGGATTTTTTTTTTATACGTTTCGTATTCCAACCCCTCTCCCCCTCCGTAACGTCGCTGTACACGCTGCGGCAGCAGGTTGACAGTAGGTACTCAATTTATAAATCTACATTTCGCGGGTTAATAACATAAGTGTGTTTGTAAGTAGGAAGTGTCCTGATAGTGTGTATAATAAAGAAGCCCTGTGTCAAGTGTTTTAAAACAAAAATAAACAAATAGATAATATAGTGGGAGTCATTAAATATCTAAGTAGGTACTTCGTTAAATATGCACCGCACATAAAGCCGATAGTGCCATTTTTAAGTTTATTTCATAGGTACTTATCTGATGTAGGTATGCATTAGGGTTAAGCGGGTTTTCGTTTTTTGTATTCGAGTTGGGCATTAATTTTTTCATTTTCAGTCGAGTTTAAAAGTAGAGTACACGACCAACACTAGTATATTATAATATCTGTGTGCAAATTAAATTTTCATTCTAGTTCAAATTCAGTGTTTCTTTCGCTTACATTTTTTTTAAATAATAGCTTTATTGCAATATGAATTATGAAATGTACTTAACATTTCTTTTTGTCGATAAAATCAAAATAATGTTAGTGAGAAAAAACGAATTCTGTATAGGTATTCTATATATAATAATATGTTTGTTTGATTAAATTTTGGTTGATTTTTTTGGATCAAATTTAGTATAGTTAGTAAAGTAGGTTGGTAGTAGTAGTTTTAGTAGGTGTTCGTGGAATTTATTTTTTTTTTTTTTAAATATTCGTCTGGAAACAGAAAAACTTACGCAATAACTTTTTCTATTATTTCCGTTTTTGTTTTTTTGATGTAATTTAGTTAGAAATAATCCTGTAGAGATACTAGCTCTTTCTAGGCGTAGTGGTACAATGTAATTTATTGTTCGTTTATTATATTGAAATAATGGTTCTAAATCATTGTGCACCTTTTATAAAACTATAAAATGACACGATATTATATAAAATGTCTTGTATTGGTTTGGTACTTAACCGTACCAATAATAATAATTATACTCGTCATGACGCCTTCCATTTCGAGATTTAATCATTACATCTTCTATCAATTACGCAATGTCTTATGTTATTATGTTTTATCAAATATTTTGCTCTTCATATCGTATTGTGTTTTAATGTGTTTACGAAATTAAGAGGTTATAGTTTTTTATTACTTGTACTATATCTCCTAGTATACGTGTCTGTCATTCAAATATAATATATTTATCGTTTTTTTTTTAAAACTCTGAACTAGGTATATGAGTTCGTCTCGGAATTCTCGACTTGGATAAAATATAAACAAAATGTTATGGGTTGAATCAATAATTATTAGTACATCGATTATTTTCATTGAATAAATGAATAGTAAAAAAAAAAGGTAAGATTTATCGAGTGTTTATTTTAAAATAATATATGAAAACCATTTAAAACGTTATGTTTTACTTAGTACAATTTGATTTATCGTTCTTTAAAACTATGCTTTTATCGTATTATTTTTTTAAATTGCTGATTACTGACATTTTTGGATCTTGTTTAATAATATTTTATAGCGTCGTTATACTCTACGTGTAGCTTATGGAATCATTACATGCTTATCATTATATGACATAATTATCTTTGGAATTTTTCTTTATCTCAATTTCAATACACATTCACGCTATATTCATTGTGTAAATATAGTTTTTATAATTTAAATATGTATCAGTATGTAGAAAAGTTTAAAAATTCGAACGCCAATTAATATTAATTAGATAATATTCAACTATAAAATAATACGTTATTTAAATAGAACTAGTTCTGAATTTCAGTCTGTATATAGGTATTCCGTATTCATATTATAATATTATATTGATTATTAGGTATTTGTTCGAGTGATATTGGAATAACAGATTAAAATGAAGAAATAATGCGTTGGAATTTTATAAATTAATTAAAAATAAACATTCACTATACCACACATTGTTAAAAACGACGTGAAATTTATTTAAGAAAATGTTTAATCTTGAATGGAGTAAAAGTCTTTTGTTTTTTCTGTAGCAACCTAATGACTATGCAAAAACTATGTACTTACATATATTATAGTTCCACACAGAATGTACTTTAGTGCCGTTAAATAAATAACCAAAACTTGAAAAACAACCCAATAATTTGATCGTTGTGTTTGAACTCGCTTTTAAATACAACAATAATATTCGTGTGTATAAATTCAAAATGATTATGGCCCATTATTAATAATAATACAAGTATGTGTTGCGTTTGGTTAAAAGAGAGCAAACTCGCGCCGGAATTTTTATCCGCTAATCTCGTTTGTCTTTTACAAATCAACTGTAATGTCGTGTAATAAAATTCATCGTTATAATTTAAAGCTTTTTTTATTGTTGAAAAATGTAATTAAATTTAAATTTACTTTAATAATGTTAACAAAAACTGAAATGGAGTACTATATAAAAACCATCGTATAAACTATAGTTGGCATACAATTAAACGTAATATATGTGAACCTATTTATTAAATTAAGTAAGTTTGATAAAACTTGAATTAGCAAAAACGGAGTTTCGGGGGGGGGGGAATCTAAAACTTTTGGACAATCTATGGTTTTATTTTACGGTAACTGGGAAGGACCTACACCTAATTATTATTGTTTAAAACTTCCTCCGGTAAACTACATTAACAATACAACCCCAAGTTTTTTTTTATTTATATTTTTATAGTAGTAGTCGGTAGGTCAAAACTAAAAACTAAACAAAAAACTATTATATTATATCGTTAAATTGCCGTTATTCGAGACATATTATAATATTTTATTATACTACTGTCACCTAGCTACCCAAAAATTAGCACATCTATAGTAAAGGGGACATAATAGTAGTAATATTATTATTATTATTATTATTATTATTATTATATACACGTAGTTTTTTTTTCAAACCTTCGGGGTATGTTGACGAAAACAATGTGTGTAACAGTAAAAATCCAAAGATCCGCGTCCTTCGGATGCATATAAAGAAGAAGAACAAAAGCGGAAGGCGCGCGCGTTATTCATTTTTCCCCTTAACCGATAGACCCGATACGCACAAACACAATATTGTAATGGTGGCATTGTATAATAGCTTTGTCGTGTCTTCAACCGGTTTCTGTGTCTCGGGGTACATTGAACTATGTGGGTTTTTTTTTACTCATTTTTCTACTCTTTTTCGACAAAGACCCAACCAACAGATACCAACGGTTACACGGCGTGTTCCGCAGTGTATGTATAATAATAGTGTATATTATATTGGTACGCATATATATTTATACACACACACACACACACACCGACCGACTGTTTTACTCTGCTACTACTGTTCAAATGACGCGTAACCGCGAAACGAGAGGGATAGGCTACGACCGCCCCTCCTTTGACTGTGTGGGTTTTTTTTATTTTCATTTACTTACTTATACTCAGGTACTCACTTACTTATGCTTAAACAGTAGTCATTATAATAATTGTCGAATTCTAAGAGTTACCTTTATATTATGCATGTAAGATAAACGCGTTTTGTTAAGTGTATACTAAAAATGTATAATAACAGGATGAAACGGATTTGAAACAATAGGATGTCAGGCGATATACATATGTGGGAGATAATATACATTTATATATATATATTTACTTTATGACAAAAAATGCATTTGTCTTGCCGCAGATGACGGTGATGTTGTACTCGAAATGTTTTTTTCCCCCCGATTTTAATAACATATATATATACAATGCGGTTAATAAAACCACCGGGGTACTATAATAATGTTGATGAATTGTTGGTGTCAGAGACGATATTCTTTTCCATTCTCCCTTAATATATTTTATAATGCGTATGTTTACATTTTGCGTTACCTATTCATCAAATCTCTATTTATATATATATATATAATATAGTTTTTATCCCGTGGAAAGTCGAATACGCCTTTTTTTTGATTTCCCCACTAAATGACGTTCCATATATCAAAATAATATTATCCAAATGATTGTGTAATGTAATGTAATAATGTATATAAAGGACGACTCAATACAGACAGCGGATATTCGTGCTATCGTATATTTTGTTCGCCGTAAATTCAATCCCATCGATGTTATAACTATTATAGTTAAATAAGGTACATTCTGATTACCAGCTATAATAATGTCGGTTGTATACAATAGTTATTTTTTATTTTTTTTTTTTGTCCGCAATAAATAGTTAATAATAAAGATAAGTTGGATAACACCTAAGGATGTGATAATAATTATATTGTATTGCAGAACGTTTAGTTATATTTTGTTATGTTTTTATCTAAAACGGGAAAAGTACGAACAAAAAAAAAAAAAAAAACTTATTTAACTGAAATAAACTATAATATTTATAGTTGTAAGCTTATGAAATTATTGCGTTAAATCTGTAACTTTTTAATGTACCTATATGATGATATTGATAATAATAATAAAAAAAAAACTATTTTAAATGAAATCTCGTTCAATTTTTAATACCAATGATATGTTACAGTCCAAAAAGTTCTATTATAATTATATTTTATGGTATCAAATTTTTAGAAATCATAATTTTCTCATATTATTAATAGTAAAGTATTTCATTTCGAAAAGGTCTTCTAAATGCTATTTGCCAAGGGGTAGTTTTAGGCTCTTTTTTTTTTTTTTTTTTTTTTTTGTAACAATATTATTTTCCTTTTCACTTTGTGTCGATCGTAAATGAATCGGTGTGAGTGAGCTATGATATATATATTTATTCGTCTTATAGTCTCCCCTCATCCGGCTCGACCATATGGCGTGGTTACTGCCGCCAACTTTTAATAAGAATAAAACCAGTTTATATTTTTCGCTTTGCAGTGGCACACCGCTGCCGTTTAAAAATAATTACGTATTTTTATAGCAAACCACCTGTGCCGTATGTTCCGTCGTTTTATTGTAAAACATTCGGTACGGATGAGAGTCAATCGACTAAAATAACTACCGTTAATAGTGTACAATAGGGCTACAGAACAAACTTACCCTGCGATTTACTTATATACTAGCCAAACACTACAGATTTCTGATAGGTCTTATCAATTTAGATCAGCGATTTCGAGAAACACGCATCGCCGTCTTACACGACTACCTCAATAAGACGTCTATATTTCCAATGCATTTTATACTTAGAAAATCTTGTCTAAGTAAGAACCCCGACGACGATCCCGTGTGGGAATGTGTGTCGTCATTTGAACTGCCCACGCGTGGCATTAATTATTGCTTACACTAAGATTTCTGTTATGTTTACTATTTTTTCCCCTTTATATTATATGTATGTATATTAATTGTAATGAGTATCCTTCCTTTGACAAGTCCTTCCGCTTACAGATTTAAAGAGTCAGAAGTGTTCATCTGTGTGTGTTATGTCATATATATATTTCTGTTTTTTTCTGTTATAGTTTTTTTTTTTACAGAAATTCAACACGTGTACTTATGCAAGTCGTAGTGTTTATTTTTTTAATACTATTAATATAATTTAATGTATTAAAAAAAAAAAAAAAACTAGATTTTTTTTCCAAATTTAGCGTTGAAATCCGAAATCCGATGATAATAATATATTGACAATCTTGAATTCTCAGATTATTATTATTGTACCAATGTAATCTTGACAAAAAAATATTTTGCTCTCATATTTCGACGAGTTAAACTTCACGGAGTACCAAAATGCATTTCAACCAATCGTGGTTTCATACGAGGAAACTATTTTTATTTTATCGTTTTTTTTACATGATTTATATTTTACCATGTATTCGTGTTGTATCGTTATGGCTGCTAGCTACCCTATATATTATATTAATTGTTTCCAATAAGTTTTAAGACAGAAAACACAAAAAGTCCATTAAGTCAAATGCCGAACTTTGGCTCGTTACCCCTAATTATTTTGTACATTTGCATCGATATTTTCGTCGTGTTCCTCACTTTTGAACCTGACATTTGTTATTCGATTTGTTATTTATTATTATTTCAATCTCGTTTTAATTAAAATTCAAATAAATATGGCTTAAAAATATATATATAAAGACTAGGTATAATTAATATTAAAGGCATTAAGAACTCTTTTCGCTAGTGGTTTTTCAACCACTCGTCCGGTTTTTGATTGTTAGTAATTGTATTATATTATTTTACTTAATGTTGAGGGTAGGTACTATGATTTTACGTGGTCACTCTACGCAAAACTACGCGTTTAAATTATTTAAATTGCATTTTTTGTATTATTCCGTTTTTAAAATTATAAAAAAATTGTTCTATAGTAAATTCTAAAAATGTGTGTTTAACTTTTCTTAAATCATTATAATATATATAGAATACAGATAGAGGTGATTTAATTCCGAATAAATGTTTGCTATTTTGGATATTTTAAACCTTGGTACATAATTGTATAATATGCTCAAATATGATGTCACCGTTAGTAAACGAGAAATGACAGTAGGAACCAATAACCATACCTATTAAAATAACTGTGACTAATTATAAATATTGTGAAATCACTATTTAAAAATAATTGTTTTTTTTTTATGTATATATTAATTTCATATGCATTCCATCGGTTCAAATCGCTATTAAATACCTGAATTAGTCACTCTTAGAAATATAGGCCAAAAATGAATAACACAATTATTTTTATGAACATATTATTTTATTATATTATATTATATATTATTATTATTATTAAACTTTTGGAAAATATTTTATGATAAAAGGTTGAAATAATATTTGGCATTGAAATGCATGTTGTTAATAAGTAAAACTCGTGATGAACCTCTTGTAAAAATGTAAAAGCAGACCCAATAAATAATAATAAAAATCGCACATCATAATAAAACGATCATCTCTCCACTCAGAATCTAAAAATTGGTTTATTTCAAATTCGGTTAATTAAGTTTTTATATATATAAAAATAAATACAATAAAGTATTATAATGTAAGGGCTATCTTACAATATGCGATCTATCCGGTAGCGTACTTTCAACGTGTTTTTTTTTTTTTTTAATTTTTTCCATTTCATAACCAGAGATAATATCAATATACTACGTATTTTTGTCATACGATCGATCCTAAGCATTATGAGACATACGATAGGGCTAATCTGAAATGAACAATTCGATATTGTTCTTCTAGAAATTTAATCGTAGATGATAATTTGTGATCGTAGTATATAGCGTTATTATATTATTATCGTTTCAAAATACTTCCTTTCTATCAAACATTTTTTTTTCCTTCTCGTTTGTCTTCACTATATAGAAGTATTATAAAATATATTATCACAATATTAGCATTATATTTATGGCAGTAGATAAATGTTTGGTTTTAAAATAAAAAAAATACGAATACCAACATTAATCATAGAAGTGCATATGTAATTATGATCGTTTTTAAGTGGGGGCTGTACCCAAATTTACTATCGCGGTTTATCTAACCAACAGTATAGCAAAATATTATAATCTTACTGAGGACTTAAATTATGGTGTACACGTTTGCAATATTTTATTTTAAAAACGGGTTGCAAAATTTTAAGAGTTTAACCTTCGAGGACAGCTCGCTATTGTTGTTGTTGTTGTTGTGATTTTTTTTTTTTTTAATATTATCAAACCAAAAAGTAAAGTACAGATATTTCAATAAAGCAGTAAACTTTAGGCGTATATCCTCATTTAATCTTATGAGATTTAACGATTTATAGTAGATATATATTAATTAATAATAGAAGTATAACTATTATAAAATGTATGTACTTCGCTTTCGTAAATTTAGAGAACATAACACGTTTCTCTTCTCCTTTTATATACATTGTGTTTGTTAAAATTAGTTTGATTTTATTAATAAACAATAATAATGCAAAGTAAATAACATTACTTTTAGTTAATAATTTGCTGTTATAGTTCTTATTCACAACTTTTATTACTATCTTCATTATTATAATACATAACATAATATCTTATATTTTATATTGTTCACAATTGAATATTACTATACATTTTAATTAAATCTGTCAGTAATTTTCCAACTATTTTTATTATTTTACGGTATATTTTAATTCTCTTTCTGTCTGTGTGTGTGTGTGTGTTTACACGTAAAATGTACGTTTTAATTTTGATCTAATAAGAATAGGAAGTATCTACTTATTATTATACATTTTTTTTTAAACTATATTTTTACGTTTTTTTCCGTGTACCAATAAAATATAGCATATTTTCTATTTAAATTTGTTCTGTTCATCATCACGGTTGATCATCTTTGTTCAAGGACCCTTTTCGCGTATTGTCCTCGGCTCGATTTTTGCAACTAGTTTATTGCGTAGGTATAGGTAAGCGTATCTGAAAAATCGAGGAAGCATAGCGGGGAAACGATATCAATTCAGAAAAAAAATATTGAATTGTAAACAATATGTTTCATCATCGTGTGTCGTCCTCCCACAGCGCCTATTCCCTTGTGACTCTATAAATATAATGTCAGCTAGCATTATAGACACAGTGTCCTGTCGAATCGAACTTGTCGTGTATTACGTGCATAACATCTGAGCTTTAAATTGATATTCACTTAATATCAATTTTGTATCCCATCATGTCATCTACAGATTCAGCATTATTACCAAAAGTATGAAAATAATGAACTAATTTCAGATTTATTTAAATACCTAAAAATTACAAATGGTATTATTACTAATCATTTGAATGAATTATTTTAGAATAAATCACTACAGCGGAAAATTATAAATTATTTATACAAGTGGTCTTTTAAGACGGTTACTTTGTAATATTCTAAATTTAAATTGCTGCATTGCTGCCAGTTATATTGTTAACAATTATTCAGTTAATCTCTGCTTATTGTGATTTTTCAAAACATATGTATTGTATAAATTATATTTAAACAGCCCTAACAAGTATATAATAGAAAACGAGAGAATGTTAAATATCTTTATCTTGTATAGTGGTTTTAATTTATTAGATGGTTCCAGTAGGGGCAAATTGATTAATGGAAGAATATCCATAGATATTGACCTCTTGGTAATTCATGACTTGCATATTGTCACCGTTAATTGAACATAATTTGATCATTGTACACTCCAAAACGGCATCACTTTTCCCACGACTCTTAAGATTATTCACTGTTTTTGACCTTGCTCAAATTTAAAAAATAAAAGAATCAATTTATTGTAAATTTATAAACTTAATTTCCAGGTGGCTGAAGAAGAAGTAGTAAAAGAAGAAGCAGTAAAAGAGGAGGCAGTAAAAGAAGAAGCAAAACCAGAATCTGAATCTGCTGTTTCTTCCGCTGTTGAAGTTCCAAAATCTACCGAAGAACCTTCTGCAGTTGTTGAAGAAAAAGAACCCGCTCCTGAAGTAAATGTACAAAGAAGTTCAATATTTGTATAAGCTTTTATTTAATTTGCATTGAATCGTATCATGGAATTTTGCAATTCATTTTTGACCCACCTTCCATCATCTAATCATTTTGGAATTGCGTGCACTCATATTTTTGATATAAATACAAAAAATTATATTTTTACTTTTTAATCAATTTTTTTTTTTAAGATTATTTTAGAGCCTGAGTGGAGCGAAGGATGTATTAGTTTTACAATGGTGTTTTTTTTTTATTATTATTATTTTTTTTATGTAAACACTTTTTCTACCCGAAAGCATACCCTGATTATCAAGTATATCACCTTTTCTAAAAGGAAATATTCTCTAGGTGGTACTTTAGAGAGGTAATTTTATGAAATTCTCATTAATATTTAAGATAATGATTCACCTCGGTCTTTAGGTTAAAAAATATTTGAAAGATCAAAACTGTTTTTATTTATTTTTTGTTATTATTAAGTTTTTATAATTTTCATCTTTTTTTAAAAAAAATCATTGTTATGGAAATGTACATTGTTGTAATCATTTTACTGTTATATGATATATACCATATATTGTATTGTTGACAAAACAACACTATCAACTGAACTCCACTCAGAAAATTTTTTTTTCATTGGCATTGGTTTATCGTTGCTTATGGATATACATTAAATTCCTATCTGTATCCTATCTTTCCAACTTCCTACCTACAACAGTGGCTGCACCCACATGCGAAGTATATCTGTCCTTTTTTTTAAGGCTATTTTTAAAACTTGTTTTAATATAATGTACTATTTATATCATAATATTAATCTTGTGTATATATTCTTAAATAGACCACAGTTGTAACTGAAATTCCGCCTCCATTGCCAAGTAGCCCTCCACCAGTAGAGGCCCCTGTTGTACCGCCGCCAACCATAGTTGAAACGCCAACTGTAGTTGAAACACCAACCATAGTTGAAACACCAACCATAGTTGAAACGCCAACTATAGTTGAAACGCCTGCTCCAGCTCAACCAGCTGAGCCTGAAATTGAAGCTGAAGTGGTCACACAATCAGAGCCTGAAGTAAGAAAAACATATTGGTAATATATTTTAAAAGATTGTATTTCAAATATGGCACGATTATTTCAGGATGAGACAGTTGGTGGTGGAGAAGGATTGGCTGAACCACCTGAAGGTTTAAATACATCTGATATTGAAAAAGAAGTAGCGGACGTACCTTTAGTTAATGGTAACCATGTAGAAGATTCCAAGCCGTCTTCTCCAGATGTAATACATTTTTTTCTTTAATATGTATTAATATATTATATATCATCATGATTTGATTAATGTAATACCTTTTTTAAAGAATAGTATTTTAAAACATTTTTAACTTTTTCTGCAAAACTCAAAGTTGCCAATTTATAAAATGAATGATTTCTGTCAACATTTATTCTTTGTACATTGAATCGTAATTCGTTAATTTTAAATTATCAAATCTGAACAAGAGTCATTATAACGTAAATATGTTTTATAAGAAGTAACTTTGAAACATAATAGCTGATTTTAATTTAGTCAAAAGCTGAATATAAAACAACCTACAATCTACATATTTGTAGAACAAAGTTTAAGAATTTTAGTACTATTTATAATAATTGGGATGGATAAAAAAAAACATAGTAAACTCGTAATTTTATTTTAACATCAAATGTGCTTGCTTATATCAAATAAAAGAAATAATTGTTTTATTTAGATCCTTAGTTCTAGAAATCGTGGATATATCTTAATTTAGCAGTTATGTATAGACATATTTTGACATCCAGACTTTAATATTATAATTAGTGTTTAAAACTACAGTTACTGTATTTTTTAAATCATTAAAGCATAATACCATAATGTTTATCTATACATTATATTATGTTTCAGGTCAGTTGCATAACTGAAAAAATTGAAGCAATCAAGTTATCAAACGCAGCTGATATTAGTGAAGTGGTGACTAATGTACTTTCAAATGTAAGTATTTCTATATTTGATTTTCTTAAAATTTCTATAGGATTTACTAACACATTTCTTAGTTTTGTTAAATGATCTTCTATGATTTACGTGTATTTTATTTATAAAAGTTCTTATATAAACAGTAGATCTTATTCTTATTCAATTTTAATTAACAGTATTGCTACAAACTAAAAACATTAAATTTATGAAAAATTTTAAGTAATTTTATTATGTAATATTTTAATGTTACAGGATTTGCATGGAGTAAATGGTGTTTCTGATGCAATAGCGTTTACAAATGGTGATGGTGGATATGATGGCGGAAACAGTGGTGGAAATGATGGTGGTTGTGATTAAAATGTGGTCTGCTTTTATTATTTTCCTTATTCACTAAATTTATCGTTGACGTCAGTTATCGCAAACTACATTAATGTTATTACCTACTACTTTATGTGAAAAGAAAATGATTACTTAGAATTCCTCCTTTTTTAAATCTTTCAACAAAAAATACATTCCCATTTTGATAACTATAAATTTATGCATTTATCCTTTCGAATTATTTTTATACTTGATTTTTGTAAACTGTGAACAAAAAAAAATATTTCTGGAACAAAATACATTTTGTACACAATTTTTTTTTTTTTTGTATTCAGCTGTTTATAAATATAAATATTTTTTTTATTATTTTTTTAGATTTTAAACATTAAATAAAAAAGTAATAATGATATATAACATACAAATTAAAATATCAAGTCATTGTTATACAATATCTTTCTTTTTAACACATAATTACTCTTTTGATAAGAAAACAAAAAACGCTCAAATTTTTTACAACCTACACATTCCCGGACCAATTTTAATTTTTTTATAATTATTTTTTTTACTTTCTCATAGGCTTGAGAATACATTAATAAAAATTGATCAATTTTTCATTTCTATTAGTACATAATATATATATATATACAATATATGTGTATTTTTTTTTTTTATATGCATATATATAGCATTTATTTGTATTTATTTTAATTTTAAAATATTTATAAAACGTTAAGGAAAAAATCTGTTATTTTTATTTTTTGCCCCAATTTAAAGATTAAGTATTAATTTTAAAATGAAAAAATTGTTGTGAGTTTTAGTTATATTACGATATTTTTGGTATGAGGCACTATGCTTCTCATTATGTGAACGATTTATTGCATACATGGTACATTCCATCTCACATCTACATCTTCCAAATGCGATATAACACTGTATATTATTTATAATATCTTATAATAACAATTTTTTTACTGTAAGTGTATAGTTACTTCCATACAATTTAGTAGGTTTAATTTAATTTTAAAAGCCCATTTACTATTATTATTTTTTTTTTTTTGAACCGTTTGTACTTTTATAAAACTTAAATAATTAGAAGTAGATAACATGGCTTGGTCGTGATCAAAATTTTGGTGCAAATATATATAAATATATATTTTTCTTATTATTTCTCAATTTATAGTTTTAAAACATTTTGATAACTGGTGAAAATTTAGCATTGTTGGTTTAGCTCAAGCCTTTTTTTCGCGCGGTGTAAAAATAAAAAATATATATTGTAAATGTTAGCTTATTAGATTGTTCTTTTTATTTATTTTATTATTAGCCTCAAGATTTTATTTAACTCATACATTTTTTTTTCTATTCAAGCGGTTTTTTTTAATATATATATACGTATTAATATACAATTTTAATTGATTATGTTAATATTTATAGTTATTTAGGCATTATATTATGTATTATGTTACATCTGTGCTAAATGATGTAATGTGTACAAATAATTTAATCATTACTATATGATTAATTATTTATATGGATATAATTTTTATGCTAATGCAAACCTGCAAGCCATCTTTCATTGTAGAATTAGTATATTATTTTCTCTACTAGCCTATGTATATGAACATTTTTTTCTTTCATGATAAAATACTTAAATAAAAAAAAATATAATGCAACTGTGTTTTTATTGAATATTGACACATCATAATTTTTCCTATCACTCTAATCCAAAATAGGACAGAAAAAGTTATATCATTCAATATTGAAATATATTTTATAATACAGCGGGGTTATTTTATTTATGTTTTCCCAATGAATAATATTGTCAAAAGAAACAGTTAAAAAATTATTTAAAATAAATTTGGGTGATGGAATTTTTGATTTCCATCATTCCATTCACGAGATACCCCAATTTTATGTTATATTGAGAGAAAAGTAGCGGAGTATCATTTGTGTAGCGGCATAGTATGTAGAGATTGAATAGTACTTTATTAATCTTCCCAGCCTAAACATAAAAATGGAATATCTCATAAATGGGTTGATGGAAAACAAAAATGTCAACATCAAAATTAATTTAAACTAATATTCTATCAATTTATGGAACTTTTAATTTAAGGTAACCATTTTAAAATTTAAAGTAGGTAGTTGTTTCACCTTAAAAAAAAGTAATGGTAATGTTACATATTAGGTCTGCTCATTTCTTAAATTACCAAAACTTTTTTTTTTTTTTTAGGAAAAATGATTCAATCGAAAAATCACAAAATTGTTTTTTGATATACTTTCATTGCCAAAACTTTAGCTTTAAGGAATTTAAATTTTTGAGCGTTTTTTTGCTGTTATTCAGTTATAAATACATGAAAAAGGTTTGAAACTTAGTAATAATACTTATATTAGACTTACCTAGACGTGGTAATATTTTCAAAATCATCTGACGGCTTTTTCCTTTTTTAAATTTTTTTCAATGGTACTTATTTTTATTTTTTTAAAACTGTAGACTACTTTTATCCTAGAAAAATTGCTCTGGTACATAGGTATAGCACCTTTTCTAAAAGTCAATTTTATATACTTTGTATGTACATAGGTAATTTTTTTTATAACAATTAACCGGGGGAAAATACGATTTTTGCACAATTTCTTTATTTTAAATAAGTACCTAACACGTTTTTTTAGCCCAAATATGGCTCCAATTGAAAAAAAACGAGACCTATTTTGTTGAATTATTAATTTTGTTTTTAAAGATGCAGTTTTTTTTTTGATTTTCCAATTAGTTTTCATAATAATCGAGAAAAAACGGAAGGTTGGGTTAAAAAAATTATGGCACTTCAAATTATGTTATACCCAACTTCTCACCTATAACAGTGGCAGCACCCATCTTCAGTATCAGCTCTTTTTTTGTATTTTGTTTAATCTTTGAATTCAGTATAATTATAAACTATAAAAACTGAAAAAAATATTTCATATAGATAACAATGGGGTAACATAACACAAATATAAAAAACATGGTCTACTCGGGAAAAACTGTGAGGACAACTACTGCAAAATACTAGTTTATAGTCACAAATCTAGGAAAAAATCATTTCTGTAAAAAACATCATTTTACTAATCTTCAACTAAAAATTTCTAACTTTTTTAACAAGTCACAAACATTTAACGTATATTATAGGCTACAGTTAATAAAACATTGGGTATGTCACTTCTACTATTTTAATATTCTTCACATAATATTTTAAGTTTATTTTATAATTTTGTATAGATTTTTGTTATATTTTTTTTCTGTAATGTACCCAGGGAATTTTGCACTAATTTTGATTTACCATTATAATATTAAAATTTGTGGTCGCGTCGCTCATCGATACTAGGTATACATATGAAACCGGAAATTATTGTATTCATGATATTTGGTTTATTTATAAGTATCATTGTATTAAGTATTAACCAATTCAACTTATCTTATTACTTATTTAACATAAAATGACTGCAACGAAATCAAAACTCAAAAAGTGCAAAAATTAATTGGAATGTTTTTTTTTCCGATTACCTAATTATGGTCACATACCTATTGATTATTATTGATATTATTTTCTTAAAGATATCTAATGGGCTTCAAATCCTAAATAATCTACATTTTTTTAGTTTTCAAATAATAATTTAAATTATTAATATTTTCACCTTATGTTTAATTTTTACTTTTTACACAATGATTCAATTAAAATCTGTAATGTTATCTAATTTAAATTGATTTTCAGTGTAGTTCACTTATGAGTTTCATTGCTCAATGAGTCTTAAAAGTCTAAGTAGGTGTAACATGATCATTTGACTCAATGCTAATCCGGTTCATGACTAAACAGTTTGCTAACCGTGGTAAACATTTATTATTGGTACCTATCAATAATATTAAATATTTCGTCACTCTATATAAGATATTAAATAATTTAAAAAAATTAACATAATCATAAATCGGCTACAGCTTATTTTGCCGAAATTTGTTTTACAGGATTTAATTTGTGTAAATAAATAATATAATAATAGTAACCTTAATTTGAAAATTTTGATCACTTAACATGTTAAAGATGACATTTATTTTATCTTTGCATTATTTTACAAATCAAACAGTTTTAACAGCATCGTTTTTATTAGAATTCAAGCCGTTAACAACTAATAAAAATAAAATATAAGGTACAAGAGAATATTTTCTTTTATTCATAATTTATTAACGAAATATTTTCATAGTAACACAATAAGTAAATAAGTATATAAATAAAAATGTATGTATACAAATTAAATAAATAAATGAATGAATGTGTCAAAATCAAAATCAAACAAGATATAACTCAACAAACAGCACCAATAAAAACTACAAAAATAGACCTGATAAAATATTAAAACAAAATAGTATAGTTAAACGATAAAATACAATTATTAACAACATAGTGAATAAATTAAAAACGAATAATTCAGAAATAGTTCCGGTAGATAAATCTAATGCTATTATTATCATTTACACTAATGAAATTCATAAAAAAAACTTGAGATTTTATAAATAATAATCATATTCAAAACTTAAAATATGACTCAACTATAATTTACACTAAACAAATTAATAAACCGATTACAAAGTAGAGACTCCACACTTGTATCAATTCATAAAATTACATAAACAATATAATCCGATTTGTCCATTAATTAACTTTGAAACTGCTTCAGCTTATAACCTTGGTAAATATTTAATCTCATAAAAGAAAAATTAAACATAAATAAGAAAAAAGACGATTTGAATTATGTGGTATTATAACATCAGTTTCTGTAAATACTAAAATCAATTTAATTTATTATCAATTTGTGTTTTGAATGATAATTTTGTTCACAGAAAAAAAAAAAGTCTGTAATATATTGTAACTAATATCTACATTTCTTACATTTTATCGTTTTTTTTATAAAATATTTAAATCTAAATTATTTACATAGCTTAAAAATGATATTTACTAACAAGAGACTAACATTTGTACATAAAATATTTTTTTCACCAAACAATTTCTTATTTACCGGTGTAATAAGGTTTACTGTATGTTTTAATCTTGTGTGATAGTGATGTGTAGGATTATAAGCATCAATATTCTTATCAAAACAATATGAAAGTTCACTATACATATATGAACCAGTTATATTTCTGATATTTAAATCCATATATAAATCCGCTACATGATAATTAAATGGTTTTTTCAATATAAATTTCAATAACGAGTTTATTGTAACATTAAGTTTATGCACATACACGTCAGCAGAATTAGCCCACACTACTCAACCATAGCATAACATAGAATGTACTAAAGATGTATATACTAATCGTAAATAATTAATATTAAAAATATCTCTTAGTGTTTTAAATCGATAAAATAATTGTCTTACTGTATTAATTACGTATTCAATCTGTAGATCCCATCTAAGATATTGATCAAAAATGATTCCTAAATATTTATATAGTGTGCAATAAAGTGTACTATTATCCAATTGTTTCAAGAAAACACCACTGACGTTGGCCCATACATATTTATATCCATATTGCTTGGCAACCAATTTAGCTAACCATAAAAGTTTTCTATTACTGGCAGATAGATGATCAAATATGTACACATTTGTGTTAGGAAATAGTTTTTGATTGTTGTGAGCTGTAAGAGGGCTTCCGGATCTGTACAATTTTTCAATTTCTAATAACTGTTTTTGTTATATATTTTTATTAATAAAATTAACAATAATTCTATTTAGTATCCTTGGAAGCTTTAGTTCTGAATATACTGATCACATCCGCAACGTTTAAATTTATGTTTAAATTGCTTGCCAAATTAGTTAAAATATCAATTAAAGATTCATTTGTTGTGTATGGTATACCAGATATTTCAATATTGTTAGTGAGAAAATTTTGATCAAGTATATTAGCGTTTGAATTAAGATTATCAATTTCTATTTGTAATTTATTATACTTCTCGTCTAATTCAACCAACCGCCTTTCAAACGAAATAATTTTTACATTAAGACTTTCAAGCTTAGCATCGAAGTCATCAATTTTATTTGAACAAAACGTGATTGAAATCTACTACATCTACCGCATCAACTACAGAAATTATCTTCTTAATTTCAATTAAAATTGAAGAAATACCATTTTTAATGTCGGCCAAATTGTCCAAACTAACATTTTCGACACTCAGTTTCACCATTTTTTTCCTAACTGTAAGATTAACTGTTAAGCACTTTCTACAATTTGAATTATATGGCGAAACACTATTAATAGCAATTTTATAGATACTGCACTGCATTGTAACAGATAAGACAACGCTCCTTACACAACGAAAAACGACCAATCACGACAACTGTCTAATACTATGATGTGTATTTGTTGCATTTTACCTAGATATAGTTGGTACTTTAGAAAATTAATTTTTTAAATTTCGTTAGTACTTGAGATAATGAAGGAAATGGGTTCATTAGATTAAAAAAATTAAAATGTCATTGGCACATTTCTTTTTATTATTATTAAGTTATCATTATTTTAATCTTTTAGTCTTTTTAGATAACCATTGTTGTCGTGAAAACGCACATTGTTGAAAAAGCAATACTATTGACCGAGCCTCACTTAGAATCGTTTTTCGTTAGCAATAGTTGAGTACAGATATAAATTAAACACCCCACTACATTCTACCTTCTCAACTTCTCACTTACTACAGTGGCTCACGCGTAATGCGTAGTTCGTTTTTTAAGAATACATTTAGAAAGTATATACAGACAAGTGTATTTTAAAATACATTTAAATACTAAATGAAATTTGATACTTGGGCGTGTAGTATTTGAATATTTTTTAAAAAATTACTAACTAGTTTTTAAAAATTATATTTAGATGACAACATTATAACATTGGCAAGTCTTATACTATAAATCAGCTAAAATGCAGAATTAATAATTGTTGTTAAATGCGCTTTTAATTATTATTTCTTGTAGAAATTTGTTCTTCAAACATAAGTGATAAATTCAATATTGGTATTATCACCTGTATTACTTGTAACAATGATGGCGTTACGCTTTATTTCAAAGTGAATTTTTTATTAGATCTAAGGGTAATGTATACTAATTGGTTTTACTATAATAAGGTATGCGTTTTTTTTTATATTAACGAATTTTTTACCAAAAATCTTGCTACAATCAAAAAATAACAAGAGCTTTTTTTTAGGTCAGTGCATCGAGGAGGTCTTTTTTTTGTTTTCTAGGTAGTTTTCCTAATAATTAAGAAAAAGCTAAAAATGTACGAGAATATATGTTTTAGTATTTTCGATTTAGTTTTTTTGTTGTAATTGAATAAGAGACCTTCGTAGAGCCCTAAAATGTTCAAAACATTCTGGTCTATCTATTTTTTTTATTTTTTTTGTATGTGTGAATCTAAAACTATTTACTATTTAATCTCTAAATATATATTCCGTTTTGTTTACTCTGTATAACGTATTTCCAGTATTTGCACTGTGCAAGATTAATTCACAATCTCCCGTGGCAATTATACAGGGTATCAGTATCAATACCTACCTAACTATTTAAATGCAAATCATTTGGAATAAATGGAATTTCGGTAAACAAATTTAATTCGCCATGTCCAATATTGATTAAACACAAGTTGATGTTTGTTTTAATATAGTAGGTACATCCGACCAATCGATTTTTCGATTCGGAATCTGATCCGGCGCATGAATGTTTACGAATAAAATAATTCGAATAGCAAATTGTAAACAACTATCAATCGATATCCGGTCACAGCAATATAATACAGTTATTATAGTTTTATTATGGACTTGTGGTTTTTATTTACCTATTCGTTTAAACGCCGTCGGTCACATTTTAAGAGACGTGTATAAAATACGGGAAAATAATAAATGTTTCACTCTCAAATGACCGGGCCCCGGTAGAGGCAACCATTGGAAGTGATCGTATGCTATATTTTTACCGTCAATGACGCAATTTTCTAACATTTTATGTGGGCCAAAAACACGTTAACAAAAAATAGGGCTACCAAATTATAGTCTGAATCCTTCGAATGACGCACCTGATTATTAGCATCGAGATAAGATAACACTGTAGGATACTCAGTAGGTCATTTATACGCAATAAACATTATACAGTATATTATATTGGTGTTACAGATTGATAGTTCATAAAACAAAATAAAATAAATAGCTGTATAGTATAGAAGAAAACTCAGTGAAAAAAGTTTGAAAAAAAACCGCGGGAATATTAAAAGTATCGAATTAACATTTTTGAAAGTGATTGAAAAACTTTGAAACCCTATAGTGTTTCATAATAATCGATTACGTAAGATTAAGATAAAAAACTCGTTGTATATGGCAATAGATTTATACGAACGTCTATAGCCGAAGTGAATTCAACGTATGTGACAAGTTGAAGACGAGTGTAGAATAATGGGCTGTGCGTATAGGTATAGGTAATCATCGTTTACTTTGTAGTTTCAATAAATATGAATAGCTACGGTAGTTCGATAAATATGAATAGCTACGGTAGTTCGATATTAGCCGTAGTACCTATTTGTCAACTCGTGTATCATATATAATCTACCCTTCTATTACAGATAGCAGAACTCGAATTAAAATTAAATACAGGTACAGCCATGTATAGACTATATGCACATTAAACAAAGTTTGTTAGATATATTTCATACATGTATATATTGTATTAAAGAAATATGGCATAAATTCATACAAAAATTATAAATAATTTTTATGAGTTACAGTTACCCCGGAAAATGTTCGTGGTGTAGTTTGAGAACCGCTGACATAAACTATAGTTTAACATAGGGAGCCTAGATAATAATTATCTAGGCTAATTACCATTTTTGTATTATTTATGCTAATTATCTATATTTAGATATAGAGCTAGAGCATAACACAAAATGAGCCTCAAAAAAAAGGAACACACGAACATTTTCACTCCCTATGCGGAAAGATCTAGATGTCATATAAGATGTTTTCACATCAAAAATAATTTTTAAAATTAAAACGGAAAATTATTATCACCGTAACGGTAGATTATCGTGTATGGAGAATATTGGGGTAAGCCCATGATGAGGATGATAGTACCAGTGAGACTATAAAATCTAGTACTAATAAGTGCCAGACATGGGAAGTATTCCAAATACTTTTAAGGTATTCTGAAGATATTTTTTTTTTTGTAGTATTCAATACTGTATTCTGAATGTAATAGTTCCTTATAAAATATTAAATTTATAATAAATTATGAGAAATAGAGAGATTGTGTTGATTTGAAAAACAAATTATATTTAATTATTTACGTGCCTTTCTCTATTATATACAAACTTTTACCTGAAAAACAAATAAACGACAACTAAAGTCGTTTATAGTTAACGTAAATTTAATTTAATTTAATTTAATAAGTAATAATTTTATTATTTTAGTATTTTTTTCCCAGCTCATCTTATCTGTTATCAAGCTACTTTAATCATAAACATTTGCTACAGTAAAGTTGATACTAGCATAGGTTTCTGTGATAACAGATAATTTGAGTAATGAGTGGTTAATGTACAGCTAGGTAGGAACATATTATGTACATCCCCCTCACTATAAGACAATTTCCAAAAAACAATTTTCGTCAGCTGCAACACCTCTGTGATCATATTCAGGTTCTTTGTCTTCATCGAGTTTATCAGCTTCTTCCTCAACACCAGGTTTTGTAATGTGATATAGATTCAATTCAGTTGTTCTATGATCCGTGTTTACTTGTTGGAGTTCTAGAGCAGTAGGATTGATATCACTGGATTCTGTGACTTCTTCGGAGTACATCTGTATTTGTAAATTCTCTATAACTTTCTTTGTTTTGATGTGACCGATGTTTTCTTAAAATATTTTTTTCGAATTTGGCGATTTTGTAATAAATCCAAAAAAAAAAGCTTTTGAGGAGGGAGGGAGGAGGATGTTGGTTAGAGAAGATTATTCTTTCATGTTTATGATAACATAATATTATACACGTAGTGATTATTNTTATGATTAATTATTAAAATGTTAATATGTATTTTTCTAATTTCACAATTTATTGCTCTAAAGTATAAAGAATTGATTTTAGAACAGATAGCTTATGGCATAGGGATATTTGGCAACTAAAATTATAGTTATGCGGGCTTCCCTTGAGAGAGTATATCTACAGTTATAAGACAATTGATTTTTCAAAAATGTTTAAACCATAATCTTTAAAACCAGTAAATGTGTCATTCTGTGAATTGTATGATATTAATTTATTTAATGAAATTTCATCCATAATTATTGAAACTAATTTTTCTTTTATTGGAGTTGTTTTAAAATTAAACTTAACATATTCAGATTGTTTTCATTTATTCCTCATAATATATCTAAGCCCTGCAACCATCTCCTCAATGATCTAACAGCAGGTAGATTAAGATATATTAAAAATATACTCTATAAATACCCTACATAAATTTATACCCTACATGCAAGTTGTAACATAGACCCAGCGCAAATGACTTTTCTGTTTCATTGTATTGTTTTGCACTTTTTTTAATTGACCTAACCGAAATTTAACCGATATCCATTTTGGATTTTTTGTCATACACTTCTTTTTTTCAGTTTTAATATTTATATTTTACCCTTTCATATTGATTTCTGAGCATTTCTTAACTTAACCTTCAGTTCTTGGATCATACTTTCTTGATATTCTACAATATTTTTTTCTTCAACAGACCTAGAAAGTACTTCTAAAACAAAAAAATGTTATGTATTTATTCATAACTCAGTTATGATTAAATCATAAGATATTTATTTTTAAAAATATCGTAATTAACAAGATCAAAAAAAAAAAACACAATAGTAAATTATAAGATAAAATCAAGTTAACTAAAGAAAAGTGCACTTAAACCAGTATAATGCATAACATAATATTACACATAATTAATATAGAATTATATAACAATTATATTAATGCAATCATGCAAAATTTATCCATAAACTATTCACCATATACATTTATAAATAATACTTGTATAATAATAATACTTATAAATAATTATTAAATAAACATTTACAAATTTCTGAGTAAATATTTTTTTTTAAATATTTAAAATTTTTTCTTTCGTAGATCTAGATTCTAGTACTTATTCTTACAAGTAGTACACACCGTAAACTAAACATTTTATAAATATTTAAACCTGCTTTAGAAACGCAAAATACTCGACTGTGTACATGATTTTTTTTAACCTATTTTCAAAAATATTGAAATTTAATTGCAAACCTAAAAAAATAATTGTTTGTTATTTATAGTAATTGGATATATATATTTTATAATCAAATTTATCAAAAACCTCTTACTTTTCAACCATGGTTCAGCTAAAAGAGGAGACGTATCTGGTAAAATTGATAAAATGACTACACCTTATTTCAATCAAAAAAATATTTATAAACAAAAAATGTATAATATAATACTTATTAATGCCTATACATATAACTTACAATTTCCTATTATAACTCCTGTTCGGTATAAAATCTTCTGGTTTAAAATGGTTTGAACAATTACTATAATTTAGACTCAGATGTAAATGTCCAATAGTTCTCATAACTTCATTGAATCTTGAATTGTTTGCAAACTTAACCTATTCTTGAGAACTCTAATTTATAATATTATAAATAATAATAATTTTTGTGTATTATGATTTACGAGTGATTTGTATAATAAATAGATACTTACATATGAACGTCTTTTGGGAAATTAATGAAAAGACGACCTCTGTTGACCATTTGTATAATTTTTCAATGTTTTATAGCACATACTTTATTGGACACCATTTTTAAACAGTTTAAACTAATACACTTAAGTATTAACTACTAATAGAGTTAGTAAGTACTATATTTTACAGTTTTACAGGTTTTACAGTAGTAAGTGTCATATTGTCTCGTATACAGTATTTGCTGAAATATAAACTGACATTAAATTATTATTTGGAATAATTTATATTTTTTTCGGTTGGTATGAAATATTATTATTTGTTTTTTCTTATCATTTTCAGAGAACTGCTTTTGGTCCTCACTGACTGCGTGAATGAAACGACTGTCGTTCATCTTGGCACTTGTGTCGTCTATTTGAGGTTAGGAAGTCGCCGACGTGACCCAGACCAGTGGTATCACACCCGTTCCCGTTGAGAGAGGTTATATAACGTGGTTTTTTCTATGTTCCGCTGTTTTCACAGTTTACGTAAGTACTCGTGTGTGTGTGTGTGTGTGTGTGTGTTTGTTGATACTTGTTTCCATGTCGTTATTCGTAGCGAAGCCAAAGTCTGCTTATTTCGGTATAATAGTATAATATTATAGTGTCGGACGTTCGATCATCATCGTGGGCATCATCAACTGCACTACAATAGACCAGACGTTGACGGAACTTTCGAAGTTGCCGGTGAAGCGTTCAGCACCGACTGTATCTCAGCAAACTGACGTGTCAAATCGTACCCGATCTCGGAGGCGACGTTGAAGAGTTTAACGGTGAATCCAACTGTGTAAATTCACTGAACCATGATTCGATGGCTTCAAGTATATTTGACGTAAGTGCCGATTCTGTAATTTTACAGGAGACGCGAAAAAAATGTTGACACATTATTTTTACTCTGAATTTTTTTTTAAATCCAATATAATATAACAATAACCATATGGCATCAAACAATTTAATTTTACTATTTGCAAATAAAATAAAAACGATTGGCTATAGTTGTTAATCTGGCTTTGGGTTGTGACTCCACCTAAGTATTTTGAAATTATTTTAGGTAATCGGCTGCTGTTCCCTTCCAACAACAGGAAACATGAGGACCATAGACGACTTTTTTGAAAAGAGACATATTGGTAAACTCATTGAAAAGTATCACTGGTTTCCCAAATATCTTAGAAAAGAGTTAGACGAATACGCTTGTAGTGAATGGAAGGACTGGTAAATCGAGTAGATAAATATGTTTAAGCCGTACAGCATAGATCGGCTGGAGCAGATACTGCACATTGAAAAAATCAACAAATAACCGTCTTGATTGGGAGAACTATGATGCAGACAATGAATTGGACAACAGTTATGTATTAGACTCCACTCTAATTGATAAACTCACCAAGGATATTCATAAACGTAGGTTTAGAAAAATCATATGATGTATAAGATTTAACATTGAGTAAAATGAATATGATATTCATTGGGTAAATATAAAGCTGTTTTTACCATGACTTGTTAATTTTTTCTGCAAAGAAATTTATGAAAAAGATGTCATTCAGTTATATCTATGTAATGTCTATTTAATAAAATATAAGAAAACCATTTGGAAGACAACATTTACAACGGAAAAGCCGTACAGGACCACACTGAAACTGGGATTCAGGACAACGATGGGTGCCCAATAACAGACTGTTTATTGATGTCGGTGATTATGTGGAAACAACAGACACTTTAGATGATGGCACAGATCCAAAAAACAAATGCAAAATAACTGTACACAAAATAGATAATTAACAATTTAATACTTTAATTGGGTGTTTGAATGATGGTTAAAGGCAATTTTTGTATCATACTACACACATTTTGAGAAGGCAAATATGGGGTAACAGTGCATTGCTGCTATGGGCATTTGTTACTGGATCTACAGGAGCTGTTTAATCTATACTCATGTGAGCATTAGTACTATTTGTAATTTGCATAGTTAACCTCAGACCAGATCACCACCAGTATTACTCACAGCACCCACTGGAGAAGCTGTCTATGTAATAAGAGGATCTTCTATTAAACTAATATGCTGAAATATTACCAAAATTAAATTCTGACATTTCAAATAGCCTTCGTTTTAAATTTGCTAGTATTAAAATTTTTATAATAAATGAAATATCAAGGGTTGGCATAAAAACTCTTAGATACATTGAGCAAAGACTAAGGTCCATACTGCGCATAAATGAACCATTTGGTGACATCAATATTATATTATTAGTGATTTCTATCAGTTGGCACTGGTATTATCCACACCGTTATATATGACAGTTTCCATGATATACTAACAAAATATTCGTGTGCAATTAAAATGATATCGTTTAAAACAATCTGGGAAACTTTCAAGGTCTATAAACTAACTAAAAAGTATGTCAAAAATACTATAAAGAATTTGCACTAATGTTCACAAAACTAACTAGAGGACAGCTGGATGAAAATGGCATACAGTATTTCTAAAATCTTGTAACACTCTTAGAAATAATCTTCCAACCACGGGTAATGCAACTTTGAGGGATGAATAAAGAAGTCGACAAATATACGAATGTTGAACACATTAAATCAAATCGGTTATGTATCTGAGGCTATAGGTACATTTGCAAAATGAACAGATATTGAATCTTCCAATTACTAAATACATCGTCATTTTGGATGTCAGTATCTGATTTTGATGAATTACTTGCAACATTTGTTGGCCACAAACTGATAAAAATGGATATCAATATGCGAAAAGCCATTACTCCAGCTGAAAAATTGGCAGTCACTCTAAGGTAACTAATACTAGTAGTACATACTACATATTAATATTATATTATTATAGATTGTACTAATAATAATCCTGTTTTTAATTAATATACTTTATAAGTCAGTTCATTAAACAATTTATATTATAAAATCATTAACTAAAAATAAAAAAATTAGCCAACGTTTAAATAATAAGAACATTTACCAGATACTAGTTACTAATGTCTTTGTTTAATTAGTAATAATTAATTTTTTTTATTAAAAACTCATCCATTATATCAGAATCAGAATATATCTCATCTCTCCCTGGCACAATATCCGAGTGATGTGAAAGTGTTGATATTGAATATGGAGAAGGAGAACTGGCATTTGATTGGTGTGAAGATTCTGGGGAAACGACATTAATATGTTGAGACGAAGCATAAGTTTGAACTGGGGGTTGTAGACTATGGACATTTTGAACATTTTGAGATTGGACATAAAGACTGGTATTCCTTGCAGGTAATATGTTGTATTGAGTATTTGCATACTGTGATGATGTTTGTTGTGGATGTATATATTGCTGATTGTTCGGGTTATACATTCTATACAGACTATATGGAGGTTGATGGAAGTATGGCTCATGTTTTAAAGATGTGCATGATATATTTGGTTTTATTGTCTCTGGTAACCTACAAGATTGGCATCTCTTAATGATAGTTTGTGGATTTTTGATCACCTCTGATCTCAAAAGTAGTGTCTGGTCGTCATTAAATTTTCGAACTATTGGTAACAAGGAGTTAAAAAATTCTTTGTGCTGATCTGGTTTATCATCATTAATCCCTTTCTGTGTTTGTACTTCTAAATATTCTAAAAAATTCTTTTCGACATTTGATTCTTTTTGTTTGCTCAGTTTTTTTTTGTTTGGTCCAGAGTTTAAAGTTGAATATTGTTCTGTCACTATTTCGGATGTTTCTAAGTTATGTTCAATATTAGCATTTATAGTATTATTCGCAATATTGTCATATGCAGTATTATTTAAATTAATAGAGCTTGAAGTCATTTGTGGGGTTATTGTTTTAATGAGGAATCTTAATTCATCATGATACAAATATGTTTTTTTGAATTTTTTCTTGGCGCCATCGCCTGAATTGGCTTATCTTTTAAACTTCTAATAAATGCATCTCGAACATTTCTCCATTTCTTTTCTATATTATTTCCTACAAATGTAAAGTGAGATAAGTTACAGGATAGTGAAATATAGGCTTTTGAAATATTTGATTTTTTAAACATTATTTATATTATATTTGATTAATATTTGTCTATTCATTTTTGATGTTGACTTGATAATTTTTTGTAATTTGAGTATAACAAAATAAAAATTTCTTTCCAAGCAGCTCTTTTTGAATACCTATCAAAATAATTATTTAAACTCTTGTCCCAAACTAAAGACCTTGCTTTGACTTCGCTGATAAGAATCTCGATAATCAATATTTAAATCGTGTTCCACAAATTCAATTGATTTTGGCTAGTTAGCTCCACTAGAAAAATCACATTCGTCCTCCGAAGACATGATGGATACTAAACACTTTCTATGTTTTGAGCTGATTAATATTATCGTTTGTGTGTTTTAATCAGTTTGTTTATGTACATTTTATTTAAATATTTTGGTCATATGATATTTTTATCGGACAGAAGTTCAAAACGTCTCCGACAGTTTTCGAGGCGTCGTACGATTATTTTATCGTATAACATTTTATCGTAATTGTATGAACAGCTTAATTTATAACCATGTTATTTATAATATAGTACGATAATATTTTAATACAATAAATAAATTGTACGATGAAATATCGGTCATGTGTATCGACTCTTAGAAACATAAAAAAAGGTGGATACTACTCAAAAAAGAAGTTTGAAGAGATAATATAACATAGTGTCTTATTCTCCTCAAAAACATTATCTCCGATCAATTATTAAGAGAGGACATTTGATCCACTGAAGTTATATGGAATAACTTAACTCTGGTAATAAGTCACATAGCATTTTATTATTCTTGAAAAAATTATGACACCTTAAATGTAGTAAACTAAAATACCTACCCTGTACCTAGTTCTTATGTTTGCTATATATCAAAAAATATGTCTCTGTGTAGGAAATTTTAATTTTACTTTTTCAAAATCGGATCCATAAAAATCAATTAATGTCTGTATTCAAATTGTTTCTAATAATATAATTTTCTAAACATAAAATGTGTTCAATAACATTTATTGGACTAATCAAAATTAAATTATATCTAAAATTGCATAAAATAATTTCCTATACCTATTTATCTTAAAGAAAAAACAGTACACACATTTCATGTTCAAATAATAAATTTAAAAATTATAAAGAATTAAACACTCAAACATCTATATTTTTAACGATGTTTCTGCCATTTAAACAGATATTTACAGATGTGCAATACATCTGCAGTGACAGCATGGACAAAAATAAAAAAATTTAAATATTAAAAAAACAAATCATGAGGACAAAATAAAAAAGCATTGTAAGGAATTTAAATGTAACAATGATAAAGATATTTGATATTTTTTAAAAACACTAAATGAACTTATGTTATTTACATATATAAATGTTATAAGTATAGTGAGTAACTCAAATATGAAATATAATTATGTGTGTACATTTATTTGTATTGTAAATGGGACTGACAGATACTAATGAATTCTAATTGGTAAAAAACTGAAAAAAATAAGTCTTAATGTGTTAATAAAAATAAAAATATAAATTTATAGATATATATAAAATTATTAATATAATTATATATAATATTAATATATTGAAATATCAATTAACCTAAATATTATAATTGTAGGTAGAAACCTAAATTATTATTATTGTATTATTTTGTTTGCGTCGAAACTACGATGATAATATTATTCTTCAAATTTTATGAATTTCATTATATTATTATTTTCAGGAGATGTATTAGTTTTACACAATGACTTGAGTATTGTGTATGTATATGTTTAGTTTAATCACTAATATTATCATTATATTACTACCAAGTAGACATGTTTCCTGTTATTGAAAGGGATAACCAGAGGATGAAAATTCTTCATAATTAGTATAAGCGATCGTTCTTCATCGTCTCCAGATTGTCCAAGTCTGTTAGCGCTTCATGATATCCTATTGTAGTACTTTATATTATGACACTTAAATTGAAGGTCAAGTAGTTGGTCTTTTAAATGCGTTTACTAATATGCCTTCCTTCAAAAAAGTCGTACGCTGATACTCATGTTTCCTGCTATTGGAAGGGATCAGCAGAGTACAAATATTCTTCGGAATTAGTATTTCGGATTATTCTTTAGCATAAAAAGCTTGTCCATGCCATTTACCGTTTCGTGGTCTTACATCGTAGTATCTTATATTATGACACTTAAATTGAAGTTCAGGTCGTTGGCCTTTTCAATACGTTTACCAATATGCCTTCCTTCAAAAAAGTCGTACGCTGATCCTCATGTTTTCTGTTTTTGAAAGGGATCAGCAGACTACGAATATTCTTCGGAATTAGTATTTCGGATTATTCTTTACCGTAAAAAAATTGTCCATGTCATTTATCGCTTTGTGATATGCTATCGTAGTATTTTATAACATGATACTTAGGTTGACGGTCCGGTAGTTGGCCTTTCTAATGCGTTTACCAATATGTCTCCCTTCAAAGAAGTCGTACGCTGATCCTCATATTTCCTGTTATTGGAAGGGAATATTCTTCGGAATTAGTATTTCGGATTATTCTTTACCGTAAAAAAATTGTCCATGTCATTTATCGCTTTGTGATATGCTATCGTAGTATTTTATAACATGATACTTAGGTTGACGGTCCGGTAGTTGGCCTTTTCAATACGTTTACCAATATGCCTTCCTTCAAAAAAGTCGTACGCTGATCCTCATGTTTTCTGTTTTTGAAAGGGATCAGCAGACTACGAATATTCTTCGGAATTAGTATTTCGGATTATTCTTTACCGTAAAAAAATTGTCCATGTGATTTATCGCTTCGTGATATGATATCGTAGTATTTTATAACATAATACTTAGGTTGACGGTCCGGTAGTTGGCCTTCGTGTAAATTTTGTATAGTTTATATTTTATTAACAGATAGTTCTAAGTAATTTAATTCGAGAAGCTTAAGGTTTTTGATTATTGTTATTCGGTTACCGATTAGAATTAATTCCTTGAGATTGAATTATTTGTCTAAGCATTGTAATTTGGTTATTTTATTGTTTGATAAAATTAAATTTCTGAGATTTATCAAATTGTCAAGTCCTTTAATAGATCTTATACAATTATCGGACAAGTGGATCTCTGTGAGGTCGGTCAAATTGTCAAGGTTGATTATTTCAGCTATGTCTATGTTGTAAGTAGGATCTAATTTAACGAGTTTAGATAAATTGTCAAGGTTTTTAATCTCACTTAAAACATTGAATGATAAATCCAAATCCCATATATTTGGTGGTAATTTTTTGGGAATTTTGGTAAAATGGCTGCATGTTAATTCTAAGCGTTGCAAATTGGGGGAATTTTTCAAAATAGTTTGATTTCAGTTTGATGTACTTCACAGTTTTATTAAAATTAAAATTTAATCTCACTTAAAACATTGAATGATAAATCCAAATCCTGTATATTTGGTGGTATTTTTTTGGGAATTGTGGTAAAATGGCTGCATGTTAATTCTAAGCGTTGCAAATTGGGGGAATTTTTCAAAATAGTTTGATTTCAGTTTGATGTACTTCACAGTTTTATTAAAATTAAAATTATGTGATTTAAGTATAAAATTAGACATAACTATCCCTGAATAGTTAAAGTGTTTTTTTATTATTTTTTAAATATTTTTCTTGGTATCGACTGTTTATTACTATTGTATCGTAGTTAAATTTAATATTTTTAATATTCAGTGCAGTTACCAATATGTCTTCCTTCAAAAAAGTCGTACGCTGATCCTCATGTTTTCTGTTTTTGAAAGGGATCAGCAGACTACGAATATTCTTCGGAATTAGTATTTCGGATTTCGAAATTAATATTTCGTATTATTCTTTAGCAAAAAAAGCTTGTCCATGCCATTTAGCGTTTCGTGGTCTAACATCGTAGTACCTTATATTATGACACCTAAATTGACGGTCCGGTAGTTGGCCTGTTTAATGAGTTTGCCAATATATCTCCTTTTAAAGAATTCGTACGCTGATCCTCATGTTTTCTGTTTTTGAAAGGGATCAGCAGACTACGAATATTCTTCGGAATTAGTATTTCGGATTATTCTTTACCGTAAAAAAATTGTCCATGTCATTTATCGCTTTGTGATATGCTATCGTAGTATTTTATAACATGATACTTAGGTTGACGGTCCGGTAGTTGGCCTTTTCAATACGTTTACCAATATGCCTTCCTTCAAAAAAGTCGTACGCTGATCCTCATGTTTTCTGTTTTTGAAAGGGATCAGCAGACTACGAATATTCTTCGGAATTAGTATTTCGGATTATTCTTTACCGTAAAAAAATTGTCCATGTCATTTATCGCTTCGTGATATGCTATCGTAGTATTTTATANTTTCTATAGTTTCTATATTATTATAACACATGCGTAGTTTTTTAAGTTTAGGACATTCGTGTAAATTTTGTATAGTTTCTATTTTATTAACAGACAGGTCTAAGTAATTTAATTCAGGAAGCTTAAGGTTTTCGATTTTTGTTATTCGGTTACCGATTAGAATTAATTCCTTGAGATTGATTAATTTGTCTAAGCATTGTAATTTGGTTATTTTATTGTTTGATAAAATTAAATTTCTGAGATTTATCAAATTGTCAAGTCCTTTGATAGATCTTATACAATTATCGGACAAGTTGATCTCTGCGAGGTTGGTCAAATTGTCAAGGTTGTTTATTTCAGCTAGGTCTATGTTGTAAGTAAGATCTAATTTAACGAGTTTAGATAAATTGTCAAGGTTTTTAATCTCACTTAAAATATTGAATGATAAATCCAAATACTGTATATTTGGTGGTAATTTTTTGGGAATTGTGGTAAAATGGCTGCATGTTAATTCTAAGCGTTGCAAATTGGGAAGTTTGTTAAATTGGGGGAATTTTTCAAAATAGTTTGATTTCAGTTTGATGTACTTCACAGTTTTATTAAAATTTAAATTATGTGATTTAAGTCTAAAATTAGACATAACTATCCCTGAATAGTTAAAGTGTTTTTTATTATTTTTTAAATATTTTTCTTGGTATTGACTGTTTATTACTATTGTATCGTAATTAAATTTAATATTTTTAATATTCAGTGCAGCTATTAAGCTTATTATGTCTTTAAAGTCTAGATATTGTACTACGTGGTTGTAAACCACATTGATGGTTTGTTCAAATGTTCTTTCACTTTGCTGCATTGTGTACACTGTTGAGAAAAAAGAAACAAAAATTACTAACATATTTTTATAATCAATCAAAAATTACAGATTATTTTTGTACAAATAATGTAGAATAATTGAATGATTATTATTTTTTATTTAAATTTTTGACTGTTTTGGATCAAATTTTCTCCAAAATTAAAATTAAAATCAATCAAAATAATAATATATATTTTTCCCGGTACATTTGGATACTTTTGGAAACTCAGAACAAATAAGTTCAACTCAGCAGCAGTGGGGGTTATGCGCCTGTGTACGTGCACATGAAGGCAATACACGTCGCTACGCACTAACTACACAGAAAACTAAAATTTCTAAAAATGCCTTAATATAAATCAATTTTTAGAAAGAAACCTTGCTACGAAAATGTAGCTTCTTCTCTGAAAGTAAATTTTATCTTGTTGGTGCATTGGAGAGATTATCTTTTGATTTTCAAAATAATTAGGAAAAACCGAAAACAAAGTTATTGGTAAAACTGTAAATATTTACGGAATGGCGTCGCGTTACCGAATTCAATTTTTAATTTTCGTAAACTATGTTTTACACCAGAGTCCAGAATTATAACTACTACCAATCTTTTTTGCATTTTAGATGCTCAGAAGTCAGTTTTCGATATCACAAATAGTTTTCTTGCTAATTAGGAAAAATTGGAAAAAGACGAAAAATGAAAATTGATAAATTTACGGTGCTATGATTCCTTTATTTCACATTTTTACAGCTCATGTTTACTAAAAGTATTATTGCTCCAATAGAAAAACAATAAGATATCTTTTATGCTGAAATTTTAATCTTGATGGTACGTATGAAAATCATTTTTTGATTTTACCTGTATTTTTTTTAATAATTGAGAAAAACCGAAAGAAAGAAACGTAGAAAAAACGGGAGAATTTACTAAAATAGCGATATTATTATTTTTATTTGGTAGGTACTTTGTAGATTAAATCGTTAGACTAAAACAGAAATGCCTGATAATTCGACAGGAGGTTTGTTATAAGTCGTACTTAGTGCTACAAAAAAAATTCTATGTATTATTATTATTTTTTTTTATTAGTGTTTTAAAATAACTTTTTAACGAAAATCGTAAATATTATACAAAGCATATCTAACCGTACTCCGTTCAGAATCGTTTTTTGTTAGCGACGGTTAATCGATAATTACGGATATACATTAAATTTCATCTATAAATTCCTAACTTTTAACTTACAACAATGATACACTCGGCCACTCATCGTGCGAAGTATGTCCATCTCCATTTATATTTATATTTATATTTTTTCGTTTAAATAAAAATGGTCTGTTTCATGTTATGGATATTATCACAAAAATAGAAATCATGATTTAAACATACTTTGAATTTTAATTAAAGTGGATTAGGATAACGAATGCCACGGAATTGTAAGAGTTCTGTTCTATCGATAATTTTCACTGAAGCATAATATACGTCTTCTACACTTGTGTACGGCTATTGCTGGAGCATCTCTTCTCTTTAATTGAACCACATACAGTGGTGGGATCCAGAGTTAAATTTTTGGGCAGACGGCTCCGAAAAAAAAATTACAATTAAGCGAAAAAAACAGTGTTGATACTTGGAATGGGTGTAGCCTATGTGCCGAAGTCTTAAAAATGTAGTTCGGCAATATTTATTTTATCACTTTAGAGGCACCAATAACTAAAATCACTCAATTTCATGTCAAGTTATGGTTAACGTAGGTTTGTATAGTATTCATTCTGTTTGATAATCAAATTACCTTTCAAAAAAAGGGACCCTATGCTTAATTTTTTAAAATAAAGGTTACTTAGTTTATATCTGCCAGCACCGATAAACCATCGAAAAATTATTTTTTAATTGGAGTAAGATTTCTTGTAAAAAATTTGTTACTCCGCTTTTTTTTCCTTGAAAATCTTGTGTTATATTATATGCGTTACACAATTAATTATTTGTGTGAAGTAAAAATGTTTGTAGTCTATTACAGTATTTTCTGGATTCGTCATCACTGACCACGTCATGTAATGTAGTAATTTCTAAAACACACAATTAAGGTTGATTGTGGGTAATAATATTCGGCTCGTGATTTCTAGGTTTATCAGTTATCAAATACTATCTACTATACTATTATTGAAATTATTTACTACGTACTAGGTACTGTCATAACGCGCGATGCGCAAACAACTAACCATTAGATTATATTCTTTCGGCACTGACGTGTCGGCCAAAGGAACCTCAAATACTTGAGGACCCGAATATTTTGTACAATCGAAACAATTTAATAAGGAACAAATAAAATATAAATCTAGGACATCGGTCAGCTTTTTCATGACAACACCGCCATCACAGTCCAACACAAAATACCTTTAGAAATTTCAATAAACTATTTTAAAAAATTTTATTTTATTTTTAACGGACAATCTACAAAAAACACCGACGCGAATGCTGTCGGGGCGTTATAAACTAATACAAATATTATGCAACGTTTTTTTTCATCGCTAGCTCCGATTTTTAGCAGATAATCAATAGTTTTTAATTTCTTTAAAATTATTTAAATTTACATGTCCAGAAGTTTTCCAACTTATTTTGACTCATGGCACTATGAAGTATTTCAGATACACCGAATGCACTCTATAGAGAATCACCGAGCAAAAAAGTACGGGAAAATGTACAAAATATATAACTACATAAGAACAAATATAATGACACTCCCCCGAAAAGCAAAGCTTGTACTTGGGATGAGTGAGTTCAAAAACGAAAATTCTACAGTTGAAATTTTTAAAATATATTTTTATAGACTAACGCTAACTAGATGGGTACTAAATAAATAAAGTGGAAAAAATAAATACAATATAGATAACACAAAATACTATTATAAACTAAAATTCTTTAAATCTATTTCGTACAAGTAGGTCCAAACAAATATTCTCTGGGTAACTCTAAATAGATCTTAAACTATAATTTAGATAGGTAGATGGAAATAGATTTGGCGGAAACGAAAATCAAACCCATTTCTACGAAAACTACGACCACCCGCTTTCGCATCGGTGGCGTCGGCGGCGTGTTCAAGAGAAACAAAGGTTTTTTTACCCTCATTTTTTAATTTAATTTATCAATAGTCGGTATTGGCGTATGATAAACAAATAATACAATACAATTTCGATTCTGTATTACATGAAATTTCGAGAAACGGGAAAAGGGGATCATAAATCGTTTCGACAATGTATTCGAACAGTGGTGTACGGCGCCGTGGTGGCGGTGTTGTTTTTTTTTTTCTAGTTTGTAAAGGGNGTTTATTACTATTGTATCGTAGTTAAATTTAATATTTTTAATATTCAGTGCAGTTACCAATATGTCTTCCTTCAAAAAAGTCGTACACTGATCCTCCAAAAAAGTCGTACACTGATCCTCATATTTCCTGTTATTGGATGTGATCAGCAGACTACGAATTTTCTTCGGAGTTAGTATTTCGGATCGTTATTTACCGTAAAAAAATTGTCCTTGTCATAAAGCGCTTCGTAATATGCTATCGTAGTATTTTATAACATGATACTTAGGTTGACGGTCCGGTAGTTGGCCTTTCTAATGCGTTTACCAATATGTCTCCCTTCAAAGAAGTCGTACGCTGATCCTCATATTTCCTGTTATTGGAAGGGATCAGTAGAGGATAAAAATTCGTCATAATTAGTATTTCAGATCAATTTTAGCGAAAAAAACTTGTCCATGTCATTTAGCGCTTTGTGATATCCTATTGTAGTATCTTATATAAAGACACTTATATCGAAGGTCAAGTGTTTAATCTATTATGACACCTAAATTGACGGTCCGGTAGTTGGCCTGTTTAATGAGTTTGCCAATATATCTCCTTTTAAAGAATTCGTACGCTGATCCTCATATTTCCTGTTATTGGAAGGGATCAGCAGACTACGAATATTCTTCGAAATTAGTATTTCGGATTATTCTTTACCGTAAAAAAATTGTCCATGTCATTTATCGCTTCGTGATATGCTATCGTAGTATTTTATAACATAATACTTAGGTTGACGGTCCGGTAGTTGGCCTTCGTGTAAATTTTGTATAGTTTATATTTTATTAACAGATAGTTCTAAGTAATTTAATTCGAGAAGCTTAAGGTTTTTGATTNATATGCTATCGTAGTATTTTATAACATGATACTTAGGTTGACGGTAATAGTAGACTGTTTCGAGAAAATAATAAAATAATTATGATTGTGGTCGATGGGTCTTGCATCTCAACAAGTGTTTAACTTTAAAGAAACTCTGAAAATGTTTACACAATGTTTTACACAATACGATATGCAACACTTACAAAAAATAAAAAGAATGATACTGAAATCGTATGATTATTTAAAGCTCCATACACTCAAAGAAAAAAAAAAAAAACTTTAGTAGCCATAAAGAAATAAGACAATAAGAATATGAGAAATAGCGATAAAGAAAAAAGAAGGAGAAACGCAGGGAGAAGATTAATTAATGAGATCTCCCGGGATTGACTAAAATAATAATAATAATAAGAAAATGTAAGTTATCTCTTAATTATGATGTATACCATTCCAAACATAAGTATAGTTCCTCATTTAATAGTATTCCTATATTATAATTTTTAGTAGTATAAGTTTGTATTTCTGTCATGTAAATTTTAAAACCTAGTAATCTTACTATTACCTATGTCATCTGTTATATAAACGCTAACAGATTGTTATTTTATTTACTTAAGTTTAGATGATTAACTTCAGGAAAACTTTATTAATAAAAAAAAAAAATTAGTATTATTATTATTTAATTATTATTTTAATTAAAAATCCTTAATATACTTTCAGAATTATATACCTTATACTAAACATTATAATTAAAACATGTATTACCTTACAATATATAACAACACATTATTAATGTATTTTTACTAACCACTATAAAATATAAAATTATAATCAAATCTATTATTATTGTATATAAATTGTCATGCTTTATTGCGTTATTATTGTATTATAATATTTCATGACGAAATATGTAAATCCTGCAGACACGATATCAATCAATTGATTGTGCAAATTGTTACACTTTTTTCTTTTCTGTGTAGATCATGAGAATATGGTCATTATACAAATTTGGCTGTACTTTGTTGTATATTAAATATTTGAATTTATTTGTAATATACTTTTGAATGTGACCGAATAAAGTTATCAGTTCCAAAACAAAATATTTCTTTTATCTAGATAAAAAAAAAAAAAAAAAAAATGAACCGATATGGATTTGGTAAATGTAAGGAATCGTATATCAAATAGGATATGTACGAAATTTTATATTCACGTTCTCCTTAACTTGCTAAGCTCTTTCTACTTGTACAGTAGTTGCAGTCAGACTTTGATTGAATCGGAGAATTAATGAACAAATCTTGGTGGGTCACACATAATTATATTTGTTTTTAATTGAACCAATTTATAAATTTGGTCTATTTAATATAATTTGAGCTAGTTCATATCTAATACTCGGCGGGACGATTCATTCTCTATCTGGCGCTGATTGCAGTACAATGGGCTGCTGTACATGGTAATTCCTAATCCTCTCCAAACCTGTGCAAAAAGTAGTTGTAATATCCAAGGCGAGTATTGTACACGATTATGTTTAAAGCTGATAATCGTATTCTAATCACTTATATCAAACTATAAATAAAAACCATGTTTATTTATTTCTATTGACCCCAGATCCTACAAACATCGTTACGTATAAGTAAAACTCTTCAGTTTAACATTCCATGTTCACTGTTAAATGATTGTTACCACAAGGTATTGCGAAGTCTTCCTCAACAAATTGACTTTCAGTGTCTGGATTGACATCTGATGTACCACATTGAGTGATTAATTGGAATGCACTCGCGTTTCATTTGATCATACGCGTACGATAGAGTATACATATACAATGATTAATCGAAACCTACTTCATAATAATATTCTTTAATACTGGAGCAAACAATTTTCTAAGCAGTTTAGTCAAAGGTAAGTAAACATATTTACGTAATATAGTATTATAAATATAAGCTATAAAATAGCTCAAAAATTACCAAAAATGTTTGAACATTTTACTACATCTAAAAAAAAAAAAAAAAAAACAAGTGTACATTTTAGAAACATTCCAAGTATATAAATATTTTTATCTAAATTACAAGAAAAAAAAGACGGACGTACTTCACATGATGAGTAGAGCCACTGTTGTAGCTTAGGTGAGAAGTTGGGAAGATAGAATATAGAGGGGAATTTAATGTATATCTTTAAGCAACAATAAACCATTGGTAACTAAAAACGATTCCTAGTGGAGTTCGGTTAGACATTTTTTAAAAGGCCGTAATAGTTACGATTTTCGTTTAACTGTGATATTAAAATCTTTTTTTTTTTAAAAAAAAGTGTACTACATTAAACTCAACTTTTTCTTGTTGACCACTAAGTACAACCTAATATAATGAACCTCTGTTAAATTTTTAAGCATTTCTGTTGGGTTTAATTATTTTATCCACAGAGTATCTACCGAATAAATATTACTTACAAAATTTGTAAAAAAGCTCAAATGTTTTGAAAATTTCACTACGTCTAGAAAAGTAAACTATAAGTTTTTGTTTAAATCTTATCTCTTTTTAACTAAATTACAATAACAAAAAAATTATTTTGAATGAAAAAGTAACCTTTCCTCTTTCTTTCTCTCTTCTTTCTTATGCGGCTCTTTAACTCGAACCTAATCTGTGTTTTAGATTTTTGCATAAAAGAACTATATCTACAAAAATAATAAAACATTTTTTTTTTTGTAAGTATATACCTAGTTTAATCTAATATAAATTAAAAATAACAAAATTGTCTAATCATTGCAGTCGCTTCTAACGATAATAAACTATAGGATATCGAACTTGATCGTTTATTATGTAATCAAACACTTTTAGGCCATCGTTGTCTGTGAAGGGGTACAATAAGTGATAGAAATTTATATTAATTACGATGTTATGTAACACATTAATATCCAAAATATATTTACCTCTCCGACAAATATTTCATATATCAGTACGCCTAAGGACCATCAATTCACACTACGTGTATACCTACGAAGTTTCGGTTATAGCTTCAGGCGCCATAATTTCGGAAGTTTAGGTCCATTCGCCAAATCTCACACCTTTTTTGCACGTTCCAAAATCTGCTATTTGTACGTACCCATCAATGTCCATCAACAATTTCAAGTCAATAACAAATAATAAACGCACCATATTAATAACAACGTCATGTATAAAAATGGTATTTAATAATGTACTAACTTAACCGATAAATGATACTGTTTTCATGTAAATACTGTAGTCCTAAAACAACACAAGTGACATAGAAAACTACTCTTGATGCCCTGTTATTTATGTGCATATTCAAATCCCCACTAGCAGTATATTCCATTACAAAACAAACATGAGCCTGTAAAAATAAACCAATTAATTTTAAAATACAAATAAATAACTCATTTTTAATACACTTATGTTAGTTTGAAATTAGGTGAATACTTTTACTAAGAATAGATATTTGATATTATTAACAACTTCGAATGTCTTTTTTCAGGATGTAATGACTTCAGTAGTCAGTAATTATATTACATTTTTTTAGTGTTTTAATGGCAAAGTGCTCACTTGATTGAGTTAGTACCTTAATGGTTTTTAAATTATTTTAAATTTAAATTAGGGGTGCCAAGGAAACACTAGCACCCTCAGTGAGGGACCCTCACTAGGGTTTTCCTTAGCTATAGATGATGAGAAAAAAATATCATAAAATGTTTGGTCTCACCCCCTAATATTGTGCCTATATGTATAAAAATGAAGTACAAAAAGTTTTGGTTCGATCAGATAAGGTTAACCCGTGGCGACTTATGATTTAAGTTTGAACTTACTACATTTTTCAATATTTACGAAAATTTTCGACATTTTCGTAAATATTTCGTTAACCTTTAGAAATATCGATATTTTTAATACTACATATTTTAAAGTAAATTAAATTTGCTATAACTTTTATTTTATTACATTTTTTCATATCTCTAATGGTTCGTGAATTATATTGATTTGACTCCAAAAAAACACAATTTAGGTATTTTTTCATAATTATGAATTATTGTGCGGGCTAAAATAATTTTTACAAAACTCGCATATGAAATTTTCTATAAAGTTATTTTATGTATTTTTGCCTTCATATTATCGCTGGTAATATAACAATCACAATACAAGTATAATGTTCACAATAATAATATATTAATCTAATCTCTTTCACCTAATTATTTCTCTATATTTCCGTACATAAAAATTAAATACCAATAGATTAGATAGTACCTATTCGTATGGTTAATTATTTTGATAATACGTTTTAATAGCAAGATAAGTCTGGTTCTTATTTTGGTACAATTGTACCTTATTATTAATGTTAGTTTGATCGTAATATCTGTTTAGTGAAGATCTAACATTTACCGTCTTTTGTCGTTGTATGATTTGTTATTGTTCAGGCATTGTGTTGTGATACAACTGCATCCAATACAGGACGCTTAAATGGAGCATGTATTTTAATTGAACAAAAACTCGGTAAAGACCTATTATATCTTCCTTGTAGGCATCATATTTATGAGCTAATTTTGAGATCTGTTTTTGAAATTAAAATACCAGAAGTAACATCAAGCCCAGCCATTCCATTATTTAAAAATTTTCAAAAACAATGGCATAAATTAGATATTAACAAATATAACATCGGAATTGAATATCAGGCATGTGGCGCTGCTTTAGAAAATGTTAAAGAAGATATTCTGAATTTTGTTAAAAGTAAATTAGAAACTAAACATCCTCGTGGAGATTATCGTGAATTTTTGGAGTTAATATTTATTTTTATTGGCGGTAATTTGGAAAATAAAATTAAAATGCATCCTCTCGGAGCCATGCATCAAGTCTGGTGGATGGCACGAGCAATTTATTGCTTAAAAATATTTTTGTTTAGAAGCCAATACAATATTTCCGACTTAACAAAAAAAGCAATCGGTGAAATTTGTGTTTTTATTATTAAATTTTACGTCAAAGCTTGGTTTACTTGTCTATTGTCAAATAAGTCCCCAAATCAAGACTTACAATTTATAAAAGATATGAAATTATATGAAGTATTTGATAGAGAAATATCTAGAGTATCAATTCAAAAATTATGCAACCATTTGTGGTATTTAACTGAGGAGGCTGCTGCATTATCTTTCTTTGATGATTCTATACCACTAGAGGTAAAGCGTCAGATGGTAAAAGCCTTAAAAAAAAAAGCGACAAAATATCCGGCCAAACGATTGATAATTAAACCAAACCAAATAGATGATAAATTTATTGGTAAGTAAATAAACATTAAGTTTAAAAAATATATTGAATACGTTTAATAATTCATAAAATAAAAAATAAGCAATTAATTATATTTAATATTATAATTTTTACAGAAAAAAATATTGACGCATTTATAACAGAAGAAAGCTTAAAACTATTTTCCCGATTTAACATTGATGACGGATTCTNACAATTCTACACTCACATTAGATGAAGAACAAAAACAATTTATACTAAAATGTGTACAAGAACATCGGAAAATTTATCCAGATTGTAAAAAAAGCACCTTACAACAACAATATTAATTTTCTTTATTCTATAGCATTTTTTTAGAGTAAAATCAATATAATTCACGAACCATTAGAGATACAAAAAAATGTAACAAAATAAAAGTTATAGCAAATTTAATTTACTTTAAAATATGTAGTATTAAAAATATCGATATTTCTAAAGGTTAACGAAATATTTACGAAAATGTCGAAAATTTTCGTAAATATTGAAAAATGTAGTAAGTTCAAACTTAAATCACAAGTCGGCACGGGTCAACCTTATCTGATCGAACCAAAACTTTTTGTAGTTCGTTTTTATACATATAGGCACAATATTAGGGGGTGAGACCAAACATATTTTAAAATCAAAAATTAAGCAACACCCTAACCCTCGCCTTTGAATTTTTAATTTAAACCCATGTAAATCATTTGTACTTCATTTGTACCTGTTTATACCTGAACGGTTTCAAATTATTCCAAATTTCAATTGGGAGTGTTAAAGAAATGCTAGTTTATCCTTTTTAGTAAAAGGGGATTAGGTAATAGAGCCGTATTCAAGTAAATAACTAAGAAAATGTAAAATATAATGAAAGAAGACATTTATGAGATTTAAAGTTTTGTTATATTAAATATTTTATTTTGTCCTATCACAAAAGAGGCTGTCCGTCTAGGCAGTGGGAAAATTTTACTTCATCTCACGTATGAAAGAAGGAAATTAACTTACACTTGTTAATATTAAAAGATATTCCAACAGTTTTACACCAATCAGTAAATTTATCTGGTACACCCTGAAGAGTTAAACAGCCGTACTATTATGATATCCTGCAAAAAATCTTGGAGGTATCAGCAAAAAGAAAAAGCATACAAAGATCATGTATGGTATATACAGTGTTAATATAAATATTAAGTATAGTAATTGACCTAGGTGACTAGGGTAACTCCAGGTAACACCGAACTGAAGTTTTATGAATTAACTACATTTGCACAAGTAAGATTCAATCCAAGAGAAGAATGGCTCATCAACACCTAATTGATCAAGGATATGAGTTAGAGTAATGTGGTCTATTGAATCAAATGCTTTAAAAAAGTCCGTAAAAATCATATTTACGTGCTGTGACAAGTAGAATGACTTGTGTACCAGGTGATCCATTAAGTAAGTACACTCATCTCGGAAAGTATTAACTTTTTCCGGAATTTGTTTTCTAGATCATTTAAGAAACAAGCTGCTTTACAATGTTATATTTATGTTATCTTGCTACACTTATATTTAAGGGTAAAACCAAAACCTACTTTTGATTTTTCGATGGCAACCAGTATTAAAAATTCTATAACTAGATGGAGTATAAGTTAAAATACATATTAGTGTTGAAATTTTTGATTTTTGATGTCAATCCGTTGACGAGATATTCCAATTTTAAGTTTGGTTTGGAGGAGAGTAATGGTGTATTATTAACACGCCATGCGCTGTACCTCCACAAAAATGATACTAATGATACTAAATGATAAAATTAAAAATGTCAACACTAAAATTTATTTTAACTAAAACTCCATCTGTGCATGGTATTTTATACAGGATGCCATTAGAAAATCAAAAGTAGGTAGATGTTTAATTCCTGAAAACAAGATTGACAAATAATAACTTAAATATACAATTATAGAGCTGCTTGTTTCTTAAATGCTCTAGAAAACAAATTCCGAAAAAATTTAATACTTTCTGAGATAATGAGTGGTACGTACCAGGTGACTCACTTAAATGGATCACCTGGTATATATGATATGAAAGCATTGGTAACTGTTGAGTGCTTAGGGTATAATCCGTGTTGATCAACTGATATAGTTATTAACATTGACCTTTAAATGGATTTTAATACAATTGGCTCAAAAATCTTTCCAAGGAATTGTAGTCCTGAAATAGGCTAGCAGTTACTAATATTGGCCGGATTACTATTTAAGTTGTTGTATTTTGTTATCTAACTAAAAATGTATAATTATATTATTCAAATACATACATTTATTTCATTATTACAATTATGTAAAATAATAGTGTACGTAATAGATATACGTAGTCGTTATAATATCCGCCAGTATTCCAGGTGAAATTTTATCAACATTGGTTGGTATCTATGTATTAAGTTGTTATATTTTAAAATTTAAATTGTAAAATTATTTTATTATATGGCTGGAATGTTGGTAAAGGGAGTGATTTTAACCCCTACTCACCACAGTGTTAAAATTTGTATATTGGTAAAAACTTCCAGTTATTTAAATATATGGGTGTGGGAGGGGGGTATAAATCTTCTGTTAAATATACAAATAGGAAAATTATAAGAATAACAAATAACTTAAGATTTCCTTACATTTAAAAATTACAAAAATAATGTTTTGAATGATATTAGGTTCAAATTATTGATTGTCGTACAATATCTCGTACACAAAGAAATTGACGTATTAAAAATCGATTGAAATAAATGTTTTTATTATTATAAAAATTTTCCTAAGTCATATTAATAAAATGGCTATTTTGAATTCTACCAAAAACAAAATACATAAATCAAATTTAGTACTTATTAATTTTCAAAGCTTTTTATTAAAGACAAATATGTTATTATACGTTGGTCAATCGAAAAAAATACTAATACTAAAAAAATATATAAAATATTTCGAAATTGTTTTAATGTCTAGAATTATTCGAACTTAGGCATCACAAAACNTACTAATACTAAAAAAATATATAAAATATTTCGAAATTGTAAAACATGTCTAGAATTATTCGAACTTAGGCATCACAAAACGTTTGGAAAATTGTAATTTTTAAAGTGACTAAGACGTTAGACTTGGTATTTTATAAATTTAGTACTCCGATTGGCAAAGGTACTATGCATATTATTCATATTTGTTTTTGTAAATGGAATATATTTTTTATATCAACGGATCATATATATCCGTCAACGAATTAAAAAAAAATATAAAAATTATTTGGATAACTATCACCAGTTAATAAAAATAAGTCAAACGGCAAATGTTTGAACTTAAAATTGATTTAATTTTTATCATTATACGTATGTATAACACATTATTTTTATCTATATGAATCCTACAAAATCATAAAAAAAAAACTGTAGATTTCCTTTTTGAATTCCATTTTAATTTCACTCGCATAGACGTGCGCACGGGTAGTGCAGGATGTGTATGTACACGTCCTGTGAATTCAAATTTATCGTAAAAAAATAACCTAAATTTAATTGATGAACCCACAAATTTATATTATTTTATCTATATGATGTTGCTTATTAATATTGTTGGTAACCACCAATATAATAATAATTTATATTTATTAATCAGTACTGTTAATAGTTAATTATCAAATTATAAATACTATATGTAACTAATTTTAAATTATATGATGTAGTAGAGTATAGTGAAAACTGCGTTTTTGAATTTATCATTTTGCTATCGCAATAATATTGATTAAAGAATGTAAAGATTGCCCAACATACTTGTATTTTAAAACTCTTACACAATAGAATGTAGAGTCGGGAATCTAGTTATATAGTTTTAGTGGCGTGCCCAACAATGTTTAATGTAGCAAAATTAAAGTTACGTTTTGTTCTAAATTCCAAAAGATACTAATTCTCAACTATCTGCGTGAAATTGCTCATAATTTAAAATTTAGTGTTCAAATTTAAATGAAAAAAAAAAAAAAAAAAATAGCAAATGATAAGGGCCATATTATTATACTAATCCATGTTAAAATATACATTTTAAAAAGTGTCCACTTGATTTGTTTTGTTTTGTTTTGTTATTTTGTTTTTTGCGAGATTTTGTCCTAGATTCCATGTTATGGAAAATTAATTACAAATGCATTATACATTTTCTGTAAGAGTATTTATTTAATATTACTCGTAATTGTACGTTTTTTCCCGGTATTTCCCGTGCTTTTATCCCATTTTTTTCATTTGTTTGGAAAACCCCTTGAAAATCAAAAAATGCCATTTTTTTAGGTATCATCCCATTCAAATTTTCTTTTAGAAAAAGTGATATTATTGTAAATCGGAGTAGAATTGCTTATAGAAAAGTTGTTCAAGTTAAAGGAAAAAAAAAACATAAAAAAACGTAAAAAAAACTAGAAAGTTTGCGGGCATAATTCTATTATTTTCAATTTTTTTTTTTGTGGAAAACGAACTACTGAGGCAAAACGGTCAATCGTTATTTCGGAGGAATATGTTCGTGGTCACGTTGATATCGGTAGTGTACAATAATATCGCGACTGCGTTCATGTACCTTATACGGTTACCGCTAGCGTCACTGCGACGCGCACGCTTGGCGCTGAGCTTTTGCGCCGTTCTCGCCGACGAGCTCACACGTGGACGCGGCTCGGCCAGTCGTACCGCCGCGTTTGATGCTTTCGTCGCTCTGTTACGTCTGTCCGTTCGTTAGTCCTGCTCCGAAATTTCGTCATCTTTGCCGTCGTTGATCCAGTATCAAAGTGCAACGCGTTCCCCGCTGACACGACGCCGGGTACGTTATATCGATAATAATCATTATTATTATTTTTATTATTATCTGGGCTCGGGTTCTTTATTAATTATCATATCACGTACATACTTAGCTATATATTTGTGGTGTACTAATTTTATTACAATATCGTAAAGGGGAATTTATAACTGATATGCTTAAGAACAATAATTTGTGCAATTGAGTTCCCCATACAATTACACAAATTATTATTTACAAAATCTAGCCCTTCTCGGGTATGGTCTTGGTTAGAGTACATTTTACAATAGTAAGGCGAGCTAAATATAAATTATTGTTTTATAGGATGCAATAGGGATACATGAAAATGTTTACTTAAAATATTTTATTGTATATTTGACGTTATTTTTTTTTGATAATATTTCTAAATATTTCTATGTGCATGTAATATTATTTATTTAACGTTTTTCGTTTAAATCGAATAATGATAATATAATATAAATAAAAGTGATAATTATTTATATGTGATAATTTCGAATAGTTGCATTAGATCAACGTCTATTATTTTATACAACTACGATTAATATAATAAATTCCTCATTTAATAACATGAAATTATTATAAATTAAACAAACGTTAAACAAATAAATTATCATTTGAGTTTGTAATTTTATTTGTATCTTTATTATTCAAAAGTTATGTATAAAATCAGGGAATTTTTGTTTTTTAATACTTTTAATTGAAATAAAAGTGGTATTTTTTTACTGTCTGATGCAAGAAGAGTATTTTCATGACCGAATATCTCAATTATTTACAGTTTTGTTGACTCAAACAGTAATATTATAATCATGCGGGCTGTATTGTAAGAGTGGTACAGACTTAAAACGTTCAACTCGTTTATCTCAAAACACGTTTCCATAGGAAATACCCTTCTTGTACCTAGCCAGTCAATTATAAAAAATCAAAAGATGAAACTGCTGATGAGTGCGCCACTGTTGTACGTGAAAAGTTGGGAAAATAAAATATATATACAATTATTTAATTTATATTTATAATTAATAATATTGCAAATGAAAAACGATTCTGAGTGAAGTTCCTATATACATGATTTGAAAGACCGTAATATTTATAATTTTTATCACAATTTTATCAATTTGATCTTGAAAACTATTATAAACAAAAAAAATGTACTGCAATAAACACGTTTTTTTTATTTTTACCAAGGAGTACGATTTATAATAAACTTTCTGTTAAATTTCCAAAAAATTTTGTTCGGTCGAACAATTATATTCACATAGTACCTATCAAATAAAAGTTACGTGTAAAATTTGTAAACATAATAAAACAGCTACCCATAATTAACTAAAATCGCATAAATATTTTGAAAATTTTACCACGTCTAAAAAGGCAAATACAATTTACCTGTAAAAATTTCAAACTTTTATGAATATTTAGAACTAAATTATAACAAAAATATAAGATTGAAAATAATGAAACCATTATTACTGTAAATTTTCTCTTTCTTTCTATTTTTTCCTTGGCTTTGCTGAATTATTAAGAAAAATACACGAAGAATTAAAAACGGTTTTCTTACACACCAACTAGATCTTAAATGTAACAAAAAAGGTATCTAATTATTTTTCGATTGGAGCATTAATTCTGATAGAAAAATGAAACTGTAAAAATTAAACATAATGGAATGGTAATGCCGTTAATTTGTTCGGTTTCATTTTACTTATTTTTTTTATTTTTTCCCAATTATCATGATTATGGTATGGAAAATCAAAAAAAAAAAAACAACGATTTGTATCTCAGCAAATAAATCAATAATGATACGGAAAAATTCTCCTCGTTTTTCGATTGCAGCTATTTATCTGTTCGAAATATTGTTATGAAAGGAAAATAAAACGCACATTATAATAAAAACTAATAGATCTTTCGCTCCGCTCCGCTCCGCTCCGCTCCAAATCTAATACACAATTATCGAACATAACAAAGGTTATGACATTTGTCATATCTCCATGAGATGTATTATAATATGATGACGATTTACAGTCCCTCGAAAAATGTATTGCACTGGAACTTCTTATAATAATGTGAAGTACAGTCATACAGGAAAATCCGTTGAATATAAATTTTATGTCTGAACAAAAATTGTTGGATATGACGATTATTATTATTTTTTACGTTTTTAAAGCGTTTTGTGGGAATGAATGTGTTCCTAAAATTCTTTCACTCATAATATTCAGTGCGCAAAGTACGTAATAAATCAACTGAAATTACTATTAGAGTATCATAATATTATATACCTACTTTGGATTCCTCAAAAAATTATAAATTATATTCAGCGTTATAAGTCGAGAAACCTGACTAAATGAATTATTACATTGATAAGAATTCATTTTTAGAAGAATTTTTTCCATAGTAATATTCGTGTTCTCAAATGACATTTAGAAATGTAAAATAGGTATGTAAAGTTGAGCAGTAATGCGGTACTTTTTTTTATAGTTTTATAGCTAAAAAAAATTAAATGAAATAATAAATTACCTACCTAGTTATTTCTTTTAATTAAAAATTTGATTTTAAATTTTGCTGTACAATGTTATATGTTATTTTTTAAAAAGTTATTTAAGAAATATACGTTTAAAAACTGTGCACCAATGTTTCTTGTATTCATTTTTTGACGAAGAATTATAATTTTTAGTGTATTTATTGTTAATTTATTATGATAAACCAAAACTAAGATAATAAGGTATATTAATTTTCCATTTAACAAAATGTATTTATTGAGTGCAGTTAAAAGGTTAATAATTAAAAAAAAAGACAAAATTCTTAACTTTTAACTTTACTTAATTTATCATTTCCTTGAAAATCTGTAACTAAGCTAAGTTAATAAAATTAATTTACATTTTTAAACTAAACTAAATAATTATTATTAATTTATTTTTTTTAGGAAAACAATAAAAGTTTTTACTCGGATAGCTAATAAAGAGTCGAGTGTACATTTGTGTTTAATCTTTTTCGCATGCATATCGTCTGGACCTTATAACACTTGACACTAATGCATCACTTAACTTATATATAAATTAATTGAATTACAATTTATAGTAAACAAATAAAAAAAAAGGACTGATATAATTAGCACGTGGTGCAGCCACTGTTGTAGGTGGAGAGATGTTGGGAAGGTAGGTTTTTAATGCATATTTGTAAGCAACGATAAACCATTGCTAACAAAAAAACGATTCTGAGCGGAGTTCAGTGGATAGTGTTGATTTGTCAACTATATATTATGTTATATTATGAAAAAATAATTATATAATATGAATTAAACATTTTCTTTAATTATATTCGTTCAATATTGTATCTATTTTCCCGTTCTCCTGTTTTTCTTTCATTTTTTTCTCCAATTTTTCCAATATATCGAAAGAACCCCCAAAAAACAAAAAAATTACATCTTTAAAGTACTTTCCCAGTCAAATTTCCTTTCAGAAAAAATGTTATCATTGTAAACCGGAATAAAATTGATGTTAGAAAATTTATTCACAGATACAAAAAAAAAAAAAAAACAAAACATCATTGTGAAATCATAAGCTTCTTTGCTCTACTCAGAGTCAAAAATCTATGATGGTATAACAGAATTTGTATTCATCACACTAACTGTAGGCACGTCAAAATAGTTATTTTTACTCCGGTAATTCAATTGATTTTATTCCAAATATAATACATATACCTACTTAAGTTAGTTTCGAGAAAAATAATGATATGATATTTTGTTTACATCATAATTTAGTGATGTATTTGAGAGGGGAGGCAATGGGTAGATTGCCCCCTCTTGGAATTTTTCGTTTCCCAGTTTCTCTAATTTCTGGTAATTTTTGAATCATGGCTATAGACAATAAAATATATAGTATTTATAACCGTATTAATTATTATTTCTTTGGTATTTTTATTAGTCTTAACAAAAAGTAGTGATAATGATATAAAACTAATCCAAATTGTTGTCTATAATACATATAAGGATATTGATGTGGTTGTCCAAACAGCAGTCATTGTAGATTGGTTTTTAGGAGGAAAAAATATTAATATCGCTATAAAATTATTGTAAATATTTTTGTGTATAATTGTTTGATATGAATATATAATGTATGCATTATGTATATTATGTTTATTATTATGTTACGGCCGTTACGTAAATAAACCGTTAATAAACAAACGATTTTGAGCAGAGTTCGGTTGATAGTATTGTTTTTGTTAACAATATATACGTCATATTAGGGTAAAATAATTACATGTGCCTTCCATATTTTCTTTAATAATATTTATTTAATATTGTACCTATTTTCCCGTTTTCCTAAAGTTTTTTCTGGTTTTCCCAGTAAATCTTTCTTTTTGATTATTGTAAATCGGAGTAAAATTGTTGGTAGAAATGTTGTTCACAAAAAAAAAAAAAAAATCATTGTAAATTCAATACACTCCTCGCTCAACTCAGAATCTAAAAGTTACTTTTTTACACACTACTTTTTTTTTATTTTAACCACTAAATACAACTTTTAACAAGCCCCCGTTTAGATTTTCAAGCATTTCTGTTCAGTCAAACAATTATATCAATAGATTACCTACCAAAAAAAAACTACGCAAATAATCACAAACATTATACGTCTATAAAAAGCTCAAAAACACCAAAGTGTCTTGAGAATTTTACCACGTTTGGAAAAGGAAAATATACAATTTTCTATGAAAATTTCAAGTAACTACGAATATTTTTATTTTACTGGATTACAATAAATAAAAAAATCAAAATAATAAAACCATTACATCTGTAATCTTTTGCGTTGTTTCTATTTTTTTTTTTTTTTTTTAGATTTGCTCAATTTTTAAACAATATTTATAAAAATAACTTTCTTATTCATTAACTAGATTAAAAATTTAACAAAAAAGTCTTCTTATTGCTTTTCTATTGAAGCAATATTACTAGTAGAAAACATAATGCTTAAAAATTAACAATAATAAAATCATAACGCCGTAGTTTTCATTTTACACCTTTTCCAAATTATCATGAAAACTACTGGGAATTGATCACTAAACTTTCTCAGCAATAAGATAAAAATTTAAAAAAAATGAAATCGACAACGCCGCGTCGTGGTTCGCCGTAAATATTTGCCGTTTTTCCCAATTATTATAAAAACTTGAAAAAAAAAAAAAATGACTTTATCAATACAGCAACTTAACAAATTTTCCTTCTGAAAAGGTTCTACTTTTTATACTTCATAGTAAAATTTTTATTAGAAAAGTTGTTCACAGAGAGAAAAAAAAATTATAAGAAAAGAAATAGCTGATACTGTGGACAGGTGCAGCATTATTGTGGGTGGGAAGTTAGGAAGGTAAGATACATAATGTTATTTAACTTTTACTGCACATCATGATAAATTGTTCCTTACGAAAAACGATTTTAAGTGGAGTTAGGTAAGACATATTTTGAAATGTCGTAGTTTTCACAATTTTCGTCAAAATTCGATCTTAAAATGCTTATGAATACAAAACTAATTCATTATACTCAAATTTGGTTTTAGACCACTATAAGTACAACTTCGGTTAAATTTTCAAACATTTTTATTAAATCATACAATTTAAAAATCTAACAGATATCTACTAATTAAAAATACATATAAAAACAAGTAAATATCATGTACCTACGAAAAGCCTAGAATAGAACGGTTTACAAATGTTACCACTTCTATAAAGGCTAATATAAGTATTTTAAAAGACTAAAGATCTCTACAATAAAGATTTCTGGTAGAAAGTAGTTTACAGATAGAAAAAAAAAAATGCAAAAAATAAAATCCATTGTATTAAATTGAAAAAGAATCCTTCAAATCCTACACCCAACCTTTTGCTACGCTCCAATTCTTAAAAAGAAAAGAAACCCATGATAGTAAAACCAATAGATCCAACGCTACTCTTTGAATCTAAGAACAAAATATATTTATATGCCTTTCAGAAAAATTAATAATATTCTAACATTCTGTTAATTGTTTGTAAACTTTGTTAAATATTAAAAGGCATTAGTAATATTAAGTACCTAAGTAATATATAATACCTGCATAGATATTTGTTTTTTTATCTTTTATATATATATATTATATATGTTACGTTAAAAGTACGAATACTGGTAAATCCTAGGTTTTACTAATTGTGGTTCGAAATTCGGATATTTACTGATTGATTTCGGTAAAACCTAGGATACATAAAATAGTTTGGTCAAACCCAAAATAATTTTTGTAGATCAAAATTTTACAAACGAGATTTGGAAAATCTTAAGATAAACGACCGGCGTTGGTAAAAGTCCGAAATCGGTAACCAATTATGTGATATTTTTTTTTCTTAGCTTCTTATTCGTATTTGACTCGTATTTTATTATTATTTAAGTACATGACTACATTAGATAGATAAGTACACACATTTATTATGTTATTATAAATTATTGTATATTGTGACAACAAATTTATAATAAAATAATAAATTAAACAAAATTATTAAAATGGTTGATACTCGTAAATACTCGTAAATGGAATCACGTTTTACATTTTGACTGTTGATGAATTTTTAATCCAAAATCGGTCATATAACATACTTATCATAATTCTCCAGGCAACGTATTAATTAATTAGTTTCATTTTTTATTTTTATGTATACATTTTTTTATTTATATATTTTTTTATCAAACAAAGTTATATTATTATTGTATAATATTTATTTGTACAGGTTTGGCTACTATGATATCTCGAGTTGCACAATACATTTTTGGATTGGCACTTATCATCGATTTGTGATACATTTTTCAAATAGTCACACCTTATCAAGCTTAGTCCACTAGTCAAAGAAAGTGTTACAAGTTGTGGATGGAGGTTTTTATCACCTGGGTACAAAAGCAGAAACACTCTCCCAACTTTTCATTCGGAATCAGTTCACTTTATGAGAAGAACATTTTTTAGTATCGGCAATAATTTCAGAGAATGAAATTGGTATTCATCAAGCAGTACCGCAACTTTGTTTGACTGGTGGACAAGGCTTGATAATGTGCGAATGTTTAAAAAAAAAATGTATCACAAATTTACATAAGTGCCGATCCAAAAATGTATTGTGCAACTCGAGATGTTAGAGTAGCCATGCCTGCAAAAATAAATAATGTATAAAAATATTATAAATTTTTTGTCACAATATATAATAATTTATAATAACATGAATGTGTGTGCCTATCTACCTTATGCACTTCAATAATAATAATATACGAATATAAAGCAAGGGGAAAAATATCACATAATTGGTAAACAATTTCGGACATTCCCATTGCTGGTTATTTATCTTAAGATTTTCCAAATCTCGTTTGTAAAAGTCCGAACTAAAAAAACCACTCGGGGTTTGACAAAACTATTTTGTGTATCCTAGATATGACCGGTATTCGTACTTTTACCGTAATATTTATATTGAATTAATATTATAAATATTTAATCAATTATAAATAAAACGATATCGTCAATATCACCGACAAATGTATTGATTTTGAATTTTGAGTGCTGTATTGTCTTCTTACATTACCATTATTCATCACCATCATACATTTCGTATGTCATTAAAATATTATGAGTTATAATAATTTGATATTCTGTGGCTTATGGACTTTAATGGCAATTGTATTTTAAATTTTAGGAATTTAGAGTTCATCTATTCTAAATCTACCATTGTTATTAAATAATCATTAACACAAAATGTGCAGTAAACAATATTGAATAATCGCAACGGAAGGGAAAGACTTTACAAAAGGAAAACATATATATAAACCAATAATACAAAAAATATAGTATCACATAAATAAGAAAAACCTAATACCAACAGATTATCGAAATAAGCCACTATTAATAACTATATAACGTTTGAATAAAATATAGCATCTCATAAAATGATCCAAACTTTGATGTTTAGTAACGAATGAGTAGTCGAAAAATAATAATTCCACGATTAAACGTAATAAAAAACATATTTATCAAAATATCGTATAATTTATTTATTTTTGTTGTTAAAAGTACGATGCCGTTTAAAAGCCAAATCGTGGTTGTGGTTTCACCACAATTATAAAGGTGAGTAAAATTGTCAAAGCAATATTCTAGAGTTGCTTGTTTCTAAAATAATCAAAAAGAAAAAAAACTGATACTGGGGACAGGCGCAATCACTGTTGTAAGGGGGAAGTTAGAAAGGTAGGATACATAAGATTATTTAATTTATATCTGTAAGCAACGAAAACAATTGCAGATGAAAGACCATTCCGAGTGCATTTCGGTAATACATAATTTTAAGTGCCGTAATTTTTTTTTGCGATTTTCGTTTAAATTTAATTAAAAAACTCTTATTAAAAAAAAAAAAATCAACAAAAATATGATCTCTTATAGTTTTTCAATTGGAGTTATATTTGTATTAGAAAACATGGAAGGTACTTATTTAAAATAACGAAATCATGAAAAAATCGTATTTTTTTCCCCGGTGTATCATTTTTATTTTAAATACCGTTTTGAAAACCATAAAATGGCCTATGCATTTACTAAGTAGATAAAATTGACTTACAGAAAAGGTGCTATACTTAGACATCAGAGCAAGTTTTCTAGGATAAAAGTGGTCTATAGTATATATATAAAAAATAAAGTACCATTGAAAAGAAATTAAAAAAAGAAAAAAAAGTCGTCCGATGACGTTGAAAATTTAACCAAGTCTAATTAAGTCTAATTTAAGTATTATCACTAAGTTTCGAGTCTCTACGTATATTTATAACCGAATAACAGCAAAAAAACTCCCAAAAATTAAAATTCCTTAAAAACTCAAAATTGGCTCAAAAGTTTTTACGATGATACCGTAAGAAAGTACAATCTAGACAAATTAAGCTTTCAGAAAAGTTTTTACATGTAAAAATCGGAGCAAGTTTACTAGAAAAATACATGTCCACAGACTTGAACCAAGAAAAAGAAGAAATAAACAACATTGTAAAACCAATAGTTCCCTCGCTACGCTGGAAATCTAAAATTCTGATAAACGCTTATAGGTACCTATTATTCATATAATGAGATATTATATTAATCACTCTGTTGTACCTACCTATTAAATTCATAAATAATACCTTACTTGCATTTGTTTTATTATAACGTATGTTAAGAAATTCGTAAATAATTAGATTAAATATTATAGTTGGTACACTTGACCAGAGATTAATGACTCGGTGAAACTTATTTTTATCCGTTTTATAGAATTTCTTTGAATAACCGTACTAAATTTAGAAGATGATAAAAGAAAATGATTTTAAAATTGAATTTAATGGTTTTTTAAAAAAAGTTTTTCGTCTTTTTAAATGTATAATTATTATTTTTCCAGAAAAAGAACAAATATTAATAACTCGATTAAGAATATCGAGTTGTAAAATGAAGAAAATGTGTACATATATATAATTAAATACGTCTCTCTTTATATTCTTAATTCAAAATTTATTAATTACTATTAGAATTTTTCTTGTTAGGTTAATTTCCACTTGTCGTGATAAAGGTTGCGTTAGAATTTTATAGATAATAACCACTTGTCAGAAATGTGGGGGAATTGTAGACACAAAGGTCTACAATAACACACTAAAGTCGACAAAAAATTGACCCCGTCTAAAAATTATACTGGTCAAAGAAAGTTTCTAGGAGCCTAGGAAGTATCCTAAATGAAAACCTAAAATTTGTATTCACTAAAAAACCACGTCATGTAGAAATAATGAAAGAAGGGAAAGAAAATGGAAAACACTACGTCAGGTACTTACAGGTCACATAAAAATAAATTCATCCTAATTAGGGTATTTAGGGTAATTTAGGACAATCAGTTACCTACCTAATTCGTTTTATATCTGTACTGGATATTATTCCAGATAAATCTTAATTCAATAATCCTTTTTCAATTAATATGTATTAATATTCTTTAGAATAGATTTTATTAATCGTAATTATTGTCTTATTTGCATTTCATTAAGGTATGCTTGCCATAATTTGACATCATATAATTAATTATCATTAGCCTTTTATAATTATTAGGAAAGCTCAGATTATTAAAGCGTATTCGTCGACCTTCAAATTTGATGCGTTCTCAAAAAAGTTACTTTTTATAACCGAATTTTTAAAAATACATTTTGCTAAATTATTTTTTACGGACTGATTTGAATATTCGACGAGCTTTTAATGTTACGAAATTTGTAGATATCAGAAGTAAAAATAATCAATCTATATTAAAAACCAATTTCTTTATTCTTGTTTCAGAATCTTTAAAATATATATGCTTTAACGAATACGCATGGACGTTAATAGGAGGAGGGGGCAAAAGTGGGCTTAGACCTCCCTGAGCCATCTTAAACCATCTCTAAAATATTTTAATATCTATGTAATATTTATTATAATAAATTATATAATTTATAATCAATATGTATAATATTTATAACCGATCGAAATAGTATTGCATAGAATTTATAATTAATGATATTAGTTTTAAATATAATACTATTAATAATATGTAGGTAGGTTTTTAGTAGATTTTCATTTTAACAGTCCAATTAATGATGAGTGATGCCTACTAGTCTTGATGATAGTTTAAAAAAAAACCCAGTGAATTATTGATTGAAAAGATATTTTTATCCATCGATTGATTTGAAAACTATCAAATAAATTAGTCGATAGTTTTCATTCAGTAGTAGTACTAACTAGTTTTGACTATCGATTTATTTATATAAAACTACCACGAAACTTTGGAAAGTTGTTGAGTACACTCCCGTGAAGGTTTCATACATAGTATGTCTATGAAATTCTTTGATAGCTCCGTTATTATCCACATAAACTGGGTTTTAGATTGGTACGAAGATAACATAATATATCTATTTATGGTTCACCTCGGTGATGCAAACAAAAATATTATTAGTTAACTGGGCAAATTATTATTATGACTATGGTATGAATAATATATTCTAAGAATGTGTATACAATTAAATGCGTAGTTTTTTTTTATTATGATTGTAGAGAAAATGTTTAATTTTAATTTCGAGGAAGAAATCAATATTGTGTACACTTCAGTTTAAGGGTGATAAAATTATACGTAAAACATATGATATTATAAGACATACATACGACATTTATAGACATACATAAAATATACATATCATCTTTGATTTTTCGAATACTGCATCGTCGATAGTTATGCCCTCCAAACGGAAATCAAATGGTTGATATTCATCTGAAACACGGAAGAGAAAGGCGTTAAAGGCAATGGAAAGCAAGATTAGAAAAGGAATATAGTAGATAATAATAAAAAATTATAAAATTGGCATTTAGCAGATGTACATTATACATATATAAGCTGTCCTGCCTGGAGTTGCCAGTGCTAATTTTTTAATATATTTGTGTGCATAATAGTGTTATTTTGATGTTGGGGTAATCTCCGAAACTACTCATCCAATCGTTATGTGTGTTTTTTTTTAATGATACGCAGTATATCGTGGAGAGAGTTTTAAGTTGTTGAAAACATCGGTCTGACCAATAGAAGTAGTAGACGACCTAACCTACAACAGTTTAGACTGGATAAAAAAACAATATAGCAACATACAGCTAACTTATATAAGTTTGAAAATACAAATAAAGAAAATTCATTTTTAAACATTTAAGGTCAATCATTAACTGTAGTAATAGTGGCGGAGATCGAAACTAGAAATCTAGGGGGGAAATCGTTTTTATTACATTTTATTTGGCACGGGCAACGCCAGGCGGCACAGCTAGTAGTTTATAAAATAATCGAGTAATTTTTTGGACTGAATAGATATTATCAATATAACGAACTGATGGTTTTATCTGATGGTTTTAGTCCGATGGTTTTAAATTTTTTAATAGTGGAATAGTAGTTTCGATAGTGTAGACGGTATTTTCCATAGTAGATAGATTTTAGAAACCGAGTAGGTTTATAGTTTGAAAATATCGAGTAATTCGATAGTTTTCACTCGGCAGTGCCCTCGACAGTTCCAATGTTTCATAAGCTATGATCATTTCATGGCCTATGATAACGGCCTGTCGACTAAACACATTGCCGTGCATCCATGCGGCTGCCAGGCACGATTACGCCGCGTCGTCAAAATATATAAATATCTTTACTTATGTGATATTATTATGTATATAAACCAACGTTTTGATATTAGTATTTTTTGACCTATAAATAGATTTTCCTTTATTATTATTTAGACCAGTGTCCTTTTTGGATTCAAGTCCAATACATTTAAGGACCCCATACGTCTATGTGAACACATATTATTGTTTTTTATTTTTCTTCGATAACATGTTCTCGAGACAAAAATGAAAATGCTGTATGTTTCAAATCCTACTTATTATACAGTGTGTTTGCGTTTCCAAGTAACACCAAATATTTCGAACCTCATTTTCATTCAATAATCCACTCTGTGGATAAAATGCCTTTTAAAATATGTGTAACCGAACTTCGCTCAGAATCGTTTTTCGTTAGCATTGATTAATCGTTGTGTGCAAATATACACATTCAATTTCCTCAGTGGCTCACCAGTTGTGCGAAGTGTGTCCGTTTATTTCTTATTGCTATTTTAATATTTAATTTTTTTTTTATGGTTCATCTAAAATAGTTATGGTTTCCATAAATTAATTATGTTTTTTTAAATTTTATTTTGATTTTTAAATATATTGGCACCTATTGACCATGTATGCTTCCTTCTTCTGACACATATCGTGGTCTACTACCTTTCTTCTCTTTCAGGTATAAAAATTATCCTATAATTACTTTCTGGAATAAAAAGGAATCAAATAGAAAACATTTCATAAAAAAGATAAAATGTTTCTCGAGATTTTTATTGATAAACAAACAGGTGGAGACAGGAGTTTAAAGTTCAAATCTTCTAAAAACACATTCTTGATACAGTTCTATAACAGTTCTAATTATATGTTATTTTAAAAAAGCGAAATTATCCAATTTATTCCATGAAATAAAATGACTCTATGTAAGTTTCCCAATTCATAGATTGGGCGAAAAATGTTTCATTTCATGAACTGGAATTCAAAAATACTGACCATTTCATGAACTGGCCATTGATAATCTTAGAAATATGACTCAATATTAAATGGACGAAACAGATTTTATCAATAAAGAGTAACATGTTTTATATCACAAAATGACGTATATTAATAAATATATGATTGATTTTAAATTCTTATTTTGAAACTGCTGCTATTAGTTATTATAACCTCATAATAAAGGATGAAAGAATAATCGATGCGGAAGGGCCAAAAATGGACTTCTATATAATTCTGCATGTCACTCCGGCAAAACATGTTATAATAATGATTAATGGATATTAATACATGTATTATTATAGATCAAATCTTTATGTTTACCTATTATATATCTAACAGATACAATACAGTGTATTAGCCTCTATTTTCGGGGAAAATTCAAGAAAAACGAAAAAGTTTTTTTATTGTGCATTTGACGCATACATTTCCAGTATTTACAAATTTATTTATAACTTTATAAACAACACGTAGTTTGTTTGACAAGCTAATTCCTCTTACAAGTACTGGATTTAACTGGTTTGAAATTGGAAATAATGATATTTTCTACTGCAGTTGTTCTTAAATTATAATTAAGATGACTCCAGATCTTAAAATATGGCATTTAAAATTGTTAGTATTTTTATAATATTTATGGAAGGAAGGAATATTGATCATTTGTATCTTATTGAATTCTGTAAGGTTAGAAGAGACGTAGAAAATGATACATAGAATGATACTAGAATATGGAATACGTGTAGTGGCGATGAGATTTCTTAAGATAAGGAACGAGTAGATAAGATATATCATAGAAGCAATTTTGATTCGATAATGGACAAAATGAAAGAAAATACTGATATGGTTTGGACATGCCATGAGGAGGGAGAAATCATAAGCAAGAAGAGTAGTTATAAAATTAAACGTAGGAAGAAAGAGGGGAAGATTTAAGTTTTGGATTTATTGAGTAAATCATTATTCGTATATTACCAAAGTTTAAAGAAGTAGTCGTTCTAAATTCCTTTGCTGTAGATTGTAACGTTAGGTGTTTAGTTGTATAATTTCAGTATTATCGGTTTCCTTGGATAGACTTTTAGCTAGCCATTTTATAGAGAATTTTTCTATTGGTAACCCGACTAAAAAAAAACTTGATATAAAATGGTTTTGAACCCCTAATCTAAGTAGAATATGCTTATCGATTGACAACCGATACCTGATTAAACTTATAACATATGTAGCATTTTTTTTTTTTTTGTGAAGTTTAATATTTTTAAACTACTTACTAATTTTTTAACTACCAAAAGTCGATAATAAATGACGAATGACACATGATATATTCAAATATTTTATGTAGCATCCGAGTAGTCTCTTACTTGTAAGTAATTAAAAAGCATGATTGACGGTACACTAAAAATTAAATAATTCTCGCAAATGATTATGTCACGTTATCCATAGTTTAACAAAATAGTGTACTTATTAAAAAAAATGAATGAATATTAAATGTAAATTAATGATCTATTTATAATATTTTCAGTTGGTTTTATCAAACTACAGTCAAATTAACTAAAACGCAGCCATGAATAAGTTTTAGTACTAAAGCACATTTGTGGTCCCGAATATTAACAAGTTATTATTCCGTGATATCGTGTGCATTGTACCAATTCAATGGGAAACGCGAGCGCTACAAGAAGAGGTTCAATTTTCTCAAAGCAAGATTCTACGGGTGATGAAGGTTCCACCCGACACAGTAAACGGCTGTCTAGCCGACAAAATACTCTACTTGAAGAAGAAGAGTATCAACCGGAATTGCCGATTGCTCCTCCGCCAGAACCACTGACTACACGGCAGAAAGAATTGCTAACCGAAATGTGGAAATTGTTAGAAGATGACATTGCAAAAGTTGGTGTTATTACATTTGTAAGGTAAGTGTTCCTTTATTAAATAATATAGGTATTTTTAGATTTTTAGATTCTGAGTGCTTCGAGGTTTTATTATAATTTTTTTTTTTTTGCGTGTGTAACAACTTTTCCACCAGAAATCTAAGTATAATAAAAAAAATAATAAGAACCTTATGTGGTATTTTTTTGATGTTTCAAGCATATTTTATAATGATTGGAAAAAAAAAACGGGAAAAAATTAATAAAAATAACAAAGAAATTCACCGCAATAAAAAAATAGCATTATTTTTGGAATGAAAATTGAGAAAGATTAGGAAAGTAGTTTTTTGATTTTACTTGTAGTTTTCTTAATAAATAGGCTGAACTGAGAAAAAAAGAAAAAATAACGGGCAAGTTTACGGAAATAACGGTTTCATTATTTTAAATTTTATTTTTCGTTACAATTTTGTTAACAATAATCATATAATTCTTTCACAGAATACTTATATTAACCTTTTACAGATGATTTATGATTTATTTATAGTCATTCGAAATTATCTAGCTTAATTTTAATTTTAATTTTGTAGGTATTATTATTTGGATAAAACTGTTTGACTGAATAAATATGTTTGACCATTTTATATGACATTCATTATAAAATGTACATAGTGGTCAAAAACATTTAATTTGAACGTTATGTGTAGTTGTTTTATAAGTGTAAAAAAAATCAAAAATAAATAAAAAACTAAATAAAAAATTTCAAAATGATGTATTTATAAAAATTAAATCATTTCAAAAATATAAAAACGAACTTCGCCAGGGTCGTTTTTTTAAAAAAAAAGGTTACTTATTAACATAAATTAAATAACTTTATGTAAGTTACCTAATCAACTACTTAACTAAAATAGTGAAAAACCCGTCACCAATGATTTTTCTTTGTGATTAAGATAAAAATAAACATAGAGATAAGAAATTTTCAATAAATTGTTCAAAACTTTTTGAGCTATTCAGGTGTTTGATATTTTCGAAGTTTTTAAATATTTATTTGGTTTATGAGAGTAAAAAAAAAACTATTTCAGATGAGCAAAAATATTTAACAATTTTTCATGATATTCTTTATGAATTGTACTTAAGTACAATTTTTAACATTAATGTTAAAAATCAAAATTTAGCATAATACAATCGTTTTTTTTTTTTTTATTAGCGTTTTAAGTTTAAATTTTGACGAAAACGTAAATATCATATCATTTTAAAACATGTTTAACCGAACTTCGCTTACATTTGTGTATCGTTAACGTTGATTTATTACTATTTTTAGAAATAAATCTTTCCTTTTTATATATCCTACAAACCTTTCCACCTACAACAGTGGCGCACCTATTGGCCATCAGCAGTATATTTTTTAACTGTATTTTAGATTTCGAGCGTACTGAGGGATCTATTGGTTTTGCTATTTTTTTTTTCTGATTGTAATCAACTTTTCGAAAAGAAATCTTGTTCTGGTATATAGAGTATAGCAAATTTTCTGAAAGGCAATCTTGTATTGTTGGTGCATTGGAAAGAGGAAGAGAAAGAAAAAAAAGTATTTTTTTTTTTGATTTTCCAAAGTTTTTGAAATAATTGGAAAAAAACTTGATTTGAAATTTACGGTACCCCACGGCATTACTGTTTTCATTGTTTTCAATTTGTTTTTACAAGAAATATTTTCCCGATTTCCACATAAAATCATAAATTTAAAAAATTTCGATATTTCAGATTTCTCGTCTTATTACTTTCGATTATTGTAAAGTATTTTAACATCATTTTTTCCAAAATATATAAAGTAGGGTTTTTAAAATAAAAATATTTTATTTGAAATATTGTTGATTTTATTTCGGACGAAAATGGTAGTTAATGTACTAAAGTATATTATATATATTTAATATATAACCAACTTACGTATTCAGTCATATTTATGATTTCTATGATTATTTTTTTAATGAAGTTTTTTTTTTTATTTTCAATTGCTATTTATTGAGTATTTGAATCACTCGAGTAAATAATAGAATTTGATCAGGTATTATTTGTTTGAGGTCTATAAATTTTATTATTGATAGAAAATGTGATTTCCCAAGTATATTATCCAGATGAGTGTATAATGACATATATATAATAATATAATGGTTAATTGTATTTTATTACTTGCCTTTAACGATATTATGAAATATTTAAACATTTCATATCTATTTTTAATTTGTTTAAAGCTCTTAATTCGTATAAATAATGAAGTACTTTATAATAGGTTTAATGATTAATATAAATATGTTATAATAATTTTAAACATTTAAAAAAAAAAAATTATTTCGAGAATACAGTTTAGGTCTCACGAAGATAATAATGGTAATTAAATTCTGGTTTGTTTTTATATTACTCGTAGGGATAAGGCTACGAATATTCATATTTGAATTTAATGTTTAAGTAAAAAAAAAAAAAAACAAGTTTGTATTTTATTATTTTCGGAAAATTTGAAGGTGGCCATTTTATACAGTTTATTTTTTTGACTATTCTGCCGTTTCAACTTTTACTTTCATTAAATTCGAAATTTCGAATTATCTATTACAAATTAGAGAAAAGTATCTATAACTACACAGTAAGCTGTAATCGCATTCGCAAAAGATTATTATTATTATGGCTTATTGACTGTATACTTTTTTTCGAAACTTTAAGAAGTTAGTGAAAATCATGAATTGAAAAAAAAAAAAGTTGATAAGTCAACATTTTCAGACGAATAAACTTTATAAAATTAAATCTTTTCAAATTTTCCAAAATACATAATAAAATGAAAAGGTTATTTTTTAAATTTTTTATCAAAAGATAAAAAATTAGTTGAAACATAAATTTATATATTCCTAGTGATTAATATAAAAAAAAAAAAAAAAAATCGAATATAATAATATTTATTATCTCTGTAGATATTACAATGAGTATATCATAAGGAGACATTCTGTATAAAAACAAACAAAATTTCGGTGAAAATGATTTAAAATAGGTTTCAAAAGTTGAAGAAGTCAGATCTCGTCTCACAATACGATTTTTGTCTGCCTTTTTGTAATGTTGTACTTACCCACACTGTCCCTTAAAATTTTAGTAAATACAATTATCCTGTATAATCTCCGAAAAACTGTCGTCAAAATAAAATAACAGGTCGCCAAATAAAGAGATACAACTAAATTTAATATTGTTTATTTAGGTGTTTATAGCACTACCGTTGTATTGGTACTTCAAATATTATGTTAATCTAACATAATAACTTTCTGTTAAATAATACGTCACCGGCGCATTGCATATGCAAAATAGATGCAATAATGTAAACAAGATTCAAGACGAGTATTCAAGTTTTTATTTTTCTTATACAGTATAATATATTTACCTACCCATACTTGAAATATTATATTATATACGATACTTATACTTGTGTATTTTAAATTCCGAGGGAAGTGAAAAATGTATTGGCTTTACTATAATGTGTGATTTTATTGATTTATTTTATTTTTTGTATCTGCAGTGAACAACTGTATGATCAGAAATCTCGTTCCAATCAAAAACTTTATAGGAACTTTCTTATAGTTTAAATAATGATGGTGCATTAGGAATGACGTTTATTGATATGCCTCATCATAAAAACGGAAACAATATACGATAACGGATTCTGTTAATTTTTGTTTTATTTATTTAATATATTTTATAGTATATTTTAAATAAGGTCAAACAATGACCACAGGAACCTTAAACATTCACATAACATTTGTACTTGCATTTTTTAGACATTGCACACTTGTTTAGATATTTTGGAATTTTTTTGATTTGTTTATTTTTACTTGAAATATTTGATTATTTGACTTTTTATTTGGTTTTAGTTAGATACAATTTTGCCGACTATGTAAATAAAATCAACAATTTGATTCAAGATTTATCACAAATTATGTTTAGTGGTAGAAAAAAACTGTTGATTTCTACACAAGCGTTTAAAGTGTAAGTTTTGATGAAAATCATTTACCTTCAATTAGTATCGTGGGGTAAACATATTACAATACATAAATGTTAGCTGTTCTTTGTCTGTTTTGTGAAACAAGTAGATGATCTTCCATCATCATTTCCATCACTAGACACATGACTCCGAAATTATTTAGCTTTATCTAAGGTTTCTGGTAGCTAACTGCTTAATGTCAGTCCATTCTATCTTATCCTTGATAGGTAATGTTGTGGTAGAGAGTTTTAATAATATAATTATAAATAAATTATATTAATAATAGATTATTGGTCTTATCTAAATATCGGCGTTGTAGCTGGTAATCCCAAGATTATGTTTACTAATTTACTACTAGACGCTACTATAATAACTATAATGTGTCTAATAATGTTTTACATTCTAAATCGTATACAAAGTTATACTTTGAAAATGGATCATCATAATTTTAATACTTTTATTAATATTTGCTGTTGAAAACATACGATATTATTAAAAATACAAAACAGGGTAGTTATTTCATTTCCAATTATAGGGGTCACAAAAAATTAATTTAGATTAATTTAATTAATTTAATTAAATTAAATAAAAAGATCTAATTAATTAGATTTTAAAATTACTTGTTTCTTAAGTTTTCATTAAAAAAGAAAAAGAAAAACCAAAAATTCAGAAATATTGAGTGCTTACGTTATTATTTCGGCATATTGTGGTAAATGTTTAAATTACATATATATTTAACATTTGTACTTTTAAATTTCACTTAACAATAATAATTAGCTTTCTAAGTTTCTTAATCCTCAAAATATAACAACATTATCAAAACTTTGTTTCCACTTTATCTGAGAATTAATATAGGTAATTTGCCTTATAGAAAAATAACTAATTTCGATGAAATAATAATGATAAAATATAAGATATTTCATTGAAAAAAAAATACGACTTAATTAACAACAATAAATCCGTTGAATTAAATAAGTACTGTACGTGAATAAAATTTAAGGTGGTTATATTATTATTATATTATATGATAATTTGTTCATTCGTTAAATTAAATGTGATGAATGTGTGTTCTTTTCATGTGTGCTTGAATAAAATGCAGAAACTTGATAAGATATTTAGATATCTATATGTGTCTAACAGAATTCTTTCAACATTTAACAATGACAAAACACGTAACCTCCATTAGTAAAAACAACAGTTAAATGCTATCTTTGTTTGTATTTTAACTTCCTGACGTTTGAAAAATAACTGCATACTTTTATTAACGCACTAATACGGTACAAATAAACAACACGACTAATGGGAAATTCGATGGACATAATGACCAAATAGTCGTTATGTTATTTCGGTATAAGGATTTTATTCAGTGACAGCTAAACAAACAATATGACGAGTATATTATTTGCATGATTATCTTTAATATACACTTTGCGCTGATTGAATTCTATGTATATTTTTTAATTTTTGCCCTAAAACTTAATTTTTAAAAAAGTGATCTGACTCCGGAGTTTATGACTATGGTAAGTCTCTATTTTATTATTATTTTAGAATTTAAAGCAATGCAATGGTAAATTTAATATTATTTAAATTAAAACTCAAGTTTTTATATCCTCTAAAAAAATGGTTCGCCCAACCTTGGCTATCTTTTAATGTAAGACATACAACTAACGATATACCTTTTACCAAATTATAAAAACGCATATTTTGTTTTTAAAAAAAAAAAAAATCAATTTTTATATAAAACAGTTTATAATTTTTGATACAATTTAAAATAACGATTTCATTGAGTTTATTTATAACGTAAATGTGGAATATTTTGTAAAACGTCTATTAAAAAGTTATATTTTACACGAGTAGGTCCAATCTTGGAATATGAATCCATTATCTGGGACCCACATAACACTGGTGACTAAAATCACATTTTCTTTGGACACAATGTGTGGGTTAAGAATGAATCCTTGGTGTCTAATCATATCATCAGCTAGCTAGATTGAATGATCATGTGACATGAATAGAATATGGACACACAATCGGTGAGTAAAGGCTGAAGAAATTTCGGGATGTTTAGTTTGAGGCTAAAAGACTCATCCCAAGAAAAGAATATTTGTAGATCATTTTGAAGTAGAAAATAGTGGCCCACAGAGCTGATTTGAATGAAGACTTTCAAGTCATCCACACAATTATTAATGGTTAAGTAATAAGCATGCTTGCGGCAATGAACACGGGTGATGAAATTTACAAAGAAAATGAATAAGATGGGAATGATAACAGCACCTTTAAGTATACCGAATAAATATGGAAAGTCATCTGAGGAAATAATATCAACTATAACGTGGCGTCAAATTTTAAAGACAAGATCGAAAGAATGACACGAAAGATAACCAATACCAGAGAAATTTAAGGTTCTTACTAGGAATTAGTAGTCAATACTATCAAAACTTTTGATCGTATTGGTATATAGTATTTTATATCATATTTTATTCGCATGTTAGGATTAAATTTGTTATAAAATATTTTCCAATGTTATATTGTTTTTATATTATATTGTAATAAAATAAATACGAATAATTCAAGAGGATATTTCTAAAGTTACGCAACCCAAAATAAAGATAATTTTTTTTGCTGCTTAAATATTTGTCGATCTTATTTTCATAATGTCTACAGTTATGGCTTGGCTTATATTTTCCTGACTTCTGCACAGAATATTTGATATTTACATTATTTAAACGTCGTTGGTGAAACGATTATTACTAAAGTCAATAAACTCACTGTGCTGTTTTATTGACTTTTTTATAAAAGAAAAAAAAGTAGGTAGACAATTATTTTTAATGACTTTATGTGTGATAAACCATATGTTTTTTATGATAACTTTAAACTTCAAAATATTAGATATTTATCAAATTTATTCAAATTTTAACGGAAATCTTACAAATCATAGCATTTCAAAACATGTTTAACCAAATATGCTCAGATTTGTTTTTCGTTAACAATAATTTATTGTTGCCTACCGAAATAAATAAATCAACTATTTGTATCTTACTTTTCCAACACCTCCCTTTTGACTTTGGGAACAGATATGTAAAAAAGCGTAAAAAGACTTGTGGATAAGGAGAGCAGTAGGTAAAGAACTAACCTATATATATATATATATATATATATATATGCCAATAATCATGACTCACGAATCATTACTACGGCTAGCAAACCGCGGTTAGAATTGGCACGAAATTATACATATATTATAATATTTTGACGTCGTACTTACTTAAAAATTTATGATGAAATTAAAAATTGCATACAAATCTAATATTTATAAAAAATATTATATTTGTTGTTATTGATTTTAATGTTATTGGTTTTATTTTTTTGTAAGTATGTTGTATGTTTTATTGTTCAATTATGCAAAATGATGAGGTGGACATTTTGCTCGTTAGATTATAGTTACTTACATTTTCATTAAATATCGATTACCTAATCAATTTTAGATTTAATACTTCAGTTTAAACGCTTACAGTAGTTTATAATTTGGTAAAGTTTTGTTTTATTTATGTACAGTAGGCACCTATCTACCTACCTACCTACCTAATAAATATCTACTACATTATATATCTATATTTATGCTAGAGTACCTACGTGATTAGATAGTTAACGAATTAATCATAACTTATTGGTTCAGATTTATTACTACATATTTTTTCTAATGATGATAGGCATGCAATCATATTTTTAATATTTTTATATTTTTCATATTTTTTTTTATTTAATTCAATATACTAAACCCATTTATATTTTTTTTTCAGAAAATTTTAACAATTTGTTAATGATAAGATTACGATTGCGTACGCACTTTTTGTTTGATATTTATTAGACACAAATTTTAAAATTATTTAGTGATTTTAGGTACCATTTTCAAACCCTATCTTCATTCTTACAAATATCTGCATATAACGTAATCATTGAGTAATTTGTTTTCGTTAGTTATTTTTTATTAATTCTTTGATTCAACCTTAATGTATTCAATCGTGAAACAATGGCTTTGTGATGACGAGGGTTCGGAAGTATTGGTCCCATCCAATGAAAACCTACTATGGATTAAGCCAGGCAGATAATTTGAATATTAGTAATTTGAATTTTACCCCAGGACAAGCATTGTCTCTGAATTTATGAGATTGTTTCGAACGATCGATTTCGACGATTTATTAGGTACCTATATAGCCAGTTTGAGTAGCATTTTTTATTCGTTGAAAATTAATCTGAAATCGTCAAAAATCAGTGAAATATACAAGAGATATTTACGAGCGGAAATGATAATAAAGGAATATATAGTCATATATTATATACTCGTTAAATATTTTCTACATTGACTTAATAGTGATGTAAATTTTCAAAAAGTTGAAAATTTGTCAACTTATCAAACTAAATGGCTTTATTATGTTTACCTTTATTTTTTCATCAAAACTCTGCTAAATACTGTGTTTTAACCAATAATAAATTTAATAAAGTTTTAGACTAGGTACTTCAGCGTATATAATATAAAGATAGAAGTACAATTTATTCTACCGTGTTATAAATAGGACTACAGAACAATTTTTACAGAGTAATTAATTTAACCCATTTAACACTCATTATTATCTCTGAAGTAGGTATTATCTTAAATCGAAAATTATTTTTGTTGTAAAATCTAAAATACACGCAATTTTAACGTTGACCTTATTTTATTTACCCTTATACTCTGCTGTGTAACCATTACGCCAATCAATGTTTATATTCTAATTGTAAATTATATTACTAAAAGTTGTATAATTCGTGAAAGTATGGTTGAATTAAATGTTACCGTTTTTCATTTTGTATTATATCACCTATTTGTGGTAATATACCACTTTGAAATTAAGTCTTAATTTTTGATAAACGTACTGCAACTTATATTCGTTTTAGAGATTAGTAAACGACTCTCCTTATACTTAAGTGCATCGAAGCCCGCTACAATGCATTGCACGGTCGGGCAAATTATAAATGCATAGTGTGCTTCAACTCATTTTTGATTTAATAAACAAATATAGATTTATTTATAATAGTATAAAATATAGAAAAAAAAATTTAGATAGTTTGTGTATAGTCTAACTATAAATATTATTAATTCTTAAAGGATTTCAGATTTAAGTGGTATAAAAAAAACCACCTGAATAACTGTCGATTAATTTTTGAAAATAAATAAAATAAACATTTACTAACACAAGTTAAATGTAAACCACGGTTTTACAAGTACGTAATACCCGTATTCATGGCCTCTGACAGTAAAGAAAAATCGAAGAACTCTAATTGTGCGGGCTTTAAGTTAAAACTAAAGTTTAAAATTCTAACACTAAATTAAAGAAGAACATATATTAACAAGTTACGTACAAGTTACAGTCTAGTTGTTTTAAATATTGTCTAGAAAATAAATTACACTTTTAAACGTTTTTCGATTTTTATTATTATAATTATTATTTTTTATATAAATGTTAAGTAACTATTTTATTAAACAGAAATATTTTCTAAAAATATTACGTATTATACTACAGCCGTCAGCAATATTTTTTCTTTTTATTCTTAATTATTTTGTCCCATTTGATAATAAACCTGAAACAACAATGAATGTAATATATAATTTACAAATTCATTACAACAGAAATAACGAGTTATTTGAATTGTTTATGCATTTTAATTATTTATAACATGTTTCAAACATATTTTCGAATTGGTATGTTAAAAATATTACTTAAGAAATGAACTTTCCTAGTGTTACCTTAGTGATAATTTTTATATCTAATGGAAGTAAAATTAGGTACATGAGAATTAGTTCCTATTGAATATTCGATTGTATAAAATATCTGACTCAATGAACTGGCATAATAAAATGTGTGACATGCACGAAATCATGTTATTTCAAAATAAACTCCATAGAGTAAATTTGGAGAGTCAATATCGTTATTAACAAGTTGACTAACGAATACAGGTGCTACACCAAACAATCAGTCCAAATACTTGGAATTAAGTATTTACCCCTAACGTGACACTCACAATACAATTTATGCGTAACATAATTTTGCTTTTTAGATAAGTGGATAGGTAAAGTAAATGACGGCATTTCACAATATACATATCCCCGTTGATGGGAATGTGAATATGTAGAATATGGAATATACATAGAATATGCAGTCAAAAATATAAGATACGGATGTAATTTGTTTTAAATATTGAAGCAACGAAAATCATGGTATAAATAATAATGGAACCATTCTAAGTATAGAGCTTAGAATTAAAATTTCAACGCTTTTCTGTCAGCTGCTGTTTGAGTGTCTTAGCCATTAATGTAAATTTCCTCTCGTCTTTATCTGCGTTCTTGATATCGCACAAACTTATTTTACAGTTATACAATAATACCTGCAAGTTAGTTAAATAAAAAGAAATAAATGTTTGATTTAGTGTTTTTCATGATATTTGCAACAAAATTTAAAGATTTTCTGGACACAAAACTCGAAAAAAATCGATTAACGAACTTTCTATAGTCACAAGCCATAATTTATTTAGATAAGTTAATAAGAAGATAAGTCAAAATTATTATTTCTAGATAAAAAAATTACTGTATTATGGAAATTTGAGGTTATTATTGCGTTTTCGGACAAAAAAAAATAGCTCTTGTCATACACATAGAAATAAGATGGTTAATTTAACTTTTTACTATGGTCTTAATCATTAAAATTGAAGTTGAACTGTATTTGTTGGTCAAATTAAGTAGAATGGAGCACTAATCTAAGTATATAGTATATTAAATATTTGAAGGTATTTAAATAACTGAATAGAATTGAAATTTTGAGAATCGATGTTATTCATAATAAAATAATAAAACAAAAACAAAATTATTAAAATGGTTAATACTCGTAAATAAATAAAGTAAATATATAAATAAAAAAAGTATACATACATTTTTTATTTATATATTTATTTACGATGTTATTTAGTTTAATGTTTTCAGAAAGTTAAATTTACTACAAGTTTAGGTCATTATCTGAATTATTTTAACAGTTAAAATAAATATAAATGAATGTTGTTATCACTAGTTATGTAATTGATTTGGTTGTTATAATTTGAAGTTATTTTTATTACCTATGTTATTTTTACGTATGAGCTAGTAAATATTAAAATAGGTATTTATTATTATAAACAATAATATCAAATATGAGAATATTACTGCGGTCTGCAATTGCTTGTAAGAGCGTGTGTATCGTTATCATCGCCCAACTACCACCAATTACGAGTGTGGTTATGTACTAAAGTCTATAAAAGCTCATATATTATCAAGTTATACATTTCTACATATTATCTCAATTGACCAATTGTGCAATATAGGGGAGGGTTTTGGGGGTTAGACCCCTCCCTCATCCGAAATGTATGGTTAGTAAAGCACAAGTGCGTTTTTATGAATTTATTAAATGTATGTATTAGCTAAAACCCAAAAGCTTTTTTTTATAATCCCCCCCAAATTAATTTCTATATACCTATATATTATTTTAGTAACAATATTATGAAAAATATAATATACCTCGACAATACTGTAAATATATTTAACTTGCAAACTATATACAAATAGTAAAGAATAGCGTTAAATAGAATAGGAATAGCGTTAGGTTTTAAATGAAAAATGTCTGGCGATGAAAATGAGTAAATGTTTTAATACCAAATATTTATAGACCATGACATTTGATATAATGGCACTATGGATAGGTAGGTAGATTAGGTTAGGTAGTAATTATATTGTAGACTAGCTCGAGTTCTCAACTCCCTGACAACCGTGCTGAACGTTTGTAATTCTTTTATTTATTTTTTTACACATTTTAATAACCGAATCTGTAGTTATTTTAACTCCTTAATATAGTTGAATTAATAATAGTGATGTAGTTGTAAATATATTTTGTATGAAGTTAATTCGAACTAAAATTATTAGTTATTTTGATTATCTTAGATGGGTTCCCACACAACAATAGAATATTTTCAACATGTATCAACAATATGTTTAGATAACATATTTTGGTGACTGAATATGTTTTGGCATAAATATCAGTAATAATATGTTTACAATATTATATACATAATTTTTCTATTACATTAATTATTACATATTTCCAAAAAATGATTTTATGGCGTTTTTAAGGCATACAACATATTTTTAGACAAATGTTTTGTTGCTTAGAAACATTAAAACAAACAAATTTTTATATAGGTGATTAATCTAGCATAAGACATTCATTATCTCTAAAAGAATTATATTTTTGAAGAATTTGTTTTATAGATGATCAAAGAAACAAACAGCTTGACAATTTTGCATTACAGTTATTTTGTTGTATTAAGGGCTTATATTTAGGGGTGAAACCATTACCCACGTTTGATGTTCAAATGGCAATGTAATTAATTTCTTATTTTGAATCTCGTTGCTATGAACAACTATGATAATTAACTATTTCACAAACTGGCATCCAGTCATAACACAGCTTTTATACACCTATATGTAAAAACGTAGATGTACGACTCATGCATGTTTTGACATTTCATAGAGTTCGATGGTTATATTGACCCTAATAATTATATTATATAATGTTGATTGAACTAGATAATTATAATAATATAAGTTTGTAGTGACGACTCAGTGGCGTACGTAGAATTTTTCAATGGGTGGGAGAGAAGTGCTGAAAAAGAAGTACTCAATGATAAGAAACAATTAAATTTTAAAAGTATAGTAGTTATAGGTAAATATAACTTTAATGCATGTATACCCAGGCGTTCATTTAGATATAATATTATACTTTTGTACGAACACGGACGACAACTAAAATTGTAGGGGCAATTTCAAGAGGGGGCAAAATAAAATAAACAATATAATGCTCAAAATATAAAATTGCTAAAATTATTTTAGTTCATATTATAATATCTATATAATATGAAACGCGTTTTCCATTTTATTCTTTATTTTTACTTGTGATAACAATAAGCAGGTATGTAAAAAACGACGGACATACTTCCTACGATGAGTATTACCACTGTAGTAGATGAGAAGTTGGAAAAGTAGTGTATAGAGGGGAATTTAATGTATATCTGTACGCTACAATTAATCATTTTACATAATTAATTCTAAGTTCGGTTATAGATGTTTTAAAAGTCTACAATAATTACGATTATTGTCAAATAGGTTACCCAGGATGATTTTTCAAAAACAATTTTATGAACGTCTTCATGCCTTCAGGCAATTAAATAGTGTTTATTTTTATTTTAGATTTTGGATATAGCGAAGAAGCTATTAATTGGTGTGACTATATGTTTTTTTCTTAGGTAATTTTTTTGGTTACAAAAAATGGTTCGATTTTTTCACGCAATAACCTAAGTGAAGCGGAATATATTTTTATTCAGCGTGCGATAGTACATAAATTGCAATTTTTAAAAATGTTTTCAAGTTCACCTGCTACAGATGTTTTTTTTTGGGGTTTTTCTTTTTGATTAATAAAATTAGTAAAAATGGTTTTAACTGGTTACGTCGTTCCTTAAAAAATGCAAATTTTATTTAAGAAATTAAGCTTGATTTTTTAAAAGTTTACCTGAAAAAAAAATCACAATAAATACGGTCCAATAATACATATTGATTTTATTTGTATTGATTTCTAGGTTGCTTGGGTTACATGTGAAAAAAAACAGCTTACACCTTACAAGTCTATCAATTTCTACTTAGAATCGTTTTTTTTTTATTTTAATAGTCTTCTTTGTTTTCAGTATATTGAACTATATTACCATTGTATACCTCCTACATGCCTCATTTTTCCAAATTTCCACTTTTACATTTGATCATGGTATGTGAAGTATATTCGATTTTTCAAATATTATGTACCATAATGTCATTTACATGAGTTTTTTCCTTAATTGTATATTTTAAACATAATGACTTCAACAATTATTAATGATAAAATCACATATTAATAAGTGGTTACATTTAAATTCTGAAATCCAACCACTTTTTTATGTTTTAACAACTAAAATTCATAATTTATCAAAGAATTACCATTTACTGTAAATATCTTCCGAATAAAAATACATTATTGCGATAACCAATAATTTTTTCTCGAATTAAGAGTATAAACTTTTTAATTGAATTATATAAACAACTTCGTGGAAACCTTTCTCCGTTTACCAATACGTATTTGTTTCTTTAATTATAAATATTATTATAAGTTATTTCAGGCAAACGAAAATATTCAATAAGCAAAGAAGTCCACAATAGTATAAAACATATTATAAAAAATTGATTGTGATATTTATTGTTATTGTTGCACAATATTAATTTTGTAACACCATAGGCACCGCAGAAACCTTAGAGAAATATAAAGTGTGAAATTGAAAACTACGCTTGGATCAATTCTCGGCCATACATTTTTACCCAATTAATAATTAAAAATAGTTGAATGTAGGTAACACAAGTTTTGTTTAGTTTAACTGTTTAATATAGTTTAATATAAATATAAATTATACGTTAAGACTGTTATTATTAGAGATGAGTATTAAACAATTCACACTAATACACACTTTGTGCGCTAATTTTTAATTTATAATGATTTTTCAAGCTTTAACAATTTTAATTTATTCAAATAAGCGTATTTCATATGAATATTATACTTATCTATTGTTAATTTTCTGTATTACTCCGATAAAATAGTTGCGTGCGACCTTTCAGTTATTTATTTTTATGGATTTCACGCACACTTATAAAATGCATTTATACACATTTTTTTTTGATTATCTTTATTTTTATGTAATATATGAATTGGTGTGAGAGTGTTTATTTGATTTTGTATATTATATAGACTAGGAATATAGCTGTCCAACATGGGTGACAAATAAATGCGGGTAAATAATAATACAAATAATATTCATTATTTTTTTCATTTGTGTCAACAATGTATAACCTATAAATAAACACAAATAGAATGCAATTTGTAATATTTGAATGACCTTATTCATCTGTGAACCGGTCTTTTTACAACACATCTATTTACGTTGTATGTGTATAAAGAACCTCTGTGCAAAATGTCAAGTTTCTAGACTCAGTTGTTCGTAAGGAGCATGACACGTATCGACTATGCGTATAGTATAAATTAAAAAAATATATTATACAATCGATGTATTTTAAAAGAGTGATGAATAATTATATTTGGATTTGAGAACGAAGTTAAATTAATTATGAACAAATAACAAAAAAAAAAAGCTTATTTCAATATCTATCTATTGATTATATTTTTAAGACAAACAATTTAAGTAGAGTAAATTAAATGGCAAAAAAATGGATTAATTCAAGTTCATTTAGCGTAAATTATTGTAAATGGTAGTGTAGCCAGTGAGAGTTTGGTTTTTTTAATCACCCTCCCCCTCACAACTTCTTTTTTTTTAGATTTAGGTAAGATTAAAAAAGTTATAGACTTCTAAACCTCCCTATGTTCCCAGAAATTAACCCATTGATAAATCCTGGCTACGCCACTGATTATAAATATTATTAATTATTAATTATTAATTGACTTATTAGCGTGATGGTGGAATTTTTGTGTTGACGTATCCTTTTTTTATTCGAAAAAAAAAAAATTTAAGCATTATTTGAACTTCTAAGGACAACTTTTTGTCTTCTTGTAATGAGGTAAAGTTTTCTATTTCAAATACATTGTTTTTTTCGTTTATTTTGAATTTTGTTAACATAAAGTACAACGAATTTTACTTTTTTACATTTTTCTTATATAAAAATGATTAAGGAGAAGATAATTTATAAGAGGATAAAAAGAAATAATAATAAAAGAATATCAAGCATTCTTTTCACTAGTGTTTTTCTATTAATTATTCACTTTTTATCGATTACCTTAAATTTGGTCAGAATATCCGGAAAATCGATTATTTTTAGCGTGCTTTATCTTTGAAAATCGTTTGAACACCGAATAGTGTTATTTTGTACCAACTATTAATATAATTAACATTAATAGTTATTTAACTTACAAAAATTAATTGTATTATTAATAATATTATTATTTCATATTAAAATTATTTAAGTATTATTGTATGCTTTATTTACAATAATATATTTTATGCGCTAACCGAAAACGGGTGATAATATTTGACACCAAATTAATTTTTCGACTAGAGCAAGTTTTCTGGTCAAAAAGTTGCTCACAGCCACAAAAAAAAAAAAAAAAAAAAAAAACACATAATAGTAAAACCAATAGATTGCTTCGCTCTGAATCTAAAATATTGAATAAAACAAAAATATATTATACTTGACAGATATCTGTGGTATACAGTGTTTATTATTATATAGGTATATTTGATAGTAATGATAGCTTAAATAAAATAAAACGTTTACCTAGCGTACAGTTGACTTTAATGATTTTTCGATCCGGTCGTTTCGGTCGAATAAATATAGGTACGGTACGTAGGTACGGTACGGTACGTACCTATATGGGTAAAAAAAAAAAAAAGGTTTTGTTAAATATATATGAATGAATTTAACCAATACATAGTATTTCTTCTTTAATTTTTAAATATTTGAACACCCGTAGAGTAATAAAGGTTTCAGCATTACGAAAACTTGTACCACGTGTATTTTCAATTATATAATCTCCGATTTATTAAACAAAATTAATTAAATTTACTCATCTCATTTTTTTTTATTTGTTGACAAAATATCAAGAAAAATAATGAAATCTATGAAAATATAATAATGTTATACATTTTGTGTTTATATAATATTATTATTTATGAACAACTGTGCCACGTTTTCTCTTATTATTTAGAAGTTTAAACAATACAATTATTTTCATTAAATGTAAATGGTATTATTTTTTTGGAATAATATAATCCCGATTTCATAGTAAATATTCTTCAGAATCCTTTATAATAAAAGGGTTACAATTTGTATAGTTCGCATTTATTTTTGTAGCACATTTACTTTTGTAATCCGCATAAAACAAATACCTACACCCCACCCCTCTCCCTTAAGTAAATCGGCGTATTTTAAACTTTTGAGATTTATAAAAATTCACTAAGGATTTTTTTTTAAAAAATGTATTAAAAGGAAAATATATATTTTGTATTAAACAGTCAAAACTAAAATATTAAGAAAGTCTCGTTTTGTTACATATTAGTGTATAATAATAATATATTCAAAATAATTTAATCAAATCGATTCAGATATAATTTTACAATTTATGGACAGTAATTAGTGGACAACGATGAATCTAGCTTAAGACACTCGTTATTCCAATAAAATATTAACTGATTTCAGAACTTTCTTTTTAGAAAATATAAGAAATAAATAGCTCTATAATATTACATTAGCTACTTATTTTTTTTCGCCCTTATGTTTTCGAGTAAATCCACTGCCATCTTTTGATTTTCAACTGGTATTATATTTTCAAAAACAACACTGTTAATAAAACTGTTAACGTAATTATTAATAAAACATAATTTTGTTGTTTCCAGTTTTAAATTTAAACAATCTATTTGAAAGATATAGCTTTTTAAAATACTCGAATGCATAATTTAGGACTCAATAATGTAGGAGACGCTCTCTGGTAGTGTGCAGTAGTCAATTATAAGTTATACTTATCGTTATTCCGAGACTATCAGCTAAAAAAATTAGTTTTATTGGTAAAATAACAATTCCGGTGACCCATATGAACATCATACCACGCAGATAAAAAATACTTTTGAAAAAACTAAGTATCTCACAAAATGAAACAAACTTTGATGGTGAATAACTAACGAACGCGGGTTCGAAAAATAAATGTCAACGTTAAAATATATACATAAAAAAAAAAAAAAAAAAACACTAATGATACTAATATTTTAAATAATATATCATTAAACTCTAAAGAATTTCAATATAATAATACGACGAAACAATATAATAATGAATATAATGATATATATATATATATCAAGGGATATTTAATTTTTTATAGACTTCTGATATGGTCATTAGTTCATTACGTAATATACATCGTGCATTTTTTGTAATGACATTGTGATTACCAATTTATTATATTTTACGTATTATATATTTCAGTTAAAATATGCGCCTAACACTAATATTTTATAAGATCTGGAGCATATATAAAGTTTCCAGAGAAATAAGATAATGAGGTTTTATTCGAGTCCGTTACGTTAAATATAATTGACATTAATCTTATAACTCTCACAAAGGTGAAGTCTGATATAAATTAATTTAATTCTAAAAGCCTGTCAAATCATTTATTAATACGATTCTTTGTGTAAATGGTACTGAAAAATAACTGACAAAATAATTATAATAATAATATTACATTATTATAATAAATATTGTGGTAGGTAGTTATGGGTACATATATTTACTAATACACTTTCTTTCAAAATCTTAAGTAAACGTTTCAAACACGAAAAATACATTTTGTCTGAGTACTCTTTTTGTTGGTTTGACATTCATTCATGAATTTGTATATTTGCTTAGGTACGTTTAAAAAATTCACACGGAGTGAAAACGTCTAATTATTAGTTTTACGAAGATGTTCTATTTAAAATGATTTTTTAGTTAAAACTTTTAAGGACAGTACAATTTATTCATGCAAATATACGAAAAAACTTTTACATGAAAACTTTTGAAATATATAATTGAATACATGTATACGAATATTTCTTTAAGGCAGTAATTTTTCGAATTTTTCGCCTACCACAGAGTTTATAATTTTTGAATCGAATTAAAGTAACTTACTTCGATCAAGTAATTTAGAAGTGTAAAAACAAAAAGTAATTCAGTGAATTATAGTTAATATAGTTTCATAAACTAATTATAAATTATGTGCCCACTATATTTTAGTGTTTATTTTTTTTTTTTTTTAACATTACCTATTATATAATATTAGATATATATTATTATAGGATCAGTTGAAAATATCATCAGAAAATAAACTTCGCTTTTTGTGACTATGTCACATAGTAATATGTTTGATTTAGTTTATTTACCTATGTATACAATAAAAAAAATAATGTATATTATGTAAATTATATCTGAAATCTTTAGTGGTTGTAGCTAAACTTGTCTTACATCACACATGATTGTCGAACAGACTTGGATAGGATTCGTTTATGCACGCGCATCGTAACTTTACGCAGAATTATACCATATACTCGTATACGGTTTAATGATGCCAGTATTGTAAGCCAAAATTTAATTTGCTAGTTTTTACAAAACAGGTACCTATTATTATATATTATACAAATCATTACCTATATTCTGTAAGTATTATAGGATGAATATATTATTTATTTTTTGCATTTCATTGTCACTCGCAAGCGTGGACGAATTACGATATAAATTTATACGATCGGAAATATTGACATAGTCTTATGAATGATGGATCTACTTTTATATTTCATCGGGTATTACAGTTATAACTTCTTCGATCAAATCTCCCGCCGCACCACTATTGGTTTAATAGTGGCTTAGACCTATTCGGGATAAAAATATATTTGTTACTCTCTCTTCTCACTTTTCTCTTCTCGTGACCATTTATTATTTTTATTTTTTCAACAATTTTTGAATGATTCGCATTCACACTTCAAACCAACAAGACAATCTGCGATGTTCCTACACTGCTTTAATAAAAGTATCCAACTTCAAATGCTTTTTTGGTGTTTGTCGGTTTATAATAATATTTCTTCTTCCACTGTTCTCCTATATTTTTTTGATTGTTAAACTTAAAACTGCTACCCTTCATATTATTGCATCTGCAATTTAAGGTGTTAATTTTTTAGTTTAAACTAGCATACGATAAATATGCTACTTACATCATAAGCACTTGATTATAATTAATTTATTAGGCAACACTTTTAATAAAGCTCTTTAAAATACTTTATAATTAATGTACAGTAAGTGTGTATTTACTCGTAACATTTTAAAGGATGTTTAACTAAATATAATTTGATTTTAAAAATATTTGAACATCAAATCTCACCAGCCCATTTAAAACATACATTTTAAATATGATCTAAGTTGGAAACGAAGAAGAATAATTTTGCCAGTTTCGCCAAAACAAAAAAAACTACCTACTTACCAATACATTTTTGAAAACTTAGTTAACAAATATAACAAATTAGTTTATACACACGCAATTCACTTATAAATATAACGTTTAGGTAAAACTTCCTAATTCGAAAATTCGAAAATAAGCAAGTTAGTAAGCAAGCCATTTTTGTTTTAAACAATTGATACCCACTTAAATATCGATTCTTTTTTAGATAAAACTGAAAAATGTCTTCGTACATAACTTGACCCCTTTTTCACATTTATGTTTTTGGTGAGTAATATTATCTTTAATATTTGCCCATCACGCTGTCACTGGTTGGCTTTTTTCAAAATTTATTGTAATAATGTCCACACTGCAGTTAACGTTGTAAATTCATATCATTCATTTAATATGCCTATAGGTATACCTATATAGAAATAAACATTTTAACAGTACCTGCAATCAACTTTAAACGAAATAAAAACCAATAGCCAGAAAACAATTAATGATTTTTTTTTTTTTTACGTAGGATACGTCGGTACATACTTTCGCATACGCGCATATATATATTATGTATAGATAGATTAAAGAGAAAACGTCGTTAATTAAAAAAATAATAATAATAAATAAATAACTACTTTCGAAGTGCCCGATTCCCAAATGGCACAGGATATTGATTACTGCAGGTATTGGTATCTTATAGGTGTGTACCCTGTATGTACACAGAGGTTTATGGAATTAACTAGATATACAAACACGAACAAGATTACCGTCGGGATAATGAAAAATAATCTGTATTGTTTTGTTTTATTATTTCGCTTGATTCGACTATACAAAAAACACACATACACAGTAAACGGGCGCCGGTCATATAAATGGTAAAGGATTGTAAACTATTAGAATGTAAAGCGAATACATATTATGTATAAGTTATGTTACTTAACATGTACATCTATATAATATGGAAAATTATAATAATGATGATTATAATGAAACAATATTAAACATTTATTTGACTGGTTTATTTACAGCGACGAGAAAGATTAACAAAACAAATCCATTGTGTAGATTTTCGTTTCCCTGCACTTTTATCGCCATCATTCTTTAAATAATTTATTTCCCATCTATTAATAATATTGAATCCAGGATGAGAATATAACGAAGAGTATAATGGGTAACTTCATAATACACTTCTTCGAAACATTTTGGCTTAAATAATAATATTTGACTGCTAAAAAATGTATTTACGGCTATACAAACCGTTAATTTTGTAATAAAAATAATTTTCATTGTAATGTTGGACACCCTGTGTGATTCGGTTCCACTAATTTCATGTTCCATTTTGTGTTAGTCAATTGGCGTTTGACCTACTCTCCACCATGTGGTGGCGAAGAAGTGTTTTTTTTGCTAACTAATAAAGTTATAAAGTCTGATGAAGTGATTTATTTTAAATTATTTCTAACACAACGTGGCGCACTGGTTATCTATGTCATTGCTTTTTTGGTGTGACGCATTATTTGGCCTCTTGATCCGCAAACTAAGTATGTGCAGCGGCTCCCTTGACTCCGCCTGTCAATATAACGGTTGGTCATTGAACTCATTGACACCTTGACAACGTTAGTCCATTTGCTACTTGTAAGTCCAGTCATGTTCGATACCTAACGTCACTACTATATATATAACCCCTAATAACCTTAATAAATCGATCCCTTACTAATGTAGTTCAAGTCAGGATTTAGATGACCTAAAAAAGAATTGAAAATAAATTTAAAAAAAAAGTTATTAATATTATAATATTATTCAAATTGATATATTGCAGGTAGGCCACTACTATATAATTATTATTTATTAGATAGTTAGGTCAAAATATTTTTGGATATAAAATATCGAATAAATCCATTTTCAAACAATCTTTATAATAAAATATTAATTTGTAGTAAAAATTATGGTACCTAGTGTTTAAGTAGAGCATATAATATGTATAAAGCGTATTCTATATCAACACAATCACTTTTAATGAATAGATTTTGGGTAGTTTTTTTTTTTTTTTAACACATTTTAGGTAATACTTAAATGAATGAATAATAATTATAATGCGCTGGCTATTAATTTTACTATTTACTGTACTTGACCAATCCTGAGTTAATCACCAATCTTCAAATTAAGTTTTATTAAATTTTAACTAAATGAAGAAAAATCAATAAGTCAAATGTGGAATGAGAAAAAAACGATGTCCATTTATTTTTATTAAATTCTACCCGCGATTATGGTGTGATCACTTCTTATTCAATAGTTTGTATAAATGTATATTTACGTACAAAAAAAAAAATAATAATAATAATAATAATAATAATAATAAATTCTGTTTTAATTTAAAACAAAAGATGTGGATTAATTATCATTTAAAACAAATTTTTTACGTGTTATTTAATAATGTTTAGCAAACATATTTTTAACAACAAACATCATTTTTATAGCTTCATTACATTATCGAATGGGTTGATTGATTACAAATGCCAATTTACTATTTACTTGAATCTAAATTAAAATTGTAAGTATTAAATTCTATCATTTAGAAGTACGTTATACTCGCATTTATTAACTAACGGCTAACGTAACTTAGTACCTAAATTTTAGCATTAATGTTTAAATTAAAGTTAAAATACAAGTCACACAATATAGAAAATATTTTCTACGTCATTTTTTTTCTAAAAAAAGTTGCTTACTCAAAAAAGTTAGAGATAATGAAAAAAAAAAAAACTAATTTGGCTGTTAATTTTATACTTGAAAACGTTTAAGGAAAAAAGAATTTTCTGGACTCAAAAATATTGTCCTCTTTATGAGATTGTGTATTTGTTTTCAAACTCTAATTTTAACTTAAATTCCACAATTATTTGTAATATTTTTAACATTTGTAACATTTGTTGGATTATGTGTTAATTAGACTGGTACAATAAATATTCACTTAAGAAATATAAACTAGCTACACCATAACTACGATTTGATTTACTTATTTTATTTATTTTAACATTTATCATGAAAACGATCAACGAACCTAAAAATTAAGTTTCGTATTAGTTTTAAAAAAAAGAGACGAACATATCCTGTATTTCCTACCTTTTTTCTCATTTATTATTAAAGGTTCTGGGAAAATAACAAAAATGACCGCTCTGCTCAGAATTTAAAAGTATATTCAATTTTGGTGTACATTTTAAAGTTTAATAAAAAGTTATAGATTTCACGATATTGTATAGTAATATAGGTACTTATACAAATGTACAATATTTAAAACATCGTATTAGAATGCTCGATCGGTTTTGGGTATTTATATGTACAAAATATTTTAAGGGTGGAATTAATTATTTATCTTTCGACCCTTTCAAGTTCCGGCGAGTTGCATATTCTGAAGTATTTTATGAGTTTGATTTAGGATAGGTGTATACATGATTCACCATACACACATGATACACTTATACCTTCCTATAAACATTTAAGGTAATTTCATTCTCCAAAATAGTTTTCCGTGATTTATAAAATAAAATAAAAATATCTTAAAACCAATACGTTATCCGTTTTATTTAAAAGAAAACCTAATATAGAACATCTCGAAAATTTAAAACTAAAATAGTAATAAAAATGATTCTGTATATCGTATTTTATTTTTCATGACTTTAAACCGTAATATTTTTTGTTTGTCTACAAATAATTTTTTAATAATTATTTACTTATGCCTACATACGAATACCTTTTTCTATAATACTTTTCATATTTCATGTATTAAATACGTACGAAAATTCTTTCCGATTGTGCAAAAGCAATCGTGGTTAACATCTAACTCTGCAACAATTAATAACATTGTCAAATTATTGTACAACGCGCATGGTAGGAAAATGTATTGTGTGTTGTGTTTTGTCAATGGGTATTTCTAATAAAGTTCTAACACGTCGATTGTGTCATTCGCTACAGTAGTTTTGAACTAATCCGGAATTGCGTATTTCACAGTACGTAAATAATCCACACATGGCAAGCCGCCTCGATCCTCATAGTAGGCACTGTATATTTAATATAATATGTACCTGTCGTTGTTAGACTCACCATTATTCTTTTTCTTCGTTGGGTGTCGGTGAATCGAAGAGAATAGTAGTAAGTGAACAAAGTGTGTTTAGAGAATACGGGACGTAATCACGTAATTGAAAATAACTACGCGGCATTTCAAAAATATTTTCGTAAACTACCATTATACCGCCTGCAAATTGGACATTTATTTTTTTTATTGTTCGTTCGTGATTTTGATTTCCCGAAACGTTTTCATAAAACGCCTGGGCAACTCGTTTAATGAGATATAGACGATAATAAAACGAATAGAAAATTTAATAATGAAAATCGTATTACATAAAGTAATAAATAAACGACTACGGAATGTGTTATGAGTAGATATCTACTTACTACTTACTTGTCTGTAAATTGTATTGTCTTATCAGCTTATTTATACGCTGTAAAAGGTTAACGTGAAATGTGACATTCGACAGTTCATAACTCAATAACATAGTAGTTCCGAACACTGGTGCACTTCACAGTACCCTTCAGTGCTACCGTGGGGTATAATATAATATTCAGAAACCCTGACTTACATGTTATATAAAAAAAAAAATAAATAGTGGGCATGGGTATACTACTGTAATAGTAGGTTAGAAGTTGAAAAGGTGGAATACATACATTTATTTTATTTACATCTGTACGCAACGATAAAACACGATTAACGAAAAACGATTATAAGCGAAGTTCAGGTATATATATTATATTATATATATTATATTCAGGTATATTTTGTAATGTCATAATTTTTACGATTTTCGTCCACATTTGCTATTAAATAGCGTACTAAAAAAACTACTAGTATCAGTAAAAATACTTTCACGCTGAAACAATTTATTTCTTGCACAAAGATGGGTTTCACTACGAATTAAGTTCTAGACAATAATCTTATTCTTTGCGCAACCAAAATAAAAGCATCGAAGGGGTTAGAACATTGTGACCTGCACTTGCAAATATTTAATATGTTAATGCATAAAATATCGGACCTGCCGTAAAAAACGGCAGTTTTTGTGTAAATTTAATTTAAATATCATCATAGTTTGCCCTATCGAAAGATATAACAATTTTAGATTATCATGTTTTATACATTAATAAATTTCTATAGGTATTCATCCCTATTTATACTTACCCTAGTTAAACTAGTTTAAACTAATGGTAAAAATTACTTCTGAAAATCCATTTTAACTAGTTAATTTTAGTTATCCTCAATTTAATTGAGACATAACTAATTACAATTATAAAAAGTAAGTTATAACAGAATCGTCAATCTTAAAATTTTTAAGATTATGTTTTTTCTAATTATATATTTTCTGAAAGTAAATTTTTTCTAGTTTGTGAGTGAGAAAGTCGTTGTTTGGTTTTTCCGTACCTCTAGCTTTCCTAATTGTTATGGAAACCGAGAAAAAACGTAGGAAATACGACAAAGTGTACTATATTTGGTTTTTTTTATTATTTTCGATTAAAAATGATTATAGAGATCTAAATTTTTCACAAAATACTTATAATTTCCTTTTGTAAACGATGTAAAATTTTGAAAAATATTCTAGCGATTTTTAGACTATTTATAGATAATTTATATTTTTGTTTTTTTATGTGTATTTTTACTTGGTAGGTATCCGTTATTAAAATTATATGACTTAAGAAACATGCTTAAAAATTTAGCACAAGGTACATTATAACTTAGTAGTTTTAAAACACTAATTTAATACATTAATTTTTTTTCATAAACGTTTTATGATCAAATTATGACGAAAATCGTAAAAATTACGAAATTTCAAAATACGACTTACCGAACTTCGCTCCTAATCATTTTCCGTTAGTAGATATAAATCAAATACATTTTTATATCCCAACTTTCCAAATTCCCATCTACAATATATTGACTACACCTGTCCCCAGTATCAGCACTTTTTTTTTTTAATTTTAAAAAAAAATTTTACCGATCTATGGTGTATTGAGGCTATTTTAACCGAATTCTGAGTTCCATTCGATGACAAACGTTTTAATTACAACTTAATAGTTAGACGAAATAATGAATATGTTAATTAAAAAAGAATATAGTAAGTACACGTATCTATAGAGAAGTTTTAACTGGTTTGAAACATTTTAAAATATTTACTAGTAACCTTCATAACAGTAATATCGTTTACCTATGATTTATAAAATTGTATAATTTATACTAGAAGAATTGAGAATAATAATAAATTGCATATATATTTTTGAGATACTCTTTTACACTTTTACCTTAAATTATTACAGGTAACTCATATATAAAAAAATCTAAATTTAATGTTCTTCTATTTAAAATGTTTAGATAAATATCTTCTTTTCAAATTTAGATTGAAGGGAGTTTGCTACACGAAAATCGAAAATCAATGTGTGTTTATTTCGTATAGCTTAAAGTAAACTGCATTTTTTGGAAATTTCGTAAATAAGATCATAAAACGATTACATAAAAGACTAAAAAAAATCAAAATTCAAAATTTTACTCAAAGCTTCCGTAGACAATTTTTGAATAATAGAAAAAAAAATCACCCTTTACAGCATTTAGGTGTATTATGATTTAATACATATTTGGGAAACTATAATTATAAAATTCACTTCTTCTTCTAACAATAGTTTAAACATAAGTAATTGTTGCAAATAGACACAAATTATACAAATAATTCGTTCGTCCATAACTTCTTACCAATTGCACATATTGAATTATTATACCTACATAATAAAATATTATTATATTGTCCCATAAACTTCAATGCAAATAGTTATTCCAAGTGTGCTTGTCATTTGTCGTCTGTAATAGAACTGTATTATTAAAATGTTCAACTTACAAAAACGATAATATAGATAACATTATTAGATACCATTATTAGACGTAACTTTATAACATTACGAGATATCGAGTTAAGTAAAATTATTATAATATACTCGTATTACGGAGGGTCAAAAATTATAATAACGTTATATTATGCTGTTTTTTTTAAATAAAATAAATTCGTCAAGTGAACGGCATTTGAAAGTAAATAATATAAGTAATAATAATATAAAGCGGTAAACGATTCGTCATCAATTTAAGTATAATACATGTATAGCAGTATCCCATAGGATTTTAACCGTACTCGGAGCAGATAATATTATCCATGACAGTTCACATATTATACTTACTGATATCTCTAAATGACCATTCGGGAATAATTTACAGTAATAAACGCTGTTTTATTGACTACTGTGCCATGTCGATGCCTCACCACCCTGTCTATTATTGGCGAAAAAGTATACTTACCTAAAAATTATTTTAAAATAATATAATATTCCGTGTGTTCGCGGAAATAGAATGCAATCTGGTTTAGCGGTTCCTTTACTATTACATCCGTGGCAATATTTGAAAATAATCTGCTTCACAGAACCCGACTACCCGAGTTTTAAACCAACTATAATTTTTTAGCTATTAACCGAGAAGACAAAAAGGTACATACTACTCATTAGTATAGAATTTGTACGTTTTTACATGTACTAAGTATATGAAGTTTTTTTTTGGTGAACAATTTAGACAATTTATTCAGCACCGATTTGACAAAAACAACATTTGTTCGCATATTTGAGAATATTTCAGGGGTTACGGGTTTATTTAGCATAGTAATTTAGTATATTATGTACATTTTGGGAAAAAAATATATTGTTTTTTTTAATTAATACTTACCATTGATTTTAATTTTAAGTTATCATTTTTTTTTATTTTATCATTATAAAAAAAAAAAAAAAAACATACACTGATAGTAGACTATTTAGTCTGTAGTCGTTGTTACCAAGCCTTTAACAAGCATAAGGTAACAGGTTGGCAGTAGTTATAATACTGATATAAAGTATTTGTTTATAAAGTTACAAAATATTTTGTTTTGTATACAGTCAAACTACAGAAAAATAATTTTTTATTTTATGTTACTGCGAATTTATGTAATATTTTGATAATTACTATTACTTTTTCATCTTAAAATATTTTGATGTTTATTAATTACTTTTGGATGAAAAAATATATTTTTATAATTTTTAAAAGAACATTTTTAGGTTTTTTTTAGGCAATATAAGCATCATAATTCAAAGTTTAAACACAAATATCCGAATCTTAGTCGTATGGAAAGTCATGCATTGTGTGTGGAACCCATTGTAATTGTTTTTGAAAATTTTTAAATTCTGTTTGCTGAACATGAAACTAGACTACTGCAGGGACATCACCTTACATCACCTTGTGTATTTTCGCATACGAAATACAACTTCACTTAAAAAAAAAAAACTTTGAGTGTATTTAAATATTTTCAATATCATATTGTCGAATTTGTTCAAGTTATAATGATATATCGAATTGTGATCCCAATCCGAAATTGATTGAACGAGAAACGTTTAAATTTAATTTCAGTTTATATTCTAAAAATATAAACTGTATATTTTTTCAATTTGTCTAGTCTTTTAGTTAAGCATAGCCAAGAAATTATTATAGATATTATTGATGGTCCTTAGATTTTATTCAATCGGTAAATATATATGCTAATACCGTATGCTAATAATATATGCTAATATATATATAATAACACCTTTTACACTTAGATTGGTATAAGTTCGGCACCTATATAACTAGGTTAAATATGTACCCAGTTAACTGCAAGTGCAGTATTTCACAGTAGACTTAGGTTACAAACTTCAGCAATAAAGATTCGATTACATTTAATTACAATTCATTTCAACATATATAAACGGTTTACATTCTCATAGTAAAATAATATATCATATTTATAAAAATACAACATATAATATTGAAATTGAAGACCCAGTGCAACAAGGCAAGTCCAAAATAATTTGTTTAAAGTTTCGAGATAAGCAATAAATTCTATATAATTTGGTGCTACAGCAATGCAAATCCGTCTTCTCAATACGAAGAAAATAGTGATAAGGACTTTTATAGTTCAATCAAATTCTAGACAAATAGAAAAAAATTCGCATAAATAGATAATTACCGGTGTTAATAATTCTTATTCTAACAAATTATTTCATCAAACGTAAATGATATATTACAATATGGGTAGGTATTGATCGAAAATTCGAGAAGGGCTCGGAGATTAAAGTTGATGGTAACTTCATTATTTGTATGTCGTTTGTTCGTGTTAAAGTTTACAACAATATAAGTAAGCAAAGCATTGTGACCGATGCATACGTATTAATCAACGGATCTATAATTAGGCACGCGAGAAAATATTTTATAAACCCATACACAAAAACTATTATTAAATTACAATACGTATGATTTATTTATAAAACTATTTCCGTCGCTGCAAAGACCAAAGCATAGATGGGTACGTAAAGAAATGCCAGCAATTGACATTTTTTTTCTGATATTCTAACCTATCCAAGTTAAACGGTATAACATCACATCACGTATTGGCACAGAAAAAGTTATCCGAAAGAATGACATGAGAGGAGAGCGGGTAAAGTTTTTATAACGTGCTAAAAACTTTTATAATATCGAAAAATAAATTAGTGCGGTTGTTTTTACGTCTTTCGGGATGTTCACGTAGTTTTTTTCCCGACCGACTGCAGATTAGGTTAGTACAATGTTTCGATGCCTTTTTTTCATTCGTGGACACATTAATCATTCGAATACGACTACTAACGTTCATTGTAAAATTCCTACAAGATGTGTCACGACTATAATTCTACCAGGTGATAATATGTTTTCGAAAAAGATTGCGAAAAGTGATAGTCAGAAGTATACGTCATCGCTATGAGCATAATGCTATTATCTACTTTCATTTATTATTTATGAGGACTGCAGCTAAATGCTAATGTTTGAGTTTCCGAAATTATTGCTATCGCTTATTTGATTTCATAAAATTTATTAAATTTATTTATAAAAAGTAATTCAAATAGTATAAATAGTAGTCAGTAGTAAAATAGTACTTACTTGATTATAGTAAATTTGTATAACGATAAGGATCCGAATTGATCATTTTTCTCTCAATTTTGGTCATTTGACAATATTAAATTTTAACGCACCGATAAAATATTTAGTATTTTAAGTAATATACAATAATTTGATTATTTGAATTTCGTAATAGTTGACAATCACGAATGTGATACTCAAATGGAAACTCGATTGTAGGAATGTCAAACTTTTATCTTTGTTTCTATTCAAATCATCGTTTCTCTATTCAACTCGTTTAATCGAATTTAACTAGGTAAGGAAATCAAAATGCTTATTCGTAATATTCTTGATGTAGGTAATGTATTAATAACTCACATTATTTTCAGTCAACAGTGAATTATTATGTGGTTTTTCTTCTAAAAAATAAACCCCCGGTAGGTCACCAGTCTAAATGGATTAAGTAATATAGTTACCTGGGTATTTTGAAAATATAAAAAAGCGTTTTATTTATAATTGGTTTTTTTTTTTGAGTTAGAAGCTAAATTATATCACAATAGAGATTATGGAAGAAAGTTTCTTTTTTTTTCTTTTAATATACTTTCAAATCGGTTACTATCTGTCTCCAAAACTTTTTATGTGGATTTTACAAACTATCTCACATTATAATAATACATATTACACAGTGCGCTTCATTATATTCTATAAATATTATAATAGGCACCTAGTAAACATTATAGTGGCCGTAAATAAAAAAACATAGATTTTAACTACCATTTTGTTTGAACGTACTGGTTTTAAGCATCATCACGTATTCGCGTGTAGTCTTTTCTTCCTCGAGTATAATACTTAATTGTATTATACCGAAAACGCTGTACATTAAACCCGAGATCAGTTCATCTTTCGAATCAATGATGTATCTATCATTAATTTCAAATGTATAATAAAATTACAACACCTTATAAGTCTATAGCGGCTTTCACTATTGTGAATAAAATGAGTTAAGTGCCCAACGTTCCAAATCGTATGCATCATTTTTTAAATTTGTTTTATTTCAAAGTAAAATTCGTAGCTACCCATATCTTTTTCTGTTTATAATAATAATTTCTCTTTGGTTTTATTGTATTTATTTATTCGTATGCTATTTTTCTTCCGTCATTATACTTAGTAATGCTAAATGTGATTTATTATATAAATTCTAAAAAAAATCAGTTGCAATATGCTAATGAATTGAAATAAAAAAAAGCGAGCTTAAATTTAATTCGTTCTTTTTCTCGACCCGAAAAAGTTTCCATTTTCAAATCATTAATTAAAATAATTTACATTTAATTTTTCATTGTACGCGTAGGTATAATATACGCCTTTAGGAGTAGGTACAGTGATCCATGCTTACATTAATCGAATAAAGTATGAATTAATCCACTAGGTAATTAAATTATTCAGACATTTTGAAAATTACTTTAAAAATTATAGTTTATGAATATAATTATGGAACTTAATTACATTTAATACAACTTTAGGAGAAATGCATTCCTATATACATAATATCTTTAATGGTTTATAGTATTAAAAACTTAAGTCTTGCAATACTATAATATCTACGCAAGTGATTTTACTAAAAGGAATAATAAATAGGTATTTTTAGTTTTCATAAATTATTAACTAGGTATATATAGATTTGTATAGCTATTGTAGAATATCACCCATCTGAGCACGGCTGCCTATTTTTTTTACGTTAATATAGCAAAAGTAGAACTTTTGAGCTAATTTTATTTTGAATATTTAGTGAAAATGATTATTATCCACACTACCGGGTGGTTAATATAAAAAAACTAGCAGTTGTTCGAAAATGATAAAGAAAAATGATAACGTTCCGAAAACGTAATTTCTAAAACTACATTTAAATTTGTCGTGGTTTGAATATTAAATGTTATTATTTTTAATTGTAACATTGTTTTCGTTACAAATCATACACATGTTCTAGTGTATGCATGAAGTCATATTTGCTTAATTGTATTACTTTTGTTGGATATAGTTTATTTATAATAAATGCAATTTCATTAGATTAAGTGAAACGAAGTTTGTCTGTTTGTTAGCCTTAGAATTTTAATTTCAATGGTCAAATCATTTATTGTCATTTGTATGTTTATCAAAAATATAATATGTTATTTATATTAATTGGTATGGAAAATTCAGCGGGCGAAGTGTATTAATTTTTTAATTTGTTTTCGATTATAATAATTATATAGTTATTAGAATCCTATCATGACTTTATAAGATCAAGAAAAATATCACTTCAAAATTAAAAGTTTTATTTCTAAACTTGTCCAGTATAATATCAAGTCATACTAATTTATTTATTTATATGTATACGTAATTATTGTAGTTATTATCATTAAACTCTCGAAAATAATTAGTATGCTATATATTCTCTTTAACGATAAAATACATCATCGTCGCCGTAAAGAAATATTTAATGGTAAGTAATTATAACGATTTTTATAAATTTATTTTTTAGTAGTAAGCACCTAGCTATAATACGATTTTTATTTTATAATTAATTAAAAAGAAAAATATTAATCAAATTGTTTAATTAAAATTTATGTTACAAAGTAATAAATAAATTAAAGGAGATTTTTTTACTAAATTTCGATTATTAAAATTATAAACATTATTTTTTTTTTAGTGTAAAAAATCCCAAATAAAACAATTTATTGCTCATCCCTTAAAAAAAAAAAAAATGATGTCATGTTAAATATTTCCTTTAATGCATTTGACTCCAAGTTTTTTGGAGAGTTATTAATTAAATAAGTTTTTTTTAACGCCTTACCCGCCAAATACATAGTTTATAACAAATGGAAATAATAAACAATTTATATTTTTTTAAACAATTATAACCTTTAACCAACTCTGCAATGTTTCATTAAAATTGTAATAAGTTTTAATAATAGATTGCCTAAGTAAAAAGTATTTTTATTCATTGTTTACTTTTAAGTATAATTATTACATTAAAACAAAAAAAAAATAATAATTCATCTATACTTTAATATTTTACAAAGAAAATGTAAAAATGTTACTGATTTTTTTTATTTATTAAAAAGTAAATTAAATTAAATAATGACCTCAGTGTAACTACTTTTATCTATACCAACTTACTAAACAATTTTAATCTTTTACATAAAAGTTAAATTTCTAAGTATTTGTAAGTTTATTATAATGGTATAATCTCCGATGTTAATTTTACGAGTACAAATCCAATTTTATCCGCCCCACGATTTTAGGTCTTACGCTGACCCATTGAACATGTTTCACCGGCTATAACAACAGTCTTGAAGATAGAACGGCCACTATAGTATGGTCTCCTGAAACGACTGTACCTTCTATTAAACGAGAAATTAGTTTTCGAGGATATTATTTATATCACGTGTAATAAATTATTAGTAAACGTAACATGTGGAATGTTGTAACGGATTGGAAAATTGAAAAACCAAATAAAATGAGAAATATTTGCAATATTATCAATGCATTTATATCTATAACGCTCAAATATAACAAAATGCACGTTTGGACGGTGGGTATAACATACAAGTAAAAATGAGGAGGGTGTGAAAATAGTAAAATAATCAAAAACCCCTCATCCAATCGTTTCCGAAATAATTATCAGTGACCGTTGCAAACCACAAACGAAAAATTGTAGATACTTATAATTTCCATGTTAAAATGGTTCTTGTATGCATAGTAACCTAATCTATATTCGTACGACTTATTTTACCCATTCTATTTTGCACTGGTAAAAAGGTAAAACAAATTATATTGTAAAAGGCTACTAGCGTCTAATAAAGAGGAATTAATTGATACACATATCTCCCTCTACTAATATATTTAACACGCCATTGTTACAAAAATGCGTACCAACAATAATAATGAAATATACAACCCAGCCGTATCCATAACAATACAAGTACGTCATAATGTACGTGTAATGTATTTTCGGGACCTACACTATGGCGTGATGTGTTTAAGGTTTTTTGGGGGATAGGATGCGTACCGAGAATCACAATTTATGGAACCCACATTTGCGACGATTTCGAATATTGATAGCCGCGTCGCGTGTTTTCGTCAACACGTGGTAGGTAGGTAATTCATTTACAAGGAAATTGAATGAGACAACCGCGTCTCGAGATGTTTCATCCCTCCGTCCATCTTTTGAATTGCAACTTGTATTTTTTTATTTTTTTCTTATAACGTTACATGTAAAAAAAAAAGAAAAGAAGAAGACAATCCGAACATATCTTTTAACCAAACCATTCGTTTTGTCACCTCGTTTTGTATAGGTATATGGGTACGCAATAGTATTATATGTGCAGGTGCACTTTGCGGGTTATAGGTATAGTAGACATAAATTAGAATCCACATTTTATAGTAATAATGCCACACTGTTTGTAATAAATGTAGGTACCTATAGCGTTTTCCGAACGGTGAAATTTATTCGGCCCTCGTTTGTCAATGACAAAATAAAATTCGCTATACTTATAAGTATAGATAGGTACCATATACTTAGTATCTATCTACATTTATAGGTAGATATGACGTGTTTATCTACTAATAAATAAAATAAATAATAATTTTAAAATCATTTAAACGTACATACTGGCCAATAGAAGCGATTAGTATGACGTATTATTAGTATGTGATAATAATCTTTATCAAGTATGAATGGGTTTAAATAAATAAAAATGCAAAATTCAACACAAACTGCTTCAGAAGCTTACAAGCCGTGTCCAGCCTGAAGCTATCTGGTNATACTTATAAGTATAGATAGGTACCATATATTTAGTATCTATCTACATTTATAGGTAGATATGACGATATAACCTAGGCTACGTCATGAACTTGGTAATAATTATTTATATAATACTGTATGATAATTTTATATGATATGCCATTTTTGTGTTTAATTAGTAGTGACATTTCAGATTTGGTTAGACTAGTTCAACCACTTACTGATATGTTGACGCCTTTTATAGTTTACGGTGACTCGTACAGTACATCAGGAGAGTGGGGAGGGGAGGTTAAATATTTATGTATATGGAAAACGATATTTTCTTACACCTTTTAACTCTCTGTTATAAACACAAATTTCCTATTAACAAATATTGTAAGTATTCACATTTTTAATAATATTTTATTATTATCACAATAAATAAAATTATCAAATCAAGATAAAATATGGATGAAAGGTAGCTGCTAGTAATAATATTAAATATATATGTAATTTATCTATAAAATCGTTTATAGTGAGATATCCATACAGCAGTTTACATAATAGATTAAAAAAAAAAATGATTTTTAAAATCTAAAATTAGAATTTTCAGAATTTGACGTCTAAAATTTGAAATTCAAAATCTGTATGTTCAGATTTTCGGATAATCCAGATTTATATCTGTACATATAGTGAGTACAAAAATTCTATCAAAAATCTTGCTTCATAGTATTAAGTATAGAACCTTTTCTGAAAAAGAATTTTCCTGGGGTAGTACTTTAAGGTGGTTATTTTTTTAATTTTTCATGATTTTTTCCAATAAATAGAAAAAACCGGAAAAAACTTAAACAAAAATGGGAAAATTTACAAAAATATTGCCATTATTATTTTAAATTTTGTTTTATTTATTGTAATTCAGTGAAAGATATTCGTAGAAACTTGACATGCTGACAGAAACTTGATATTTACCTTTTATAGACGTGATAACATTTTTAAACATTTTAGCCATTTTTAAGCAATTTGACATTTTAATTTTGCGCATTTTCTCGTGATATTTATTCGGTAGGTACTTTGGGGATAAAATTGTCAGACGAAACAGACATGTTTGACAATTTAACAGGAGGTTCACAAAAAAAGTTGAATTTAATGTAATATATATTTTTTTATAAGAATTTTAATATCAAATTTTAACGAAAATCTTAAATATTACGGTCTTTTAAACACTATGATGGGCATAATAGAATCTGATGATGATTTTAATACAAAATTTTAAATAAAGCATTTAAAATAAGACTTATCTTGTAATTTTTAAATGTAATGACTTAATATTGAATTTGAAGTAATTACTAGACTGGGAAAAATGCCCAGGTTGCCCTTTTTCCAAATGACGGCAGTGCACTTACCCATTGAATATTAATATATTAACGAGTTTAATATTATTAAAAGTGGATTTCAATTTATTTTGTCAACGATTTTAACTTACGGATTTTTAAGTGAAACTATAGTTTATAACATAATCATATATCATATTAAACGAAAAAATATATAATTTTTTAATTTTAATTGTTATCTAGATATTTCGTTTGGCGTTGCCCATACCAATTTAATTTCTTTTTCTTATTGTTATTTTTTTTCCAACCTTTTAAAAATTTCAGAAACCGACATTAAATTATAAAAGAAATACATGTCTCCACTGTACTCTTTATTTTTATTTCGTCCATGTCACCAAAATAATCAACAGAAATAAAAAAATTAAATTTTCTTATCACAATATAATATATAAATAATTGTACGCAAATAATCCCTAGGGAATTGAATTTCAGAATTAAAGATTCGAGGTGCAAACGGACCAGGCGTTCGTACGCTTGAATAAAAATTGTATCAGACCCTTTTTTTCCATAAATATTTTTATTTACACCTACAATTACTAATATAACGACGATTGTACATTATTCTTGTTCGTTTTTTTTGTTTTTTCGGTATAATAGCAATTAATCTTATATTTTTCAAGACTAATGTTTATATGTGTTACACATGGTTAAATTATGGCCACTATCCCGAAAGGGGATGCGGTGTCTCTACTAATCGCGCGTATGGGTATATATTATATGGTGGCCACTTATCCGGGATTCGGCCATAATACGTTTAGTGCGGTTTAACTCTGACGAGACGCATCATTAAGCGGCCCACGGTGCCGTGTCAACCAATAATAATTCAACGTTCGTTACGTTATTATCCAACGTTCGTGACGGATTGATGTTTTGTACATTTTGCAATTTCGTAATTAAATTATAATGTATCGTAATAATAATAATAATAATGATAATAATATGTATCACAGGTTAATATTATTCCATTTTTAGTGAAATAGTTCAAACATCTTTAAAGTAAAAAAAAGAAAAAAGCGAATTAATCGAAACACCTATGAATTAAAATTCTTATGCGAAAAAAAGTAATTATTACTAATAGCAATTAAAAAAAAAAACAACTATATAAGATCTGCATGAAGCTGTTTGGTTGTTTTCATTAAAATGCGTTTCTTTGTTTCAAACACTTTTTCGGTTAATACAAAATAGTCTACAAATTGTTCACATACGATTGTTCAGATGTAAATTTAACTATCTGTGCAGTGGTTCTTTATGGAAAAAAATGTTTTAGATTCCTAAAGGTTTTTCTGAAAAATGTAACAACAAAATTTACAACAAATGATGAATATAATATTGATTATATAATACTTAGTATTTACTTGATATGGGGAAGCTTGACTGAGTTTTGTGGAAACTAAGTCTCCTTACCTCCTCAATTATTTGCTATATATCAGTTTCGTTATATTTTATTTCTAGATTACTTTGACTGCAATGGAAAAAAACAATAATCTCGATTAATACTAAAAACAATAATCATTTCACCAGTTTACCGAGTTCTGTTAAAAATCATTTTTTTGACTGTGATGATTTATTACCTTCCCAACTTCCCACAGACGTTCGTGGGAAATCTATTAATAGTGTGAGGTATGTTCGGGTTATTTAATTTAATTTAATTTAATTTTTCTATACGTTAATTAATTTAACTTTTCAAAAATGTAATATATTATAGGTAGATGATTAAAAAGTAATTTTTTTTTCCTAAGTTTAAGCTTTTATTTATAAAATAAACACAAAACCCACAATTTATACATTTAAATTTTCAATTCTCCAAAATATTGGATGCATTCATAATATATGAACCTTTATTGTTAATGTTAATGGTAATAACTCCCCACTCTACTACGATTTATATTCGTTAGATGATATATATTTGTTTGGCATTTTATGGTTTGTGATTTAACGTTTTAAGTATTTGGGTCGGTAACACGGCGGTAAGTACACTCATACACGCAGAATCGCACACCGTGTTTAATAATTACGCTGATGAAAAGAGTCATTTTATTTACAAAAGAAGCATAGGTATAGCAGCTACCTATACTTTGCAATTTTTTTACCGTGCTAAACTATTGTTATTTTAATTATCCATCGAGTAGTCGAGGAACATAGGGCAAGTTGACGACCTTAAAGTTTCAACCATTCTCATATTACAATTCGTGTAAAGTCGTACAGAAATCGTTATATATATATATATATTATACAGCTGTTCTTTGTTCGTATACTTAGAATAAATGGTAATAATATCGCTAAAAAATATTGTAATATTACATTTTTTACACTTTCTTAACACTATAGTACAACAATGCAATCTTACGATTACACTTTATGTTAATATATTCGAAATTAACAAAAAATTTTAAAGCGTCGAGTCAAATTAATAATTTCATCATACTTATGAACTTTTATTAAACATTTAAATAATTGCATTTGAAAAAATTATTCTATCAACAGTCCAAAACATTATACCAATATAATATTTATGGACTTACTTACAACTTATAATATGTTTTAACATTTATTGTTAATACAATTTAAATGCATAATTTAGTATTTGTTGTCAAAAATAAACGTTATACGTATTATATTTATTCGAGTTAAAACGTAGGTATTGAAATAAGTTATATTCATAGATACACCTAATTAATTTGTGTATTTACTAGTTTTCCAATTCATATTTAAATTTGAATAGTTAAGTATACTAAAAAAACTTTTTTAAAACGAGAATTTGAAAAATTTGTATTTTTTCTTCGGTAAAATAGTAAAGCAAATCATTCCACAGTTTTCACATCTTTCTAGAAAACGACCAAACAATTTCAGAAATTGAAAGTTTAAAGAGTTATCCGTATCCAATTTCCATTTGATAGAGATATCGAGCCAATATTATATTATGAAACTTTTGGAACTCTTCTTCTTCTTTCTACGCGGTATATATTATAGGTACACATAAAATAAATAAATGAAAAAAAAATAAAACCATTATACTTTATCTCTCAGAATTTATAAAAGTTTAACATTTGAAAGTCACATATTATCTTAAACAATAAAACAATACAATTGGAGCAGTTGAACAACAAACCGCCTTAGTATGAATAATTCTCTTTGTGGTACGAATTTAATTTTGTAAACCGATATTATATGATTTACAACAGGAAGTTAAATAACTGTCCGACCAAAACTTGATATTATTAACGCCATAGATGATATCAGAATAGTAGAGGAAGAGTATTTTTCAGACAAGGAATATTATCCATTTTGCATTATTTTTATTTTTTAACGGTCGAACAATATTACGATTATATTGTACAATATAATATAGGGAAAACAATTTAGTATTTTATGGTGTTAAATTTAGATTTTACCTAATTGGAAGTCACTATAGTTTTAAAAGACATTTTTGTATGGTAGTTATGAAAAAATGACTGAATTTTTAAATTTTAACAGTTTATCGATTATGTAATTCGGTATTTTTGTATTGTTTTTATCAACAAATTAAAAAAAATACATAGTTACAAGTTTAGTGATTGATTGTTGAAATTTTGATAAGGTTTATAGAGTTTATAACAAAAGAAATTAAAAATGCGAACACTGATATTTTTAAAAATTTAATTTTCAGGGTCTTAAAGTATTTACAATGTACATATTATAGGTTTTAATAGATCGCCATTCATTAACAAGTTAACTTTAAATATGTTTAAACCAAATAAAAAGGAAAATAGCAATAGGGGGACAATGTACGATAAATATGTATCATTTAAAAACAGGAACAATAATAATTATTTTATACATTTTGCTTTATTGTTTAAAAATTGGCCTATCTAATTTCTTTATTTAAGTACAGCTCTTACATTCTGTGTGTTGTTCGTCTTGCAATGTATTATATATATACTTATATGAGCATTAAAGTGTCGTGTATATTTGATATATTTAACTTACATTCCTATGGATGTGTTTTAATTTTATACTTAGGGAAACCTGGATTGTTGAGGATCGTAACAGTTGTTCACATTTTATAACGACCGTACTTACCAGTAGTCCGTTTACTGTGGTGATTTTTGGCACTCTATAGAATTTGAAAAATATTTTGTTTCTTATGATATTTTTATTTTTTATATTTGGGCATATTTTTTATATAGTATTATGTGTATTATTAGTTATTATTATTATTATAATTAAATAATATTTTCTTACATATGTGACTATGATTGATGCACCTTCTTTCACCGTTGTTATCATGTTTGGCCTCTCTAGTTCAGTCAAGTTATTACACAAATCATTACATAATGTCATATTTCTTTAATTTGCCATGCGATCTGATGCTCCGGAGCGAATGAACTATACCATACTATTGTTCTTAGAGATGTTGGTATTTTTCTCGAAACGGTAAAAGTAAACTTACTCCATTCACGTTACTTTGTTTTGGCTGCAGATGCCTTTTTGTGTTTGGGTTTCTATTTAGGAGGTTAGAAATTGCATTCTAATTTTCTATGTCCATGTTTTTTACATTTGTAGCAATTGATTTTGAATTTTTAATTTGTATGTGTATTACTTGAGAAGGCGGTTGTGACCTTGAGTTCTGGTTCTGATTTTGTGCCCACTCTTTTCATTTCCTCGTGCAGTACTTTACCTTTGATAAAATTGATCATTAGTTTATAATCATTGAACGTTTTAAAGACAGTGATTAGATTATCGTGTAATTTCAATAGACTTAATAGGAAGAAACAAACACCCAATGGTTTGGTTGATTTGCCTACAACGAGATCTCGTATAAGTTTGTTAAAAGTGAGAAAATAAGACACTAGTTTCTGCTTTTCATTAAATTTGAGTGACAAAAGGCATCTAAATGTAAATAATTGACTTTTTATCCTTTATCTTTCAAATGTTTCAGTAAGTGCGTCCTAAATTTTTAATAGAGTCTCCTTACCGTTTACATATTCTAAATTACTGTCAGCTAATCTTTGTATAAGTAATAAATTATTTTTTCTCTCTTTCTTAAGTTTCTTAGCATCATTAGCAACATGCGGTGTATCTTCTTCAGTCTGCACGGTCCATAGTAAATCTTGTTTTTCATGTAAGATTTCCATTCGGAATTTTCAGTTACTCAAGTTGTATTTATTGAATAAAGGAACTTTATATTTTTCTTCTTCCATGTAACTAAAATATGGATTAAATACCGACTGGTGAAAAAAAAAATTGATAGCGATACAAGTATAATTCATGGTACGCAAAGCGTGGTAAATAATACAGAAAAAAACAAAAAAAAATTTCGATTATCAAACGACGTAAAATAAGAAAAACAACTGCGTCCGGAACAAACATGATACATGTTAATTAAAAAATGAAAACCAAAAATAAATGACGATAATTTTGTGGACATCTGTTGTAAACATTTTATATTATAAGACTAGAAATGCAAAATTTTAAAAAAAGAAGGGGTACACTAAATCTTATTGAAATTAATTTATAATCATATTATATTGATTTTTTGTATTTAATTTTTATTTTTATATATATCAAACATAATATTAATATTATTAACATAATTAGCAATTGGATATTAAATATTTCATTATATTAAAATTAAATGATAAAATTGCTTATAACACAAAGTTATTCATATTACTTTTATTATTAACATTATTAATTATTATGTATTAAGCCATTATGGTATACTTGATTTTGTATATATTTTTTTAATATGAGACCTTAAATAGAGTAAATGAGTAAATGTAACTAAAAAGTGAACACTTCTTGTTAAAATGAACAAATCTTATGTATTATTTACTTTTCATTATAAAAGAATACTTAGTTATTATAGTAATTTTAATTATTTTATTATGTATAATGAAGGGTAAAATATAAAGTATAATATTTGAATTTAATTATTTAGGAATAATATAAAATTACGATATTTAATATAATTACATCAAACTATGCTTGAAATCGTTTTTTTAAATTCAATAATAATTTATCGTTGCTTTTAAAATATGAGATTTAATAATATAAAGCAGGTTATTTGTGCGCCCTGTAGTTACACTGAAACAACGACCTGCAGCCTAAGGTATGGGCGCGGAGTGTATACGTCTGTCAGTTATACTTTTTCCTGCATGTCCACCATCATTCTTCCTGGGTATTTGAGGCCGACTACCATATAGTCCTCAATCTCTATTTAAAGTATTTCTGTCAGTGTATTACAACAATACAATAACAATACTAATATTTTTCCTGCGAAGCGAGACGAACGTGCCCAATACTATTTTCGATTTGCGAATGGCACACAAATAAATACTCGTTTAATTAATGAAGAAGAGTATACGTAATTAAATTTATCCGAGTATCGATAAGTGAATAATAATTGGTAGGTGCCTAAGATAATTAAATGATTAATTGGCAGGCTCTTATCTTTAATTGGACAAGATGTAAACACAATTAACGAAACGTTTTACTTGCAGAATTTATACTATTGATAATAATACAAATGACATAATAATTCATCGGCTATCCAGTAAAAACTTTTACCAAAATTGATTTAAAAAAAATTTAACAAAACTACAAGGAAAATAAAAAATTGAGATCCCCAACCTTTAGTAAAAAAAAACTATTAGTATTTAATGGTTAACTATTGTAATAAGTGGTATTTTAGTAGTGAACTATTTCATTAAGTAGTTATTTAGTAGTGAAATATTTAATAACGTATAGTATTTTATTAAAAGTAGTAGTTTTTTAAATAGTAAACTACTTATTAACCTATAGTTAACTATAGAAGTAGTAAGGAGTTACATAATAGTGAAATTTAAACTTACCTATGTAAGTATACTCCACCATCACCTGCCGCCGCCATTTATAATTTACTATTTTTTAGAACTATTAAAAACCGAAATAACCAATTTAACCAGAAATATCGAGGAGGGGGGCCATGAGTCCCCGGTACCTTCTGAAGTTCTGACACACTATGGTATCAGTTGCTATTAAGAGGAAGTTGAGTTTGGAATATAAAGTTCCTTAAAAAAGTCCACAGTTCCGAGATGTTATACTGCAGTATTTATATAATACTTTGAAACTAACCCCGCCTCACCCCTCACTTTTTTTTGGGGGATGGGGGTACTTATCATTTGTATGTAAGCTACTATTTTGTAATACAATAAAAAATAAATAAAATAACGAAGAAAAAAAAAGGGGGAGTACGTGCCCCCCAACTATACTCCACCCATGGAACTGGTTCACTATTCAGAGGGAATTAAAATTCCATTCGAAAAATTCTGCAATTTAGAGATATCACTGTAAACAGTTATACAATATTTTGAAATAGACTTAATAACTTACATAGTCATAAAATCATCTCTTCAACAAGTAGGAGGATAGCTTAGTAGATAAGGCAATAGATTAAGTGAGGTAGGGTATCGTTCTCAATTCCAGATGGCGACAGTAATAAGATTCCATTTTTTTCTCATATTTTAGTATGAAACTATTTTTGTATATACTATTAAAATCTATTTAGTAGTAAGCTATTTAAATATCTAAAAGTTTGTCCGATATGACTATTGGAGAAATATTAATAGTTTTCTAATAGTTTTTTTTTACTAAGGGAATGCACTTACTACATTCAAGATGTCACAAGATAGTTCTTATAAAGTTTTTGATATGAGCTAAATTTCTGACTTGGATATTTTTCTGGAAAAAATAAATTAAAATATATTTAATCTGAGAGCGCGTCGTGCACTAATATCTGAAACAAAAGTACCTAATCCCACGTTGTAATTTTTATGAAAGTCCTTATATCTTATGAATATTATGATAATCATACACATATTAAATATTATTATATTTACTGTATTTTAAACTTTTTTATATATTATGTTTACATAATACAGGCAAACAAATTGTATTGTAATGTTTTCACAATTATTATTATAACTTGTTTATTTAAATTTTAATACGTCATAATTATATACAAATTAGAATGTGGACATGAGATTTAATGCATAAAACAAAAATAATACGTTATTTTATACTTTAAATTTTACAAAGTTGATGTTTTTCACATAAATAAATTACACGGAACAAAAGGCAAACAGAATGGTGTGTGTTGAATTTTGCGACAGCGCGATAAATGAACGGAAACGCTTTAAAGATACCTTAAAACGTGTGTAGATAATACAATTTTCGAGGAATACCCATGACTGCCAATAAGATAAAAATATAATATAATTAAAATACATAAATAAGTACAAAACCGTTGTATTATTTGCAAAATTACATTAGACGCCCGCTCGGATATTACTTTAAAATAATTTGTCAACCAATTTAAAATTGGTGATTTTAAAAGTTAAGAAATTTGACTGCTGTTCTACGGAGAAGAAACTATAGTTAAACATAAACTATGAAATTACACATATTTAAATATAATACATTTATAACATATATTTTAAATTTTTTGTAAAATTATATTTTTTTATAAGCTTTTCATTAAAAGTGCCTCAATGCCTCTATTTTAGGCAATTGTTGAGATGGGAAACGAGTTGAATTAAACAATTTTGTTTTTAAAAAAAGTTTAGGTTAGAAATTTCAGTTATGCCGAGATAATTTTACCACACCTCGATGCCATTTTATTAAACGTTACACTAAAAAAACATTGTAGTGAGTATTTAATAAAAGCGAATCCCAAACATAAAAATATTAAACTATTGTATTTTGAAAAAATATGATATTGTTCTGATATGATTCATATTATTATTATTAATTTGAAACCATGTGTTGTACTTTTTAGTGCGATTATTCATACTCATATTAAAAATAAAAATGTATATTATATATAAAAAAAACTGGTATTTTTTATTAAACGAGATCGGTTTAGGTACCTATACTGGAATTTCATTTCTTTCACCGAAGTCTGAAAATAAGAAAATAAATATGACATATTGACATCGTTTATTTGAATGGAAAGCTACTAACTGTAAAAGGAAATAATAATGTAGGTAGTAGTTGGTAGGTAAGTACTAGCGAATGAAGCTAAAGCCCAATCGCTGCTCAACATGATGAAATATTTAGTTATGAAATAAAAAGGATATTTGCAGATTTCATTTGCTATTGTATAGTGTTCTAAGTCATACATTTTGTATTATTCGAGCAGTATAAAATGTGTAAGTATTTATCCGAGATTTTAGAGGTAACATTTTTTTAGCAAAACCCAAAATTAATAATAACAAATATTTTATTCACAGTCATCTTAAAATTGCTACAAGTTTCAAGATTAATAAGCATAAATGAGAATGAATGTAAATGTTGTAAATTGGTTTTTAAAATAAGTTTTAATATGGGGAAGTATTCGACTATATTTTCTGCGTAATATTAAAGTTACAACATTTTAAAAATAAACAGATTTTTGACGAAAGAGCAGGTATAATTATTTAAAATTTCCAAGTTCAATCAAACGTAGATATTTTTCTCATTACACCAATTTTTGAATTTTTGAATTCGAAATACCATACAATTTATTAAAAATTTGTCATTTAAAAAAATAAATCGTGTACCATTTCAAATACGATTACGAAATTTAAATTTAAAAATTGATCCGATTAATCTCAATTAGACTTCATGTTGAATCCAAATCGGTTTTCAGAATTCTTATCACTCCACAACATCAATCGAACCGATTGCCGAAAGGTAAATAGTTTTTATTGCATAGATTGCTTGAGTTAAACATCAGACTAGTAGAGCAGTAGTAAAAATAGTTGACTGGTGCATGCCGTTGCGAGAGAGGCTACCCAGCATCACATGACACGCATGTTCGATAACAACAATTCACACTAATAACCATTTACGTCTCAAACAAAAACACGACGCGCCTATGAAAAAACCGATATCCAATTTCTTTAATATTATCTATATACTATTTTGCAATTATTTGTTTCTATTATTCTCTATGTTTATTTCTTTCTCTCTCTCTCACATCGCATTATACAAGTATTTATATTATTAGCTGAATGTAGGCTTTCTATTTTCACCACAAGCGTTGATTGTAATCGCTAGGGAGTAAATATTGACATATGTAGTCAACAATTATCTTTGTACTGTAAATGTTTGATGTTAAATAAATAAATATGACGTGATTCATAAATATTATTATTTAATTAATCTTTGTTATTAGAAGCGAAATTGATAAACGATAAGAGTGTGTTATTATGATAACCTCCGTGTAGTATAATTTGAAAATGAGTGCGCTTCAGAGTTCAGATATTATTTTGTTCAACGTTTTATCAGATCGAAATAGAGTAAAATGATCCGACTCGCCACTCCTGAACACCCGTGCAATTACATCACTCGGTAAACGGTGCGACCGCCACTGCAGGATTAGGTACGCCGTACGTTCTATAATTTATTTTTATGGATACTTTTTTTCGGCAGCGTAGGTATATTGGTATATAACTTTTAGTTTTCAACAATTTCATAATTTAATTATAGTTTTATTAATATTATATTTATTTTTTTTTTAACCCTAAAATACATTTATTTTTGTTTAAAATATATTTATTTGGACATTGAATGTCAGTCGTATGTCACGGAACAAAATAATTTCATTAATATTGAAAATACCTAGTATTTTAATAGGTAGGTATAGGTATAGCTAAAATTAAATCATTTATTCACATAAGCGGTGGGTCAAACGAAGGGGTAATGAGGATTATAATAACAGCAAAGTGATAGCAACAAAACGTTGACAATATTCCTTAAAAATGACATATTACACTCAAACGGTCACACGAACTATTTCAGTCAAATTGACTTAGAATGGAAATAGGGTTTTTTTTAGAAATCTGATAGCTATGATAACACACATTTTGAAACTATTTTCAAAATGTTGCGCGGAATACGACTTTAATTTTCTTAAATGGATACACATATTTTGAACATTAGTCTCGATTAAGCCTATTTTTTCCAAGCAACTATGTTCAATAGAATTTGTTTAAAAATTACCCAACCCATACGGTTATCTAAAATCAATAACAAAACAGACCGTCTATAATATAAGATATTTACATAGCCAAATATCGTTTTAAGTTAATGCGTATTATTATTTTGAAAAATCTACTAAAAATTATATTTTTTAATAATTAAGTGGATAGGTCAATTGGTTTAGTAAGGTAGGTTTTACCGTTTAAGAAAATATACCTTTATTTTACAAGCGTGATTTTTAAAACTCGTTCAGCATGTATATTTTAGTACCTACCAATGATCTTCATAGGGAAAAAAACCATTTCAATTAGAGTCCGTCCGTATGACATAACATTATAGAGTTTATGCATATATAAAAAAATTAAAATTTAAACGTTGGACTTTTATCATATTTCCTGTAGCAGGTACGCATATTATTATAAATTATACATAATATTACGTAGGGGGAAAAAATATATTCAAAATGTTTCCTTTTGCGAACACGGTCGTTATACGCAATATTGTTTCTAGTAGGTATCTACATACAAACCTTTCGTCCTCATCGGTATTCCCGTATGTCACGTCGGTCTAAAAAACATACAAGTCAACGACCACAATACATGCATAATGATCGAAAATACTATACCGTTTGTCATTATAATATTATTTTTGTTATTTGATTTTTTTATTTCTTATATCGTGTAGGTGGTGAAATATTATTATGTACCAAATCGACATGCAAAGTGTGTTACTATTATTCTCGTTGGGTCTCAAATAGGAATTATACGGTTCTTTTTTACGTGTATATATCGCACGCGACACATTATTTTAACAGTTAATAAAAACATTATAATATTGAAGTTTACCATAATAATAATATAGGTGTCTAATGTTTTTTGACCGGAATTTCCGAATAGTAAATTAATCCGTTAATGAAAACGTTTACCGGATACGGCCATCATTTGGAACTTTATCGTATCTACATTTTTGTAAATTATTTTTTTAATTATGAGTAATTATTCTGTATGTGCATTCATATCTTCAATCTCATATACTTAAGTAGGATAGTGCCATATCTACGATTTTTCCACGAGGAGATATATTTTTACTATTCTAGTACTATAGCATAAAACCAAATACAGGAATCTTTACGTTTTAGATTCTGAGCGGATCGAAGAATGTATGGGTTTTACAATGATGTAAATATTTATTTATTTTTTTGGTGAAAACTTTTATATCAGCGATTTTTCTTCAATTTTAAGCATAGTAGTTTTTCTTAAAGGGAATCTGATTGGGTGGTACTTCAATAAAGTGATTTTTTGATTTCCCTAGTTGTTTTCATAATAAATGGAAAAAACCGGAAAAACACGTAGAAAAAACGGGAAAATGTACGAAATACATTATTTTTTAATCATAAATATTACGGACTTTTAAAATATGTATAACCGAACTTAGCTCAGAATTGTTTTTAGTTAACAAAGATTAATAGTTGCGTACAGATATACATTAAATTCCTCTCTATATCCTACCTTCCAAACTTCTCACCTACAACTGTGGTCAACCCATCGTGTGAAGTATGTCAGTATTTTTTTTGTTATTATTTACAAAATACATTATTTTGTAAAGTTTTATTAAGCGTAGATGAAACTGTCATTATTAATTGCGGTAGGTATTATTCTTTACAATAACTTGCTCACTTTTAAATAATTTTTTTGGTTTTCCGCTACAGTAACTATAGTATCTATCATATCGTTCATATCGCATATGGTTTCTTTATGCGATAAATAAAGTATACATATTATTACACTTATAGTAATGATGTACATTATACGTACATGAAGTCTCGGAGTCATTTATTTTTTATATAAACGAATAAAATATATTTTGACACCTTAATTCTCCGGAGGGTAGTTTACCCATGTACGTATAATATATACAGACAAAATAAAGATAGATTTATAACGGCCGAAAGAGTAGGTATATAACCATTACCGTAAATTTTCCGAGTTGAATTCGTCGTTTATCCGAGAATATCATTTGCGTCTACCAGACCAAATGTATACAAAAAAAGAAGGAAAAAATAAATAAACCTGAGTGAAAATCTATAGAATATTTGGTTTATATATTATTTTTTTTATTGAAAACAGCTTTACTATGCTGTCATACGTAAAAAATGAAAAATAATAATAATACTCACTCGTGTGGAATACACTGGTTTTCTATACCTCAATATAAACGTTTGAGTTTCCGCCGATTCTTTAAATCCTGTATTTTCCCCAATATTTTAACTTTCCTTTGCATTGTCAATATTAATATATAGTATTATGGTTTTTTTTTCTGTGATCTAATACAAAAATATTGTATCAACGATGATAACGCGTAGAACGATACTCTGAAAAAGCTATAAAAGGTGCACAAATCTAAAATATCCTTTTCACTTTATGGTCAAGAAACCGATCTATCATCGCGCAGGTAGATGCGTCACAGGAATAGGTTATGGCCATAAATCTAAAAACGCAAAATCCTTTAAACAGTTTTACTTGACGTTTATATGTATTATTGGCACATTCACTCGATGTTTTAATAATGTAATGTGTGTGCATAGAAGTGATATAGTTCGTATGTCAATCATATTAACATTTAAACATTTTATTATTATAACGCATTTTATTTTATTTTGTTTTTTTTTTTTTTTAAATATATTAAATTATACCCGGGGGAGTAGTTCTCCCATTGAGAGCTTCAGTAGTATCCAATGGCCGTCTTAAAATACAAAAAATGTATATAAATTAGTAATTTAATAATTTTGGGTCCTAAATAATTATTTGTTACACTGCAGTGTACTGAACATAATATATTATGGATAATCATCATAATGATCATAATCGATCAATAATCAACAGTGCATAAAATAATTTAATATTTTAATTTTAAATCTTAAAAAAAAAAATATTATTTTAATATTATAATATAATTTGTAAAATTGTTTTTGTGAGTTTTTTCCATTTGATTATTTTCGCGATTCCAATAACGCCGGTTATTTGTGTAGTCGTATACTTTTAAGGGACATAAATTAGTCAACCATCTACACAATCTTGGGGTCGCTAATAAGAACGTCGTTAAAATTGCGTAGGGCGCCCTGCATTATCATATATACCGTCAGTATTTGTTAGTGTCGTAGCCAGGATTTTTTTTCAGAGGAAGCTACAATATATTATTGCAAGGGCTATGGTAAAGATAGTGTGACCAGTTGTTCCGATTTAGCCGAGAGGATAAACGTCCTATTATTGTCCCAATTTCATAATTTCAATGTAATATTTCATATTAATATAAAGAGTATGAAAACGTCCAATAATATTAATAACATAAAATTATCTACATTTATTTTACGACTATTTATCAGTTTTTATCGTTTTCACATTTTCAATCAAAAACACTTAATCTTAAATAACTATCTATTTTATTAATAACAATTTTGTAGAGGGATATAAGTTTGTCTTAATAAAGTTATATATCCTATTTTTATATGATTATTATTGTGATTTATTTTAAATTTGTCCGATTCTCCTCACCCGTAATCTCACTATCTCGTTTTCTCATGACCTCACCACTTGATCAGTCGAGTTTTGTGATCATAGCCGTATTATATAGAGGTTTGAGGGTTATGCTTCCTATCATTATTAATTTTAACCCGCCCAAGAATGGGGCAGTTATTAAGTTGTACAAGAAAAAAATAAATGAGTAAAAAAAAAGTTTTTGATTAACGCTACGCCTGTGCTTTTTCCAAAAAATATCTATTCACATTATGCTAGGCCGCTAAGGTACTACCGGCTTATTATAATAAAATAAGTTGGTTCATATAATCATATATGATTATAATGATTAATGATAACAAATTTCAAAAACTACCGTAATATTTTTCTCGCTACGTTACCAAAAAAATTTGAATATTAACTTTTTTATTCCTCGTCATCAATTTAAACTTGTATTTTTTTTTTAAAGAAAGAACATTTCAATGCCTAAAACTTTTTTCATTTATTTTCAATTTACTCATGTAGATAAAAAATATATATTTATAAATTAAGTAATTTAAATAGTTGTAAAAATAACAGAAGATTCAGATTTGAGTAAATTTGTTAATACAAAAATTAAACAATTATTTTTATTTTAAAATCTAAGTGTATTTTTTTTAATTTTTTTGAAGTAAACATATAAATTATTACTTCAGGATCAATATGTATGTCTCTATGAATATCTATCAGCGCTAAACGATGCTAGTCTTTGTCGATATTATACAAGAACGTCAAATTGTATTATCACTGAATAGTCAACTGAGCATAGGTGTAACTAGAGCTCTATTTCTGGGTGGGCTAAATTTTATTAATATCAGCGACCCGTGGAGGCTTCACCCTCACACCATCAATATTAATTGTCAACACAAACATTTATATTTATATGGCCTAGAAGTCCTTAATTATAGTCGTTAATAGTTGCTTTCGAAGTAAAATTTTATCACTTACTACTTACAGACTAGCTACCTAAATAAATATGAATAAGAAGGACATTAGTATATAATTAATAAAATATATAGCTCATAGCTATTATATGTTTATTACAAAGCCTAATTAAATTAATATTATTTTGTTGTCCTTTTCTGCAAATTTATTTACAATATTTTTTACTTTTAATTTGTTAGTTTATTGTTCTCTTTCTATATTTAAAATAGATAAAATTTTAAACCGATCTTGTACAATGGAGGATCTTAGCCAATTTTTTACTCGTCTCATTGAAAAGAAGTATCTTTCACAAGTGGCTGAACTTATGGGAATACATAATGCCACTTGTAAAAGTTTAAAAAGGTTTGGATATGTTTGTTTTTCGACAACTCCTTTGACATGATTTATATTGAAATCTTTTTATTTCACTTTAAATGGGGCGAATCAAAGAAATCATGGACTGCAATACTAGCAGTAGGAATATTAGGAACGCTCGAGTTCATTATTTTAGTATTAAAAATGTTAAATATTGTATTAATTAGTGACTATCGTATAGTTTATTACAGTTTATTACGATACACAAAATACAAATTAAAAACACTTTGTTATTATCAAAACTCACAACCTACTAAATAAATACCATAGACTTGAAATAAAGCATACATAACCGTAAATTGTAATAAGTACGTATGTTTACAAAGTACGATAATAGTGATAATACAATAAAATTAACTGGATAACGCTTATAGTAATAAGGTCATAGGTGCTGATAACGTCTTATCAGCGTCTTAAAAATTATAACTATTAAGTACAACACATTAGTAATTATACATTGGATTCGGGAATTACATTACGTTCAAAAACTGGATGGGCTACAGACAAAATTGAGTGAGCTAAGCCCACTTAAGTACCCCCTAGTTACGCCTATGTGGCTGTAGCTATGTATCATCATGATATAAATAAATACAAACCACAGATAACTATTTTATACAATAATTAAATAATATAAATATTTTAAATATTTGTGGTACAGACTAGTTAGTTTTATCAGGATTGTAATATTACTTAACATCATAATTATATCGAGGTAACACAATGTTAGTAGCTATCACTTCATTATTATTTATTAAAACGGCTATAAAATATTAAATAGTGAAAACCAATGGTGAATAGTTAGTGGTCTGCTATTAGTAAATACGAGAAACGGGTGACGATTTGTGCTTACGACAGTTGACAATTTCTAATTTGATATTTCAGGAGGGGGGGGGGGGTTAAGCCCTTAATCCCCCTCATATATATTTATGCAGGTTGAAATATTTAAAAAAAAATGTATGTACTTATACTATATACTTATACTTAAACTATACATACTTTGGGTTTTTCAATATAATTATTTAAAAATAAATTAATACTAATAATTAGTAATGACTATAATGTTTAAAAAGCTGGATTTTGAAAAATAATGCATCTTACATAGTGCAAGAATGTATACAGATAAATGTTTTATTTATATATTTGTACTTTTTGATACAGGATATTATTGAAGTGTTTGTAATGTTATCGTTTATTTTATTTTCGATAAATGACATTGGAAATGTAGGATGTTTTTTAAAGGTGTTTTCAATTTTAAATTGTTCGTAATACACGCTACGACTACATTTTAAATAATAGTTTATGGCCAGTAACGTACCTTCTCAGTTAAAGATGAGTCTATCTTTTTAGTTATTTTATTATATTATACTACTGATCTAATATCTAAATTTTAAAGGTTAATATCTAAGGTTTCTCGCACTTTTGAATTTAAATACTTTATTTAAAACGACGATTTGAATTGTATGGTGTTTTTTTAATCGCTAACTAAATAAGGTAGATACTTTACAATGAAAAAATAATAAATAAAATCGAATGTATGCAAGAAACATATTGACTTATATAAGAGGGGATATTATTAAATTATTATGGAAGGTACTATTTTCAAAAAATCGGTCTAGTATAAATAGTCTCGTCGTATTCTGTTAGGTACTGAAAGTACATTTTTGATCTTAATTTGTTAGGTACACGATTTTTCCCTTTAAAATGGTGACTTGTAAAACATCGTACTCAGTGCAAAACAAACAAGAGACGGAATTGCCCCATTGAAAATAGGTGATAATAATATGCCCGAACAAAGTTTAGTATAACTGAATGTTTCCATTATATAAGTATAAAAAAAAAAAAAAGTATTATTAGTTTTGCGTATTATAGCTGTATAAATTCGGGTAAACAATTATCCATACATTTAAATTTAAATATTTTTGAGCAGTAGGTAGATACCTATAAATGTATAATAAAATATAATGTATCAACAATTGGCGTATTCAAAAAATGGGGTTTTTGGGTGTCCAATCCTTTCCTCTTTCTTTTGTTGAGCTCCTATAATAATCATATTGTATATTTTTCAAGCATTTCTTGTAACATTTTAAAGGACGACCGAACGTAGTGTAACTTTGAAAATATCGTATGCACAAAATGTAATGAGAATTTGAAATTCTAAACCACAAGTAATAATGCCCAAACGTGTTACATCGATGATAACTAAAAAAAAAAAAAAAAAAAATCTTCGTTGGGCATATTTTTTTGTATTCAATAAACTCATGTTTAGAACTTAATAATTATATTATAATTTTGTTTCTTCTCTGAAAAATTACTTTAATCCTCTTATTCAGGTATACTAAATCCCCTCGATTCTTTACACTCAACTATACGATAAACTGTTGAGCAACATTATATCAAATTCATATATAATTGTATTATCTATTATTTGTATAGAAATAAATGTACAGTAGTTATTAATATATAATTTAAATAACCCATAATATGAAATATGAGGTCATTTTTTATAGTATAGGAGAATGAGTACAAGGATTTGGGAACAATTAAGTGTTGTGTAATTTGTTTTATACTTTGTGTCTTAAAAAAGTAAAACCATATTATCTGTTTTTCTGGTTAAGTAGCCAGCATATCTTATGTAATGTGCATATACAACAGAATTTAAATTATGATAAAAAATAAATAACAACAACTGGTGATTGGAATTTATTTTATACAATTATTTACATCAAAATATACTTAATATAATATAAAATATATATTTACCACACATTTAATAAAGTTGTCTTATATCATTTATTATTAAATATAATAATAGTTCAGTTTACTAATTGTATTACAACTTTCCTCTTGATGTTCGAAGGGATTCGGTATTCGGAGATAATTATTATAAACTATGTACACCTCTTTTCGTCGGAAAAATTTAAAAACACGCTACTGGCATGAATAATATTCAACTTACATGAATACGGAATACCAATAAAATATTATAATCACGGAAATACTTTAATACAATACGAAAATATTTTTAAGCATCACGGTTATTTGGGTCATCATTATAGACAATATATTATAGTACCTAGTATATCATGGTATAATATATTAATATTATGGTATTATATTACCTAAATAAAAATAATACACGTAGGTATAAAATAAGAATAACCTACATCTGTCAAATGCATCTTATAACATATTATTTATTTATGTTTAACATGTTTTCAAGTTTTTCTAATTTTACTGTACTTTGTCACATACAGTAGTAATAATATATAGTAACCATTAATTTATAAGAAATGTAGACGTTTAATATTTGGTATAGTTGTATACAAAATATTATAAAACAGTGTCTATTCTTTGATTCACCCAATTTAGTCAAATCTTTAATATTATTATGTTTAAATTAAGCTTCAAACCATTCTTTCGGAACGGTTGATTTTGATTATATGAGATTTTTTTTCTTTTTAAGTATTCATAGTGGCATATAAATTATTTAAAATTATAGCTGCAATAAATGTATAAATAAATTATATAATATTCAAAATTTAGATAATTTTTTTAACTTGTATACATATATTATAGGTACTCTTATATACTTTTATTGGTAATCTTATCCCTGCTTACTGTAAGATTTTTTTTTTTTTAATACTATGTTCTTTTAGTTTTTATACACATACAAATGCTCAGAATATTAAAAAAAAAATTGTTGAGATTTAGTTTAGTAGAAACACGCTAATTTTGAATAGTTACTGACTCGGAATATTATTTTTTATTTTTTATTTTGAACCCATATACACATTGCAGATGGGGGTTCAAGGCACAAATAAGTTTTAAGGTAAAACATAATTTGTATACACTTGCTACGCAGTGATATATTTGAAATAAATATTAGAGGGGTTCTCTAAACTAACAACTCTTCATACGATGGATAAGGTGGTTACGGTGATAGTTCGTGTGTGATGAAAAGGAACGTAGAAAGGAGCAAGTTATCTGAAAAATCGATAAGGAATCCTAAAATTAACCTCTGCTGGTAGCTCAGGTGTATCACCATTAATACGTTTGATGAGAAAATTGATATGTGAACCGCGTGTATAGAAAACACAAACTATTGAATCATACACTTAATTTTATATTTCACATATTCGTCAAAGTCACCGGTTTTTTGTACATATTTTGTAAAAATTATCCTAGATAGATACTCATAACTCTTATATCATGCTACCATTTATTCTTATTACTCGTCTTGTTCCGTCAATCTCTTATCCTCTTCCTCCAAACTCATAATCTAAAATACTTTGTTTTATTTCTACTTATCCCTAATCCCTTTCCTTTAATGCTGTTCTCCATTCCTCAAGCATATATTATTAACTTCTTCCAAATTTTATCATAATGTGAATAATAATTATTCCAATTATTTAAGGCGTGACGTGTAAAAAAATTCGTATTATTTTTAGTAACCGTAAACGTGTTTTTTTTTAGGGGGGGGAAATAAACTCGATTTCATAAAACTTATAGTTTTTTCGTTACACTCACAATCTAAACACAATATTTATTCAAATTACATTTCGTAATTTACACTACACTAATTCTGCAAAACGCTACTATAGTATATAATATGAATAATAGAATTTAACATTTCTCCAATTGTATTTTAAAATATTTTAACATGAGCTTTACTTTTATACGAGTGTTCAAAGATTATCCAACATAAATTATATAATATTAAAATTAGTGATGGGGAAAATCCGATTTTTTCAAAGTTCGAATATCCGAATTCGTTGAATTCTGGATCCGAAATCCAGATTTTACTCTAAATCAGGATTTTGAATTTTGAAACATTGAATTAGTATTCTTTTATATAGTAAATCGTATGGTATACATTTATATAGTAAATTCTTTTAATTAGTATTATTAATTACAAAAAAGTTTTCATAAATTTTACTTTAGATTGTATGTCAAAAAAAAAAAAAAATTAATTTTCAATTAAAATACGGAAATCTTTAATGTTAAACCAAAATTCGGATTTGTAAATCCGTAAATTAGAAATTAAGATTTCATAATCCAAAATCCGAATTTAGTAGCCTAACATCTGAAATCCGAATTTTTCGGATTTTCAGATAATCCAGATAGATATCACATTACTAATTAATATTAGATATTACATTAAACAGATTTTTAAAATTGAAACGAAAAATGCACATCATATTTGACAAGGGTTTTAGTAGCTGAGAACATTATTCTCCAATATTAAGTTACTCCCACTGACTTTAAACCTTTAAATCATTTGGCGCTCGATGAGATGTTATATTGTAGTTACTACTAAACAAGACATTTTCAAGATAATATCCTGCCAATAAATTAACGAAACCGAGATCGGTATATTTTAAATACAAGTCGGCTGTACTTCAGNTACAGGCGTTATATAATAAATACTGTCACCACAAAATTAAGTAAACGATTATTTTTAAAAAAAACATTATTTTTCCCGTAGACAAATTCCGTTTACAAATCTATAAAAAAAAGAAATTATTATTTAAATGTTTATTGCAGCCACAAATAATAGATTATGAATACAGATACCTATATAATATGAAAAAATGCGTTTTTAATAAGAAATCAATAACGAACTGAACGTTTTTGGAAACTCGCCTATCAAGTTGTCCAATTCGTTTATTAAGTGGACTATGTCTTTTCTTAGAAGATCCATTTCATTAGTTAACTTTAAATCTTCATTAGACGAAGACTCTTCGTTATGTTTCGTATTATCTTTAAAACCGTCCGGAATCATTGGCGATAACGTTCCCATAATAGACTGAATGATAGATTCGGAATATTTTTTGCGGAGTTCTGAATAAAGATCATCTAGATTCATACGTATAACCTTTTCGGATGGATTCCCGATACGTTTTAATAGTAGATAAAAGTCACGTTCAAATTTTTCTAAATTTTTCATTATAAACTGTAATTGTTCGTGCAAATCGTTAGATAAATCAGCGCTTGGAGCGGTTTCCATTGATTCAAAAAAATTACCTAATCCTTCGAAATCATCAGATTTGTCTAATTTTTTTTTAACGTGATTTTTTTCGCTAGGAATTTTTAATATTTCCAATTTGGTTTCATTGGACATTTTAAATTTATTAAGTTCACTAACGTATTTTGATTGATTACGATAGTCGTCGGTAATTGATTCGTGTTGAAAACTACGTTTTTGATCAAGCCTTTTAGACGGTCTTATTTCGGTAATTTCCTGAACTACGGATTTCGGTTTTGAATTCATGGATACTGGAATAGTAATAATGATTTCATCTGTGGGTATCGGTGATATCTGTAAGTCACTCGATGACCCAGTAGTATTACACATTGTGTCTACTTTAGGCATAATTATTGAATGTTTTTCAATAATTTATGAAGGTCAATTTTTGTCTAAACAATATCCATGTTATAAAAAATGTCATAACTAATAAAATCATAACTATATGTATTCAAAATAAAAATATCTATACGTACTTATTTCAATATGAAAATCAAATCCGCCGGTGAATTTTATAATTGCAATTAATTCATACCAAACGGGCTTGAAGAAACTCTGTAAAAAAGCAATAAATATTAATTTCAATAATATTAGGTTTTAAAATAAATTCTATTTAAAACGTATAGTATATATATATGCATTATACAATTAGCTATAGTATTTAAATTATTTCGTACCTATTTTTTAAATTTACGTTACAATAGTTCAGCACCTAACATTTAATGTTGCGTACAATAAATTAGGCGCCGGGGATTGGAAAACAAAAAAATGGAAATTATTATATCGTTTTGTAATAAGTTGAAGGAAAAAATTATTTATTAGAAACTAGCAACAAATAATAAGTACAGCGTAACGTTGACGACGATCGCACATTTTAATGACATGGATACGATCGTTTGTGATTTATTTATCTGCTCTAATAATGAGTAGAATATTGTTTGCAGATAATATTATATAGTCGATACGCGTACAATGTATTTTAGTTCGGTATGTTTGGTCACATTATTTAGAACCTGACCGATAGGTACCTCATACCTAGGTATACCTAGATAGCTATTATAACACTTTAATCCACATCGGTAAAAATGTTTTAAATAATTAATATTTTCCCCACCAAAACCATTATTGGGCTTTATGTATTTGAAAACTGCCTACGATTTATTGAATAAATTACAGACAAAAATGATTCATTCTGTACCAAATTTGCCGGTCGTTATCCCTAAAAACTAAGTAAATTTAAAACAAAAAGAGCTGATACTGCAGCTGAAACAACGCTTATAAAAAAACATTAATTCATTAAACCCAGATTTGTCTTTTGTTACTCTCGTTCGACAATTCGGACAGTCATCACAATCGACTAATTTTAAAATTGAATAACTAATTATTTGATAGTACTGTAAATACAAGCATGTCAGCTATAGTGGTCTGCGGTCGATCCGTGTGGCTAAATATAGCGTTTTTCTGGATGTAATAATTTATGTAGGTGCCTAATATAACACTTACGCACCATATGGGTACTTCGATTCTCGTTATTTTTTAGATAGTATGATTAGGTTTCTTCTAGCCCCTCTTCCCCTAGTCGTTCAAAACCCCGGTCTCCTTTCCCGGCTTCGCTAAAAACATTTAAACGATTCTTTTTCTTTGTATATGATGATGAATATGTGATGACTTTAAATAAACATCGTTATTTTCACAGGTTTCGGTGAGTCGAAATTAGAATAAAAACGCGAGAACGAATTTATTCTAGCTGCTATAATAATATTATTATAGTTGGTAAACCGTAATCCAGAATATTAGAAATATTGATAACATATTTAAGGGATAGTCGAATAGTTAAGTCACGTTTGAACCACGGTTATTATAGTTTAAGCGTGATTTATATTAAAACTGTTCGAGACATCATATTAAAACTATATAATCTGCAAACATCATGCACATATTTCATATACTATAGTACCTACCTCGCTTTGTATTTCTTCGTAGCTTTATCCATCACAACAACAAATATAGGTAAGAGTTCAAAGCCAAACCCTATAATTATTATATGTGTTGATGTTAAATAATTACTTCTGCATAAATAACCTGTGACGTTTTTACAGATTTATGTGAACTGCACATCAAAACCATAGTATCAACAAAGCATGGACAGATATAAACAATAAATGTTATAATATGCAGTGAAGGGTTGAAGTACATACTTCTAGCGTATAAAGAATACTTACCGTCATTAGTTTACACGGAAATGTATACAATATTATTATACTGTTAGTACTTGTTCTGTACAAATAGCACAATAAAATAACGTGTTTTTCGAATACTTAATTATTTCAATTTTATTATACTCGCACAAGCGCTTTTATGTTACCAGTTACGTTATGTTATAGGTACGTTTATTTAAATTATTATTGCAATAATGTGATCCTATTTTGTTAACCTCACGATACAAACTCACGTCACGGTATAACTTTGGTATTGTCCATAGGCACACTCAGGGGGGGTTTGGGGCTTAACCTCCCAAAATTTTTTTTTATTATATAGTATTATTATTGTTACAATAATAAAATATGTTTTTTTTTCTTATTTAATTATCATGTGTGATACACATTAATAGTTCAATAGTACGAGATAAGGTTTGTGGCGATCGATTATATTTCGTTGAAAATTATTTTTAAATTCATACTAGCGATTACGTCGTCATAAATATAATTATAAATACAAAATTATATACTGTGTGGTAAAAATAATAATAATAATAAAAAAAATAATTATTTGAAATTTAGTGATAGTTGTTTACTTGTATGTAAGTATAATAGGAAAATTTGTAAGCCCTCCCCCAAACAAAAATCCTGGGTGCGCGCCTGGTGGTGTCTTTATTTTTATTTTCGCGTTTGAACTGTACAGTATATTTTTATCGTGAATTTGTATTGGTTTTCATTGTGCACCGTGTGAAATCGGCCGTAAAGCTATGCGCAATAACAATATTATTAAACCAAAATATTATTTTGGTGCTGTAATATTATTATTATGGTTAGGGTCTGTACGGAGTCTTACGAATTATTTATGTTATAGTTCCAAGAACATAATGGTACCCGTACTCTCTTATACTCTCTAAACTGTAACAAAATATTTTGAAGACTGTAAATATTCGCGGTGGTTTTCCTATACCGCGTGTACGTACGGCTGTACGAGCCGTCGTATACGTTGATCGTCTGTTTTTACGGTCTTATATAAAATGAGTATTGTGGATTTCGAGCAATATAATCGCGAATCGCGTATTCGAGAAACTTTGTCGTATCCAGTAAACTCAAATGTCACCCCTTCTTCGAATGGAAAAAATTGGATTCTGCAGGCGATCGGCATTTGCCATTAAATGTTATAGTGACACGCGCTGTTCGGCTGAATATTTACCATAGTGAAAATAATATAATATGCTTTATCCCGGGCACGTGTACCCCGTGAAACTTACCAGAACACTGTGATATGTACTTTTGACGATTTTCTTGAAAATATTATTCGTACGAATTATTTGTTTGTTTCAGTAATTTAATATGTTTTATGGGTATTTTCAGTGGATTAGTATTCGTAAATATAATATACTAATTCGTGGGTTTACGCTAAATTATTAACAGTATGCCAGTTTGTGCGATGTTGGGGAGTCTCTGTTATCCCTCCCCTCATGCTAAAAGAAGTTCTAAAATTTATTATTTGTTTATGAAAAAAAGTTTTTATTTTATATACTGACTGTCGATCGATATACAAGTAGGTACATCGTACACTATATATGCAGGCGGTCCAATTATTAATAAAATTATGATATTACTATAATATCATTGTTCTAATTATTAGTTTTACTTTCATTTGTACTTAATTATAGGATTTGCCATTAATATACTCGTATAATGTAAGCAATTACAACATATTATTAACACGTTTTATTAAATTTAACCATGAATCATGATTACCAGTTATTACTATAATAAGGGACTGCTCAACAGTATTCACTTTCATCAAAAAAAATTATAAATTTCATTATAACACAGCATAATATTCATACATCCGTAATAAACAGTATATCTACATAATAAGGATTAAGAAGTGTTTTAAACAAGTTCCTATGTTTGAAAGTTTCACATATACTTTTTTAAAATGTTTTAAATATTCATCAATTAAATTACAATAACTTATATGTTCTGAAAATTAAAGATATTTAGATGCTTTCTAAATTAATTCTGAAAACTATAATTAAAACAACCAGATCCTATGATTTTTGGTAAAAAGTTTCTTTCTTTTATTAGAAGACATTTTTCTGATTTTCATTTTGTTTTAAATAATTATGATAAAATTATATTTGTAATTAACTACCTAGTGCCTAATATAATACAATATTTAAAAAACAAAATAATTATTAAAATGAAAAATAACTTTTTTTTGCATATTTACACAATAAAAAAATAAAAATAAAATAGAATAATATAAAAATATATTTAGTAGTCGTATGATTGGTTGGTAGATTAATTTTTTTTTATCTGTTAACAACTTTTCTGCCAGAAGACTTGCTTGGATTTCTAAGTATAGCACCTTTTATGAAAGAAAATCGGCGTGGGGAGGTACTTTAATAAGGTAAATTTTTGATTTTCTCAAAAGTTTTCCTAGCAAATGTAAAAAACCGGGAGAAATCATGTGAAAACTGGGAAAAGCTTAGGAAAATTGGAAAATCGATACAACATTAAAATAATATTATAAAAGAAACTATATGGAGCCTATTTAATTATTTTACTAGATTTAATACTAAAATTCTTATACAAGTATATAAAAAAAAAAATACTATATTAAACTAAATTTTTTATTTTTTTACTACAAAGTACCATTTATAATGAACCTCCTGTTGAATTTTCAAATATTTCTGTCATTTATCCATAGAGTATGTATAAAATTAAAATTACATTAGAAACCAGCAAAAATTAAATGTCTTTTATTTTTATTGGAACAAGTGTAATAATTTGAAATAATGAAATCGTAATGCCGTAAATTTTCCAAATTTTATTTTTCGTTTTTTTTGTTTATTGTTTTCCAATTGTTATGAAATCTATTTAAATAATCAAAAAAAAATTCTTTCTTCGTGAACAACTTGATTCCTGGTAGAAAAGATAAGTTACGTAAATCAGGAAATCGTGACGCCGTAAATATTTGTCCGTTTGGCCTCTACGTTTTCCAACGTTTTTTTTTTTCATTTTTCTTAATTATTATGATATACACTTGGAAAATCAAAAAGAGCTAATACTGGGGATGGGAGCGGCTACTGGTTTAGGTGAGAAGTTGGGAAGATAGGATACATAAAGTTATTTCATTTTTATCTATAAGCAACGATAAACCATTGATGACGAAACATGATTCCAAGCGCAGTTTGATAATAGGTACTGATTTATATAAGTACCTGATAGGTACTTATAAAAAACAACGAAATTGTGAAAAAATCATATTTTTTTTTCCCGATTAATTTTTTTATTTTAAATACCGTTTCGAAAATCAAAAAACGACCTATCTATTTACAGAAAAGTTTCTACACGTAAACATTAGAGCAAGTTTACTAGAAAAATCGTGTCTACAGACTAGAACAAAGAAGAAAAATAAGAAGACAAAATAAACAGCACTAAAAAACCAATAGCTCCCTCACTATGTTCGGAATCTAGAAACAACCTTTTTTAAGTACTAAATGTATACAATTTAATTTCAGCAAGATTTCTGGTAAAAATGTTGTACACAGTATAAAAAAAAAAAAATTATAAAAACAATGGCCGAACTTGATAATATATTAGTTATACTTAGTATTAATACTTCTAAGTTTGAATTCATTTAGGATTCTCAAAAAAAACTATTAAAAATAGTATCAAAAAAATGTTTTGTCAAATAGTTATACAACAGGATTCCGTGATGATAATAATAATAATATAGGGGAGTAAATTTTATCAAATTTTATCGAGTAAATCACTCGCCAGAATTATAATAATCACAATAATCCATACACAAATTCAGAGGAATAGGTGAGGATAGACACGAGGAGAGCAATCAATTTTAAGTGCATAACTGATAAACTTAAGGAATTTCCGTTGACTCGCTCGAGATGACTACCTATAGAAAGCGCCAGAAAGCTATTAAGATAATAATATTATAAAGTTCGCAATAAAAACAAAAATTAAAACCTCAATTAATATTTATCTCGATATAAATAATTATAGAATCGTCTATTTTGAGATTGGGGAACTCACACAGAAAAATTGCAACGAACATTTTAAAAATATTATTATATTTTTGTTTGTCTCTGGAAAATATATCCGACTATATAATAATTAATGAGGTCAAATTGAGTAATCCATTGAGTAATAGTTCGGATTGAAAATGTATAAACTGTTATAAATTATGTACATAGGTATTTATCTGTTACACTTTTATATTATTCAATTTCCAAAAATTATACCTAATATTACAAATTATCTATCATTTATTGTACCATGCACTATTTTAATATTGGGAATTTAAATAAACTGGCAATGATTTTATGTGAAATTAAAAATTAATTATATTTCAGTGACGCTATGCGTTTTATTAATATTTTTAATCGAAAAAAAATAAGATAAAATTAAAATTAAACAAAAACAAAAAAAAAAAAAAAAATATAAAAGCACTTTAATAATAATATAATAAGTAAATAGATAGGTATACTTCGTTTTAAAATTATTATAACGAAACGAGTACTGTAAGTAAACTTTTATATAAAATAGGAATCTGATTCTGTAAATGATAGGTAAATTAATTTGTTTCTTCTTTTTTTTTCTCTTTGAATAATATTTAGTTATGTTCAAAAAATAAAAGAAACAATATTAAAAACCTCAATTAAAATTCTACTTTATAAATATTTAATATTTATTTTGTATACGACAAAGGTTATTGTTGTGTATGTTTATCCCGCTATTTATTTTATCTCTAAAATACAAAATTGCTATTAAATGGAAATAAATTGCTAATGATCATATAGTAGGTAGGTAATATAATTTTGGTTGTGTTGCTTTCTAATTTAAACATTTTAAACTCTATTGAATGCAACTAAATTATATTTAATCGAAAGTTTTACACTTTGCGTGTGACCGTTCACCACCTTAATCACTTGATTTTATATTAAATTTAATGGTACCACAGTAATAATAGCGTGCTCTGTCTTATGCAGACTATTCTCGACATCGCGTTTTGCTATTTTATCAAATAACAAGACGTAGCAGAGAATTTTATTTCAAAATTTAATAATATTATTCACTTACCTATTGTTCCATTTATTTAATTTTAATTCACTGTAAAAATTGTTAATATTTAACTAATATTCTGATGTTATTATATTTTATTTTTCTCAAACCTATCATAACTTAATTTTAATATCGTCAAATAAGCTTTTAAAAATTGTTTAGTAACCTGGTATTATGAATTCATTGCATAACCAGAAATTTATCCGGATATCTCCAATACCCTTCCACCACTTGAATACGTCACTGATTGGTCAACATATAATTACAGTAATAAAAATATGAGCATTTTCGCGTATTTTAATAATATTTTTTTCTGTGATCAGTTTAGTTCAAATTTGAATACAAACCGTAAAGATCCTGGCATTTTAAAACATGTTTAATCTAAAGTCATCTTAGAATCGATTTTGTTAGCGATGATTTATCGCTGTGTACAGATATATAAATAAAATAACTCTGTGTATATCATACCTTCATAACTTTTCACCTACAATAGTGGCACACCCATCAGCAGTATCAGCTATTTTTTTTTTATTGTTTCATAATACGATAAAATACTTAGAGCAAGTACCTGTGAAGTACGTACTACAAATCACTATTCTATTTTGAAAATTTTACAGTGTACAATATTTCACATGAGTAATATATGCGTACATACTTAATTCGATATTTTCGAATATGTTCGTCAACATTTTAAATATTTTCTAAAAAATCCACAGATTTGACGTTCACCACATCAAATTAAGGGTTTTTGAAACTATACAAATATCATAGTGTCATAAGAAGGTCCTTCATAATGGAGGATCTTGTATCAAATTTTCAAGCGTTTTTGAGAAGCCAAAAATTGTATCCCCGTAAATCCATGTAACTAAAAAAAACTAGACAATTTTAATTGGCTATAAAAAACTCAAAAATTACCAAATTGTTTTGATAATTGACCATGTCTAGAAATGTTTAGTTTATAGTCGGTCATATTTTCAGGTCTGTACGATTAGTTTTAAATAAATTACTGGAAAAAACTAAAACGTAAATAATGAAAATCGTTATTTGTATAACTTTTCCTAATCTTAGTCACTAGTTTCTCATTATTAAGAAAACTTCAAAGGAAATCAAAAATCAGAAAAAACTGATTTTACTCATGCAAAAAAGCTCTTTTTGTTTTTTGATAGCAGCAAGATTATGAAAACTACTGTATAAATTTAAAAAAAACGACCTGCTAAATGCACCAACTAGATACAATTTGCTGCTAGAAACCATCTTAGTTGTTGATGGTTAGAGTAAAATTTCTGATCGATAAAATATTAACACGGACAAAGAAAAAAATGACACACCATACTAAAATCAATACATTCCTCAATATGCTTAGAATGCAAAAAAAAAAAAATTACGATAATTATTTAAACCGACATTTAACGATTTTTCTCGAATCTCTTTATTATTAATCAGATCTTAGAAATTCATATTATAAAAAAAAGTAAAATTAAATGTCATGGTCGAAATTTTGTTGTACATATTATATATGTTATGTAACAATGACTTTAAAGTTCAAGTGTTGAAGTGCTAAACGAGTTTTAAAAAAAAAAAAAAGGTTTTGACATACATATTTTAACAGAAAATAATATAGAGCTATAAGTTATATAGTTAAGGTACCAACTTTTGTATTTATTATTACCACTTTGTATGATGGTTTTTAGTCACCGTTGGTGTTGTGATGAGCACGACCTTGTTATTGTTTTGAGAACCAGTGGTTTAAATATTATTCAATTTCTCCGGTGCTATTTTTACCTTCAATTGACATATTTTCCAAATATAATTTTGATAAAATTTTAATAAAAGATTTTTATAAATATTTCTTGTTAAACTATAGACCTATAAAGTCATAATGTAAGCACGATACACACACCTATTGTGTAGCAATGTAAAAATACATCTGACCACTGGCGACCAAGATCAAATCGTATTTTGTCTATTTATAAGTTAAAGTTAGGATGAAAAAATATAGAAGGTAAAATTAGGGAAATATAAACAATAATAATCAAGAATATGAAAACAAATATGTATATAAAAAAAGAATTAAATATGAAAAAAATGGAATTTTATTTTACTTTTAAATAACTTAAAAAAAAAAAAATAGTTTCTAATGGACTGATAATTAATCATTAATAATTAATAGGTACATAAAAAAAAAACATCTTTAGATCTTAATATTATTCAACAGCTAATCGGGGAAAATGGAATTAACGTAAATATTTTACTACCATTAATTAACTTCGCAAATTGTACAAAATAAAATATCGCTATGTGTAAAAAAAACCATCATCACCAAATTTATTAACGTCAAACAAGGTGTTTTCGACATTTTTTAAACACTATACACTAAATAGAGCACACGAAATGAACTTGACTTTAATTTTGACGGTAGCGAAAGAAATAATAATCGCGTTATATTCAGATACGATAATTTATTGATATATTTACAGAAAACCAGATACAATAAAGTTCCCCCATGTCTTGATAAGTATTATTCTATTCTATTATAATTCTATTTAAGTATTATTTTATAATAAACGAATAATACTATGTATACAACAATAATAAAGTTATACGTTTTACATTTCAGGGTTGAACGCTATATTATTAAAACTACACGCTTTGAGTTGAAGTATTGTTGTATGGGATATAACGTATATATTATTATTATTTATTAAAAATAAATATAATTTGATTTAAATTGCCTTTACATGCACACAAAGTCATTAATATGCAGTTATTAAAAAAAAATTAACAAAATATGTAAAAAAATAGTAACACAAGTATGAACACGGTAAGGTATGAACAAATTGTTAGCTCACCTAGCTTTAACTATAAGACATTGACAAAAACATGCAATTTCTATGACTTCTCTTTCCTATTTATAAGCAAATGAAGATCAGAAAAGTATATTCTATCAAGGTGAAATAATGTTAGGGTTGAAGTGGATATCTGCCATAAGAAATATAATAGAATTTAGCAAACACAACAGAGATACATGTTTAAAATAGTTTGCGGAGATAAAAGAAATAATTACAATTGAAAAATGAATCAAAGAAGTTAAAGTAGCTACTTAGAAAAAAAATATACTACCGTATATAGAAGTATTAATATTAATTATATTAATCTCTTGATTAATATAATACGGGAAATACGGGGGGAAATAGGAGCATTTATACCCTCTTATTAGGCTTTTTTTTATCATTTTATTATAGTTATAGTGAATAATGCTAAAAATATAGTAAATATGTAAATACGATGTTAGTACGAATATTTTTTGTTTGCCTCTTTTGATATATTTCACCGGACACATTTGCATAATGTGTATATTGGTAACGCATTGACCTTCCTGTAATATTTCAATTCCCACATAAAAAGAAGGAGGGAAAATCTCACTGAAGATATAATATACACATTATAAGAGATTAAAATCCCGATTGAAAAAATACAAATATATAAAGAGTAATAAAATAGGGTGTTTTTAACAATTTTTTTTTTTTTTTACTGTAGAGCAGGTTTCAATAGACTGTTTTATTTTTTTCAATGAATATAGATGAGATGGATGCTGGTCATGAAATGAGTTATACTCGCGTATATTATAGCCCCGGCCGATGTAAAGGCCGGCGGCGAACCTGTCAACCCAAGAGACCCGTGAAAGGAACTCATTAGGGTTATACAGCAGGGGTTTGTTTGTTTTTACACTTTTACGTGACGATGCCGTTGAATAATTTATAACGAACTAGGCTATATTCGCCTGTGCACCCCTGTATTATAATAATACACGTTTCCGACTCTTTTTATTAAACGATGTACCCGTTCGGTTGACCACCCATAACGAAGGAAACCGGCAGCGGTGGCGGTATAATTACCACCGTCATTTTGCCCAATAAAACCCTCGTCTTGGGTACATGACTTCCCGGGGGTCTCTATTATTATTACGTAGTTACTTCGGCCGGAACCTCGCATTATTAGAGGCGGTAACTCAATATCGTCTCCCGCGCTGAAATGCGAACTTATTTGGCTTTAATATAATATAATATATCTATGTATAGGTACATTATAATGGCCGGCGATTCACCCGGACCGAATTTGCTCATTGTATGAGCAATTGAATAGTTAAAAGAAAAAACCCACTAGTGAAAAAGGACAACTCCATCACTCGAGCAGAATTTATCCTCACGGTCTCATCTATTTTATATTTTAATATACTAAGACAACAATAACACAATTAATTTCATATATTACTTAACAAGAAGAAAAAAAATTATATAATTTGGTCATGAAATATAATTGTATGCCTCACGGTCGGCTTCTACGATATAAAACGTTAAGTTGGTACACAGTCTTTTAGTCATAACTGGCCAATATGGGTTTATTAATTGATACTTGACTCATGTTATTATAATTTATTTGTAGTTTATTCTTTATCGACAAACTATACATAAATTACAATCGGTATCATTTATTGATGCTACTTTGTATTGTATCATTTAATTTATTTAACCGTCTATACATTTTGAATGTATGATTTTGCATTGAGAATTTTAGCATTTTAAATTATTTTATAGGGATTTTAATTTTGAAAGTCCATTTTTAAGGGATTTTTCTATCTCCGGTGATTACATTTTTTACTTAACGTATGTTAATCAATGATAATTTCTTATCATCACGTCTTCATACTTTTTATGATAAAATTTAATTTAAGCTTTTTAATTATTATGATGTCTACCTAAGTATATCCTTGAAAAAGAAGATTATAATATAATACAGCAGCACTTAGTATAATTTATAGAATATTAAGTAAAGTACTTAGCACGTTTGTTAAAACTATTATCGTTTATTCTTAAATTAAATTTGTTTATACCCATTATAGATAAATAAATTATTGTTAAATATAATATTATGGTTGAAAAGTAAAAAAAAAAAAAAACTCAAATTGATTTTAATATTTTGATGATCGAAAAATCAATTTGCCTACCTAATGCTTATCATAAAATAATAACTTGTAGATATCATTTAAATATTTGTATCAAAAATATGGCTTTTATCAAAAGGTAAATATAAACATGAATACACCTAATGTTCAACATTAACAATAAGTAAAATATTACAAACTGTATGTTTATATAGGGTGAATTAAAATGGTTTCACTTATTATTTGAAACTCAAATATTAGGTTAGGTTAATATAACATTTTATTTTTTTTTTATAGGCATGTAGATCACTCTTGAATTTAAAATAATATGAAAAAGTTTTTAGAGCTCTATTACATTTATTTTATATATTTATTTAATTTGCGTACCGGTATTATAGTTATAACTTCATTGATCGTTTATAAACGTCTGTTTTGTTATGGAAAATATATAGAGAAAAGGAAATATAAAGAAAAGAAGTTATGTATAGGTACGGCAGCAAAATTTGAATATTATGTCAGAAATGGACGTAAAACCATTTGAGCCACTTTAGTCTTTTATTTAAATAAATATTTTATATTTAATATGCATTGGTACATTCTTATTTGGGTCAATCCGTGCGTTGTATACAACAGAGTATAAGAGATGGTCGTGTTAAGGCGGAACAAAAATATATTTTAGCATATTTAAGTAATAAAATAAAATTACACTTAATTCACTTCCTTTAAATTCGGAGCAAAAAATTATGTTATTGTCAATCATTATCTTTACAGCAGTACATTTTTTTGGATTATAAACGTACTTTTACATTTTATTTTAGTATAAAAAGCACAGTCCCTCTTATATCTCTAATATTTACTTATACCTAGATAATCAGTTTAAATATTATGATGTTATAAATTGTGATATTTTATATTAATTTTTATTGTTTCGGTTTCTTTTATTATTGTTTTTATATTATTTCGCTTGAGTTAGTATTGAATAGATCTATTTTTATTGAATCTATTCTAGTCTATACGTTTATTATCAAAAAAAATCTATTGCCGATCTTCATAAATGTTTGAATTTCAATTTAAAAAAAATTGCCAATACTTCTGATCACCCAATGTAGTACTTAGTTAGGAAGTTGAAAAGGTAAGATACATAAAGTTCTTTAATTTATATCTGTAAAAAACGGTAAGCCATTGCTGATGGAAAATGAATCTGAACAAAGTTCATTTATACATGATTTAAAAGTCTGTAATATTTACGATTTTCATCAATATTTAATTTTAAAATTATTATAAAAAAAAAATTACTATATAGAACTATTCTTTTGTTTACCACTAATTACAACTTATAATGAACTTCCTGGGAATTTTCAAGCCTTTTTGTTTAATTAAACAATTATATTTTTATAGTACTCTCCAAATAAAAACTAAGTATGTAAAAAAATCATAAACATAAATTTTGTATAAATAGTTTAAAAATCGTAAAAATATTTTAAAAGTTATATCACATTTAGAAAAGGCAAGTCTCTACTAATATTTTTAATTGAATAACAATTATAATAATAACCATAATATCCGTAATCTGGTTTGGTCAATTATTAAAAAGACTACATGGAAATTAAAAAAAAAGTTACTTACTTCTTATTAACTAGATCCAGATTTCAACAAAAAAGGTATCTTGTTATTTTTCGATCTAAGCAAGTTTCTCGGTCATAAAGTTGCTCACATAAAAAATAACACTTACTATAAAAAAAATCAATAGATTCCTCAATATAGTCAAAATGTAAAAAAATAATATCAGATCTTGGAACACGCACCATTGATGTTATCACTTTATAGGCACCGTCATTGGTGTAAAGTTTTGTGGTGTTGATGAGCGGAATGTTAAGAATTAACGGGGCAATAAATTAAGTTTCCGGCAGTAGTAGTTACTGTAAGTGTCAGGGGAATATTTCTCTAAACTTTAAACTTTATTGTTAATAAACTACCTATCTACATGTTTGTTCAATAATGGATATTATATATTTTATTGACGAGAAACAAAAATTATATAGTAGTCAATTATAAATTATTATTATAAGGTAGTGAATTTCAGTAGGTAGGTATACTATAAAAAAAGTTATTTTATTAATTAGTATTGTAATTTAGTTTATAGTTTTAGGTACTGAGTGGAGCGATGAATGTATTGGTTTTACAATAGTTTTTATTATATTCTTTTTTTTGAACATTTTTTTTTTTTCACAAGGGTTTTAATAATAAATGGGAAAAACGGAAAAATGTATTAAATGGGTTACTTTGAAATCATAAATATTATGGCATTTCAAAACATGTATAACCGAATTCCGCTCAGAATCGTTTTAAGCTAGCAAAGATTTATCTTTGCATACATATTATATAAGTTAAATTTCTTCTCTACCTTCTCAACTTCTCATACACAATAGTGGTTTATTCATCGTGTGAAGTATGTTTATTTTTTTTTTTTGACTCATCTCAAATAGTTGGAAAAATAAGCGAAGAAGTAGGTCCGAAATTCCGCATCTTCTATAACGTATAAAAGAACAAGTAAAAAAAAAAAAACATATGTTAGTAAAACTAATAACAAAACTTAGTATCTAAAAAGTATATAATGTTATTAAAGTGCAAATAGGTTATACGTCACATAAAATGAACACTATAAATTCTTACAACTTAATAATAGGTATAGATACTAGGTGGTAAATTCTCGGGGGAATTTCACGGATTTTTAATGCATAAAATCAATATATTTCGCTGAACAGAATATACGACATTGTGCTCGTAATTTGGTTTTGATTTAATATCATTACTTTCTATAAAAAAAAAAAAAATTAATGAATGGATGATTGATATCTGAGTTATAAACAGTTTCATGGGAATGAAAATAACAATAGTGTTGAGTATATAAACGTCGCCGTCAGAGGATGCAATCATAATCCATCTTTTACCATATAAATAATTCAACTAACCAAAGTATATCAAATGACAACCATTATTCATAAAAAAAAAAAAAAATAATAATAATAATAACAATCACACGATTTCAAAAACGTACAAGAAGAAGACATGTAAAATTGATTGAACATCATATAATATTATCCTATTGTTGATTTTCTTTATAAACCATCACACTCATCTCCTGCCGTCATCGGTCGGTAAAACGCACAGTAATTATTAGTTCAGGATATGAAAATTAATTATTCATAATATAGCTATCATGTTTCATAAAATACGTTTAGCGTAGAGACATGCAACCAAAACAAAAATACTTTTAAAAATCTTTTACTAGGATTTTTTTATTATTACTTGTCATATATACATGTAGATTATTTTTTTGTTGAACACTCATTATTTCAGAAACTATAATTTTTTCAATATTTTATCTTTTGTTATGTGATGGCACGGCGTGCGGCGTTCAAACAGTAATGCACTACTCGCCCTTCACTACTTAAACTTAAAAATGGAATATCTCGTCAATGGGTTGACAGAAATCGAAAATTATCAACATCAAAACGTACTAATATTCCATCTATTTATGGTATTCTTAATATACGTGGCTATTTGAAAATCAGAATTTGATAGTGGTTTAAATATTAAATGAAAGGGTACAAAAAGTACTATTTGTATACAATACTGTAGAAAAGTATACATTCAAAAATTTTAAAAACGTTTTTTTGAAAACTCAAAATCAATACTTTCTAAATAAGTGTTCTATGATAACATATTAACTCTACATATTAAATGAAATATTGGTACAGTAATACTCGAATATTGTATTGTCAATTCTTTGGTCAAACTCTTATGTTTTTAATTTACAACCTGAAGTTTTATCACCATTGTATAGTTATTTGAACACATAATAAAACTATAATATATATATTATTTAATTAATTAATTAATTTTTGTTGTAAAATATTATTATTATTTTTTTTTACAATTGATATATTATTATACTTTCAGCCTTTTCGAAACTCATCCGGATGTTCAGCAATCGTTCATGCCATTCAGAGGAGTCGAACTCGAGGATCTGAAGCACAGCAGACAATTAAGAGATCACGCATTAAGGTACTGCACACAGTTATACGTATATATAACTATTAATATTAAACTGTTTCTGGATTATATATTCCATAATCAATGATCATATTTGTCTATTAGATGGATATAATTATACTAAAGAAGATAAAATATACACAAACACACACACACACACACACACTCACACACATACACACATACATACATGCATAATATGTATCATATAGTATATGTTTCGGTATTTTGTATATTGATTACATTCATTGTACAAAAAAAAGATAAATATATAAGCATTAAATGTACATGTATAACTAAATATTTAAATTTTTATAAATTATACTAATATATTGTGTATGCTTTATGCCATACTCTTTTACTCCTCCTACTAATGAAAAAAAAAACATATTCTTTTATATGTATACCAGGTGATTCATTTAAGTGGGTACACTCATTACCTCGGGAAGTATTATATTTTTTCGAAAAACCATAAATAGATGGAGTATTAGTAAAAATCAATTTTATTGTTGACATTTTTTATTTCTGTCAAGCCGTTAAAGAGATATTCCACTTTTAATTTTATGTTAGAGGAGAGTAGTGGTGAATTTTATAACATGTCGCGCGCCATATCACCAAACTAATGACACTCCACTACTCTCTTTCAACTTAAAATTAAAAGTGGAATATCTCTTTAAAAACTTGACAGAAATAAAAAATGTCAACACTAACATTGATTTTTACTAATACTCCATCTATTTATGGACTTTTTAATATAGGATAGGTTGAAAATCAAAAGTAGGTAATAGTTTTACCCCCAAAAATAAGAGTTACAAAAAATAACTTAAATATACAACTGTAGAGCTGGTTGTTTCTTAAATATTCTAGAAAACAATTTCCGAAAAAAGTTAATGTTTTTTGACGTAATGAGTGTACCCATTTAAATTAATCACCAGGTGCAACAAAATGACCAAAATTGTATGGTTTTATCAAGATTTTACGGAAAAATATTTTTGATATCTCTGATAAAATACATATGTGAGATTTATAGATCATACCAACCTACTTTTATTTTGCAAGAGACACGTCGGTACCGGACACCACACCGGCACATTGTTAAAATTTATCAAATAACTATCGATAAACAACTATAATTTCCAAGTTTGAGGTAATATTCTATATTCTTAATAGCCTCTATTTTCGGAAGAAAATTAGATTAAAAATAATCAAATTTATAAACAATTGGTTTGACCGACGCCTAGAGTATCTTTAGATTCTAAAGGTAACGAAGGACTAGTTTGTGTTTTAAAGAGGCGGTTTTATTGAATCAAATGTTTATGTCATTCTATATTATTCTAAATCGTAATTACAGTATTTAAAAAATATATGTTCCTCTTATTCTTGCAAACCATAATTTTAATATAATCTTTTATTGATTTTTAAACTTATATTTTTACCTTAAAATTTGAAAATAGAATGTATTTCCAAACATTTTGATAAACATAGTTGTTTATAGGCTACAAAATTTAGGTCGTAGAAGTAGAAAAGATATATTTTATCAACGATATTTATTACTAATTTATTTCAAACACGAGTTGCTATTGAAATTAAACATGGATAAGTACACGAGTAAATAATTTAAACACTCGTAGAACTATCTGAATAATAATCGTGATCATTCTCAGCTCTCCCCTTAGTTTTGATGTCAAACGAAAAGTATAATGACGTATAGATTTGCGTACGAAAATGTAGTTTTAACGATTTTTAGAGAAAATCAATATTGTGACAAAAAAATCAACAAGAGTTCTGAAACACAGACTGAATGAAGTGAAACTGATAAAAAACATAATAGCTTAGAACATTATTGACGTCAGGAGGCTGTGCCGCCTTTCCCGAGTACCAGATCCATGACTTAAGAAATGAATACGTTATCATTTTGATGGATCCCAGCCTAGAACCAACTTATGTATGCGATCTAAATATATTTCCGGACAGAAGATAACTGTGGAAATTATATAGGTTTAACATAATAGTAACTGAAATGGTTATTGTTATAAAAACTTATGACTTTCCATTAGTAATAATTGTTTATTATTATTACTCGAGTTGAATAAATTATTATTATTTTATTAAATTTTAAATTTTCCTTTAGTATATTTAAATAGTTTAACTTCACCAAATTAGAAATTATTAATTAAATTTACTAGAAACTATAGTTGAACAATGCTTTGGTTCAAACAATATTAAATATATGTTTGCTGTGCAAGTTTTTTTTGAACAATGCTTTGGTTCAAACAATATTAAATATATGTTTGCTGTGCAAGTTTTTTTTGTTAATACATTGTTATTTTTTTTTTATGTGTGTTTAAGAATTAGATAAAAAACGGACGATAAAGCCACTTTATTGAGATTTTTAATGTAAGTGTACGATTGATTTTTATCCGTACTCACCGCCCGTTTTCGGGTTTTAACCTGAAATATTTATTTTTGATCACATTACGTTCGCATTTGAAAATTCTGAAACTTTATCTATAATTTGCCAAAATTTTTCCAGATTTTGCTAGGTTATTTTCAAAATTTGCAAAGTTTTCAAGACCCCTACTTCTTATTATTTTTCAAACAAACCGGTACCGACTTGACGTCATGCCAGTGCATTGTTCAAATTCATCGAATGACATACCAAAATAAACATTAGAATTAGTCTGTAGAATTGGTAAAATTATTTTCAGAATTTCCCAACAGTTGTTCTCAAAAAGTTAACTGACACCGGCAATCTATAGAAACAAGGATAACAAGTGATAATAATTATCGATGAATTTCTTTATAAATTTAACTGTGTTTTTTATGGTCACGGAATTTCCTCTCTTAACCTTCGCCTCTATCATTTTAATTTTCAAATGTCACAATATTTGTATAAAAGTACTATGCTGAATTCCCTGCTATGAGAAAAGTGCTACAGTAACTTCAAAATATTAAATATGGAGATAAACTTGAATGTTTGACGATTTTTTTAAAATTGGTATCAAGAAGTTATTATTCGTTAATAGTTTTAGGTACTGAGTGGAACGAGAAACGCATTGGTTTTACAATAATGGTTTTTTTTTTTTTTTTTATGTGGACACTTTTTCTAGCAGAAAGCATACTCCGTTTATCAAGTATAGAGTCCTTTCTAAAATGAAATGTTCTCTGGGTGGTACTTTAAAGAGGAAAACCTCGGCCTTAAGGTTAAAAAAAAGGTTGAAAGATTAAAAATAAGGTTGTCATTGATAACCATTTGTATGTATTTATTGTTGTCATTAAGTTTTTATTATTTTAATCATTTTCAAACCATCATTGTGGTCATGAAAACGCACATTGCTGTAATCATTTTACCATAATATGACATTTACTATATATTTTATTGTTGATAAAGCAACACTATCAAATGAATTCTATTCAGAATTGTTTTTTCGTTAGCAATTATTTATCGTTGCTTACAGATATACATTAAATTCCCGTCTGTATCCTACCTTCCCAACTTCCAACCTACAAACGTGGCTGAACCCACGTGCGAAGTATAGCTGTCCTTTTTTTTTACATAAATCATTTTTTAACTGTATTTACATTTTTGATTGATGTTTTTTTTTTTTTGTATTATTTTCATTTTTTTATAGGGTATTTTCGCTTTTAAAATTTTTAAAGAGTATATGTTTGTCTCTTTATAAAAACCCTATTTAAATTCACAAAATGCAATAAATCCATTCCTACGTCCGTTCTAATATGAAATTACGACGAAAAATAAATCTATTTAAATACAAATCACTAAAACGATTTACACTAACGTAGTATGTGAATTCGAATTACATTTCGTATGAAACTACATTGTACTTCTACAAACCTACTCTTTTTCTTCTTTATATAGTACTTATTGCATTATTGATTATTATTTGACTTGATTTCTAAAAATATCTTTGGACAGTAGCGTATTGAGCTATGTTTACCCAAGGAGCCAGTATTTGTACATGACATTCGTTACATTTGAACATACTTACTAAAACCTTTATAAATCTGTACATAATAATATACGTATTTACCTATATTAAGACGCATTAAAATTTCCTTTTTTTGTTCAACTTTTATTCTATATCAATACGAAAAATAAGCGGGTGAACATTTGATTTTATTATAGTGTCGGAGTAACGTTTCTTTTTTTTTAGATTCTAAACGTAGAATGTAGAAATTTATTAGTTTATGTATGATGTGTATGTGTGTTTCTTTTTGTCTGTTAACAACTTTTCTAAGAGAAATCTTAATACAATCAAAAAATAAAACACGATATTTTTTGTTACCATTTGTATTTAGTTGATACATAAAAAGGTCATTTTTTGATTTTTCAAGGGGTTTACATAATAATTGAGAAAAACTGGAAAAAATCGTATGAAATACGGAAAAGTTTACTGCATTAATTGGTTTCGTTATTTTCGATTTTGGTTTTTTGTTGTAAATTTATTAAAAATTATAGCACATAACTGATAATAGTTACATAAATGTTTTAAGTATATTATTTGTTTGGTAGATATTCTCTCGAAAAAATAGTTTGATTAAACACAAATTCTTGGAAATTAACTTTTTTGTATGGTAATTTTAAGATCAAATTTTGAAGAAAATCATAAAAATTACGATCTTTCCCTCCGAATTATATTTATTTAGCAATGATTTATCCTTGATTAGATTTTTTTCTACACGACACTCCAGTAAATATTGGTTTTCTTCAAGTTTTCAGTTCCACCTAAATGTGTATCATATTATTGAAGTGTAGGTATATCTATATAATTAACATTACCGTTTGAATAATCCTTTGGGATTTGGCCTCTATTTCTGGGTTTATAGAGTTATGTTAATAATGAACATTATTGCGTGTGAAACCATAGTCTTTAGAATACCTCCTTACCTAAGCTTTTAGTTCATCAAACAGAATTATTGTCTCTCAGTCAATTTCAAGTTAAGCGACACATTGTGCTCTCTCTTCTTTTTTAATGATCATAAATTTAATT